AGAATTGCATCTCGTCTCCTACAGAATTTGCAGGACCAAGATGCCAATTTACACCTTGAACTTTCACCACCATCAATGCTCCCCTCGCTCTTAAGATAATTACGCCATCAGCCAGCCCTCGGGCAGATCAGCCTGACTTGCAAAAAACACATCTTCAGCCAGGTCCTTCAGAAAGTGTGTCAGCTAATCTTTCTGCAGTAAACAAAAGCTGAACGTGCCCTACAGGTTCCTAGACACTGATAAGAATTCTTCTCAATATTGGAGACGTGTCAGATCTGTGTTTGGTAAAAAAAAAAAAAAAAAAAAAAAAACAAGACCAGAAACTTTTCTGTTTCATGGACAGTATAAAGATTATGCGGTCTGCCTGAGCCCACATGATACACTGAAGAAAAGCAGAACTTGTGTATAAGCCCACAAGAGACACTGAAGAAAAGCAGTATGCCAACCCAGGCTTCTGACAACAGATAGATGTTTACTCTCCAGCATATTTAAAATTTTGAAATGGAAAATGCTTTGAAAAGAACACACACACAAACTGCAGACAGCAGCAGCAGGTAGCAGTCAGATGCACAGAGCAGACAAATCAGTTTCTTAACATTCCAGCATCCCTGGTTCTAATATATGCACCAAAATGAGCATAAAGCTGTTAAGTTACAGAATGCAGCCATTGCAATGACCGTACTTACTCTCTTCACCCTGAAACAGAAGCTGGAGAGACCACCCAGTAATCTATCAGCACTGAACATTGCATGCTAACCTAAGGTTCTCAGGTGTGAACGTATTCTCATCTCTGGACAGAAAAAAAGAATTATTTCCAGGCAAACATACTAAAAATACAGGAGCAAACGACCAGAAGGAATGCAACTGAACATGCAAATTTGTGTATGCGCTGCAATAGCTGGGTAGTGCACAAGTACATATTCTTCCAAAGACAATAAACAAAAAAGTTACTATTAAACATGGTGACATCTGTAAAGAATCTACAAGTCTTATGAGGATGTTCTGGGGGAAAAAGCTAAGAGGCTTTATTCAGGCTGTATTCTGTCACACAAGGCATATTCTTCATGCACAAAGTAGCGCAATCCTTTTTGGCTTCTACATCTTCCCCTTACAAAAAGAACCCCCCTTTTGACCCATGAAATAGCCAAAATTACCAAAAATCTTCCTTCTGACTTGGCATAATGGATTGCTGCTAAGATTGATCCAGTTATAATGTATCATATCAAGAATGAGGGAAAACACGCAGCACCATCTCAGTTCAGCCTCCAGCTCTACAACACCTAAAAGCTTTTGCCACAAGAATTACCTACAGATTACTAAAGCAGAAAAGAAAACAGGTGATGATGAAGTGGCAATCCACTGCAGTGAAGGTGGCTTTTCATGGTCTACCCTCTAGATGCCACCTGCAGATTCAGGAAGAGCACTGCATACACCCAGCACCCTGCTGCACAGAAACGTCAGCTGTGAGGAACTGTGTGTGGATCAGTCAACCTTCACTAAGCACCCAGGTCATCTCTGCATGACCCAAGAGAAAGTCAATTCAACAATAATTGCAATTGTTGCCTTCTATTGTTTTTCCCCACCCAGGGAACCAAAGATTGAATTCCAACTTCCAGGCGCTTCAGGGAAGCAATTCCAACTTCTGTGTTGGAGGTCGATGTCCTTCTTCCTTGGCATACACATCCTACCGACCCCTCCGGTCACATGAAATCAGCACTGTTACGTACTGCTGCAGTATTTAGGCATAATTGTTTTACAGCATTTCATTTCAGTCACTCATCTTTAGTGCTTTAGTCACTACTTGCATTTGCCTGAGCTTTCTAGGTCCGGCTTTCACTTCTGTTCTCCTCCAGCTAATTTTTCACCTTTGTTCTCTAAATCCCTGACCTCTTATCCTCAGGGGATAGGACCCAAGTTATCAAATCCGGTAAGAAATCACCTTACACTTTACGGCAAAGGCAGAAAAAAAAAATCTAGCTTCTACTGACTCGATATTGCTTTTGCCTTGGAACTCAACTAAAATTGGAAATACAACCCGTTAAAAAGATTCATTCTCAGCAAAAGGAAAGGGAAGCATGAAATAGTGCTTTGATCAGTTTAGGAAAGCTTCATGCCTAACTCTCAGGCGTTAATACAAATAGCAACCACAGACAAGTTACGGTAAGGCACTGCCCTCACACAGCCTCTATGAGCAGGTCTCCTAAACGCACCTAGCAATTACTTTCTGTTGTTTTGTGGATTTTCAGAAGCTGGTTGTTCCTAACAGCATGAAAATAACAGCAGCAGTGACAACAGCATCCCGTTTTCACAATCCTATTATTTTCCCACTTTAGAGAGTAACGTCCACTACTTCCACATAGGTAAAACTCAAGCCCCACTCTTGACTGGGGGCTCCATGTCAGTAAAAGACACTACTTCGAGCAGCAGCTAATGATTTACCTATGTAAGAAGAACCTTCATGGCAGTGAGAAAAAAGAGAAAAAAAAAAAAGTGACCTCTTATTTCTCTCCAAATCTGAAAGAAGAGGAAATTGAGATGCAAAGTTGCCCTTGAAATGGTTATATACACATGTATTACACATTCAGAACAGAGAATCCAGGCAGGCTATATTTATTTCCTGGGGAAAAAGTTTCTCTTCAAGGCATCTTTCCAGGAGATGCTAGTATCAGATATGAACAAGTTCTTTTCATAAAACTAGTGAGAAGTGGACACTGCTATGCTAAGCTTCCCACTACAATGAAACTAGTTTTAAATACAAAATATTGGCATATAAATATGAACAAACAGAAGACCTAGCCTGTTAAAAAGCCAGTACAAGAGTTCTTGCACAGTCTTTTTTCCTAAAGAGATCTGAAAAATATACTTGTGTTTCTCTGTCCCAGCCCCAAATCATCTTATTAGCAGACATTTTCTCTATTTAATTACGCTTCAGTTCTGAAACCCAAGTCAGTAACATTCAGTACATTTTAGCAGCAAGGTTACACGTAAGCGTACAACTTTTATTCCACTTGGGAAAAATCTTTAGAAAATGTACATAAGCAGATGTTGAAAGCAGTGTGAAGACAAGATGGTCATCTGTTTATATACTCTGTGAAAGAAATATTTTGATGTTTTCCAATTTATCATAGTACTGAACATTTCAGTTAACTTTCCCAAGTACTCTATATTGCTATTTTCTTGCACAAAGTCTAATCTGACCTGGACGCTTATTTCTGCTGAATTCCTAACCACATCCCATCAGTACAATTATACATTAATAACACTGCTAAGATTATTTGAAGTCAAACATGAAGTAACTTCTGATCTACTTTTCATAGTTCAGCATGGGTGTGTTTGTAATCAATACCCATTTTTCACACGTACAGCTTTTCATTCTACATCTCAAAAATCAACAAGTAGTACAGCAGAGACCAATGTATAGGGAATTTAATTTGATTTTACACAGTGCCCTTCTTTGCCCAGCTGTCCCTAAGCACTTCACAGAACAACAAGCCTTCTAGATGTACCACCATAGACAGACACTGCAGCTGCTGTGCATTCTGAGAAGAGCTTACCTGTAACCAGATTCATTTCACACTGAGAGGATGCACATGAACCCAAGACAGGGAAATGTTTACTTTATTAAAAAAAAAAAAAAAAAAAAAGGAAAAAGGACACTGTATCTGTAGGTATAATGTAGCACGGTACCTTAGAATTCTAAAGTACACAAATAGTACTGTAAATGTAACTGTAAAAAAGGAAAAGTTCTAAGTATCTGAGGTTTATGCTGCATTTCTTGATACCACAGCTTGTACCTAAGCCATGTGTATAAAACAGTGCCAAACTCTATGCAGATGGGAGAAATCCACCTATGCACAAATGCTGAGGCACAAACTGAGATTCTGAAATTTTCCAAGTGAATGGCGTTTATACACTGGACAACATTCTACAGCAAGTTCTCTAATCCAAGAAAATGATCTCCTAAAAATCAAAGAGATGTTCCTAAAGGTGAAGTTTTCCATACTAGTAACTTATTCTTTGTAAATAAAAAAGTTAGCCCTCTATGGTAAGCCACAGACTATGTTTTTCAGTTCTCTATCTTGCAGTTTCATCACGTCAGCAACATTAACGTTTTGTTTCAGTCATTGTTCAAGTCAGACAATGCTCACCTTTGGTCTCAGTAACAAGCTGGATAAAGCTGTCTGTCTATATTATCATTTCCTTTCTTTCTACTTAACAGTTGGCTTTTTGTTTTTGTGGTTGTTGTTGTATTTTTTAAAGAACATCGTGGATACAGACTGGTCAGATTTAACCCTGCAGTAAAAAACATGGCAGATATTTTTAACATGAAAACACAAAGCTCAGTTCTATACAATTTATTAATCTTGTCCCACTGAATGAGGAATTATCAAAAGCCTTCAGGCATACACAATTCTAAAAATGGCAGTTTTCCATAAGGAAAGTCCTTCCTGTGTGATGAAACACACAACTTATCAAAACAGGATGCAGTACACAGAGCACATGTGCATCCTTACTTCAATTGTTACAGCATTAGCCCTGCCTAGTTGAGTTACTCTTTGGAGTGCAGTTGTATTTGTTCTGGTGTTTTTTTCCCAAAGCAAATACGCTTTGTCCATAACTGTGTGAAGCAAGCAGAGACAACTGGTCACAGAAACGAATACAACTCAGGAAATCGTGCACGGTTGCATGTTAAAGAACACGGTAAACCGCTAAGCCTATTACATAAAGATTATTGTCTACTTGAAAAGGATTACAGTCAGGGTGGCCAGACAAGCCCTGAGATACCATTTAACACAGTCTTTTATGCACCTGATGACTGGATTATTCCAAAACCTGGAGAGCAAGGTTGAAGACACCTTATCTCCCATCTCCTTCGATACTACGCTCCGTGAGTGGCTCAGAGCAATCCTGGAGGTCTGAGATTCAGAAACAAACAAGCAAGCAAACCCTCCTCTTCCCCTTGCTCCACCCTACACAAAGACAGACATAGAAAGGAAACATTAATTTATAATGCCAATGTTTATTTACATGAGAAAAGGTTTACACAATTCAAAAAGTTATCTCAGCCCACAATTAGTGCATTTGCCTGTCTTCAAAAACAGGATGACTTAAGATTTGGAGACGTGGCTTCAGAACGCTTCAATGATCACTTGGGGAAAAAGTACCAGGAATCAACTAAAACAAAAAATACACATTGAGATGACGTTAATTCTGTACAACCAGCCAGTCACAAACTCTTCAACAAGCAACATGCTGCCCTTTCAACCATCTCCCCTCCTAACAATACTTCTGAGTGAGCTCTCTCCCCAGCCTATGGAAAGCATGTCCTCACAGTAACTTTAAGAGTCTGCTGAAACAACTTTGCAACAAGTTTCAATGCTGACTGAACCATCCCTGGAAAAAAATCAAAGACTTGTTCAGTTGTTTGTCAAAGGTCTGAGATGCAATACTTCAGTAAATAAATGCTATTTATTGACAAGCCATATAAGGGCAAATGGAATGCAACTTGCTTTCCCATGACATGGACTACACAGATGTTACTTTGCAAACAACTTGGAACTCGACTCACAACTAAGTTTCTCTTAGTGTTTCCAAAACTCCTTCCATCTCAAAAAGTGCATATGTCTTCTCTATAGCTCCTGCCAATGGAGAAATCTCTTTTCTTCCTTTCTTTTTTTTTTTTTTTTTAAAGTAGTTAACAAAAATGAAATTCTAGGATGCATTCTTATTTCTTGAGTGAAAACACATGTTCTATTAAAATGAAAACTGGTCATAAAAGTAAAAAGAATCTTGTCTTTAAAAATCACACTTGAGAGCTGTGGTTATGTCACTTGTAGGAAAAGGGGCTGATTACCTGATTAGCTGGCTAGTGTGAAGAGCGACAAAAGTAAGACAAAGCAACCTTTCTCCTTTAGAGAGAATAAATGTCACACATCTACCTTCCACGATCAAAGTGATGAAAGAAATATTTAGTCTTCTCATCTCTGTATGTGAACTACACTTTCACTTATCCTTAAAATCAACCTCCTCCCACAAGGTTGTTTGTGGGAGGAATTTCTGTCCATGTAATATTTAACAGAAGACAGGCATCACAGTGACAAACCACTATCACCATGCTTATGTGCATAGAAACACCCTTTTCAACAGTACAGTTTCTATGTTAATTTCTATAGCAAATTATTAGAGGAATCAAATGGCATTTGGGAAAAAAAAGAATATACCTTCTGGGGAAACAGGATCTCCATTCACAGGCACTGGTGCCTACAAAACAAACAAAAAACATCATCAGTGTTTTGTTTCACTGGTAGCACCCAAACCCAGAGCTATTTTACTGCTGAAGCTAAGAGGTACCAATAAAAACAGGTCTTTCTGTTGCCCTCACAGGAGAACTTTCTACTTTACAAACTTCTTTTTTTTTTTTTACAGGTACTGTACAAATGTATTTGTTGCTCATAACTGACAGAATAATAATGAGTGGCAGATTAACACCTTATGTAACATAAAGGGGATATTCCTACCGCATTGTCTTTGAGGATAATAGGATTTTCTGTTTATATACTGAAGAGTAAAGAAAATGCCTTTCCAATTATGTTACTCTATGTTTCATTATAAGGTACACACATAAGAGAATACACACACAATTCACATTACATGCACGCAAGCATTTTAAATCAATAGTTATACTCTTTTACAACTACATTTTAGCAGAGGAAGAGTCAGTTCTGTGGAGAGCAACAAACTGTTTTAAAATGTAAGTCTGTCACTCTCGCTCCAGGTCCATTTTAAAGCAGGACACACCACTACTCAGTAACAGTACTACACAGCACAGCCTGTCATACTACCTATAGGACAAGATTAAAGGCAGCTTTAACACCAGCTGGAGGCATGTTCCACACAACAAGGCTGTAGCTGCTCTTACAGTAACCATCCTCCACTGCCCATCCCTCAGCTCCTCACAAACAGGCAAATTCTCCAGCTGACTAACTGACGGAGAAGAAAGAGAGCATCTGGGCACCAGGAACACCACAACACTCACCCACACAAATGAAATGAAAAACCAGGAGGACGTTGGCTTTTTCCGTGACAGAAACCCACCAAATTCGGCTCACCCAAGCACACAACCCCTGGACTAGGCACTTGGGTGAGCCACGCAACACGGAGTGCCACAGCAGTGTGTACAAAGCTTCAGGAGAACAAAGCTGCAAAGCCAACACACCTTCTCTGTTGAAAAGCAGAAATTCCTGCCTTGACTAAGAGTACAAGAAGGTGTTGGGGAGCACTTTGCAGGATTTTGGAGGACCCACAAGCCAGGCATGGTTTCACACTCACGCCACGCTGAGGTGAAGTCTTGCAGGCCTGGCTGCCTCCAGGCGCAGGGCCCACTCTGCCGAGCAGCAAGTCAAACCCTCTGAGGAGAAAAGGGAACCTACAGCGTTCTTTTTCTGCCTTTACCCAGGGCAATTGTGTGCAGACAGGTTACAGGGTCTGGTGTGACAGGATGTGTCCATATGACAAATTAACCCACGACTTCCAGGCCGTACCAGCACACCACCCCACCTCTTCCCAGCAAAAACCAAAGCTTTACCTCACGAGAACCAGCAGAAGCTTGCCACTTCTGGGAGAACTGCTCAGAAAACTTAAGATAAGGACTCAGCACCTTCCCACCAAGAACAGCTCAAAGCTTCACCCGACTGAACCAGGAGCCTCTTCATGACAGAACGCTTCCATCTGGGACACTGCTGGAGGATCCCAACCCCCCCCCCGTTCATCTGTTTCACAACTTGGCACTGAACAGAAAATTCTGCTTCTACTAAATCCCAAATGGAAAAGCCCTCAAAGGACAAAAAAAAAAAACAAAACGTAGGGAGAAAGGCAGTTAACAGACTTCCCTGCTTAGATCTGAATTATTCTAAACACACTAGTAAACACACATGTTTAAATTCTGCTGGAGATTTTTTAAATTACCAGGAAAAGCCAAATATTTTCCCTTGCAAGACATTTTTCTGCATTTTATCAAGAGAGACCTCATCGAGCAAAGCTTTCCTAGTTCATTTTCTTTCCAGTATTATAAGGGAAGAATTATGTGATAAGTCTGAGAAACAGCGTGCTACTAACTATATATAGATTGTCTTGGAGATTTTCCAATTTAAAGAGTCCTCAGCGGCTTCTTCACAGAGCAAGGGAGCAAGCGGTTCTCGGGATTAATGTTAAACAAAGGTTTGGCTGTCCTGGTCAGTTTTACAGATGGCAACACTTAAAAGCCTGAAATAAACAGTACATCTTAGCACTAACACATGCAGCTACAAAGCTCTGTTCCTCCTGGGTTTAGTTTTCAACACGTACTAACAGCGAGGCTGAGAAAGATGAAACAATTTTCAGATGCAAGGGAACACCAGAAATTTTCATCACCTAAAGTGTTACTACTCGATGGGTTTGTAGTTACAGGGGGCTGGTATAATTCTGGCTGGCTCAAACGTTCTGAATGTGTTCCCACATGCACAGATCATCTTCTGATCTCTCTGGGATTGACTAGACACAGCAACTTCAGCAGCCAGAGAATTATTCCTAGTTTGCCACCAATGCAGATGACAGCACACATGCCCCCTGTCTGCAAACTGAGTCGGTGGAGTGGAAATTCCCCAAAGCCAAACCATTCTAGTCCCACACCTGTAAAAATAATGAAAGGTCAAATAACAGCAAAATAAACCCTATTGGTTTGAACAGGGCTACCTCGAAAACTGCCCAATCAAAAATATCTGAAATTCTGAATAGAGCACTAATCCTTCCCACGGTAAGCACTTGGTATGGATTTGTTTTTTCTATTTGGTTCTGAGTTAGAGTTCTCTTGCTCACCATAAAAAGTAGTTTACAACAATACTTTCTGCTTTTTTTTGTTGTTTTAAAATTCAATATACCTGATTTAGGGCAATTATCACCCACACAAAAAATGTCGTAATGATAGCGTGACCCAGGAAACAGAAGTGTAGGGAACCTGCCCTCGCTGCACAAGTAACTCAGAAATTTTGCAGTAGGCAAAATATCTTTCTCACTGTAATTGCATACAAAATCTCTACCTCTGCTTTCATCCAGAAGTTAATAAATGGACTCAAATTAGAAGGAAAATGTATCTGCTTTTAGTTTCAAAACAAAACAAACAACAACAAACAAAAAACCCACAAACAAAAAAAACCCAGACACAGGCAGCTTTCATTTAAAATTACCACAGCCATTAAAATTCTGCAGCCAACGCTCACGTACTTTCACTTGTGTTTGAAAGACATGAGTGCCTGACAACCAAAGTGGGCAGAGTAGTGTACCAGACAAAAGGGTATCTGCTTAAAATGTGCAAGTCAACTTCCCCGCTTGTATTTAGAGCTTGACTGTCCACCATTCATGTTTCAAGAGCATTTTACTTTTCTTAGTTACCAGAGACTGGAAGCTGCATGTAGTAACACCAGTATTTAAACCAGCATTGCAGCTTTTTTCCCTGTCTGAGAAGTACCAAAAGACAGTAGCCTAAAAAAGAAAAAAAATACTTAGAAGAAACTGAAATGGAATGATGGAAAGGAGTATGTGGTGACTTCAAAAACCAGTATCACTTCAAGAAAAACAATGCTGAGGCACAAAAAGGCAGGAAGTGATAACATTTGAGAAAAAGCCAAGTGTTCAAAATAAGTAAGACATTAAAGTTTGATATAGAGTACTTATTTTATAAACTGGTTTTACTATCCCCATCCTCCCAAAAAGGAAAAAGATTTATTTTTAATTAAGAGGCAGAATAATGGATACTGCTAATTTGAACAGATAATTATTTACCTACATGCCTCAAAAGTACAAACAGCACAGAAATCAAACAAAAATATTCCTTTGAAAGTTTGTCACCATCCAAACTAAAAGCACATTTGCGCTTGAAATTTCAGCTGCATTTCAAACATGCATGAAACATTGTGGTAAATTTTGATATAAGAGGCAAGTATTTGCTTACAGCTGTGACAGACATGTCTAAACACAGGTTTCAATTCCAAAATCAATTTTTCTTTCATTGAAAGCTTACAGTCCCATTATTCAACATGGGTCCAAACACATTTACAAGTACAAGTGCATAAATGTACTATTAAAGAAATGCTGAAAGCAAGTGAGTTGAGCAGAAGTTAGGTCTGACACTTCTTTATGACTCAAACTGACTTTTCTGCAGCTGATTTTTTTTTTTTGCAGTCTTATTTGTGGCAGAATCCCACTCGAGACAACATTCTTACTAGAAGTTTTTTGTTGGAATGTTACGTGCACAAAAAGATGCCATCTCCTTTAATATCTGAACTTCCCCTACAAGTGTGATTACCAAGGCAAAATACTGACCGTGTACAGCCCTCACCAGTTAGCTACCCAGGCAGATATACACATGTGCACAATACTTGCCATGCTGACGGGGTCATGAGCACAGACAGAATCACAGTATATGTTAAAAAAGAAAAGAAAAATAAAATAAAAGTAGTACTTGGGGGTACTTCTCTCCATGTAATTTCTGGTAACTTTGTTTAAATTCCATCATCCAAAACAGCAAATTTTAAAGTGGAAGAAATTCTTCCCCACAACATTTGCACATGAAAGCATCAGATCTGCAGGACATTTTTCTCGCCTGAACAGAAAACCTGCATGTTTTAATTTTATGTTAATTTGCAAAATATGACAGGCATTCTTTAAGAAGCATTCAAAAAAAGCACCCCCCCTCTTTTACAGCAATGCATTTAATTATGCAAGTAGACAAACAAAGGATCCCTTTAGTGATTAGGGACTACAGTCAGCTAGTCAATGAGTTCTAACACTGGGTGGTAACTCATGGCAACAGGGGAGACAGAGAAGACAGCAGGCTAGATACAAATAGCAGTCCATCTTGCTATTCAGGATCAGAAGAAACAGTGCTGCAGAGAAAAAAAAAACACACCAGAACGGTAATGAACCTGCCAGAAAATACAATTGGACCACTGCAATAGAAGGTTTATATTATAATGCTTGCACTTCCCTCACAACCTTTGTGCTTTTCCTTTTACTTTATAGCTTACATTTTTACTTAATTAAAGAGCATTTCAGTTGTGGAGCTCTGAGTCTTCTTTCCTTTTTATCACTTTTGAAAAAGGGTAGAAAAAAAACGTAAGTATTATCCTTACCGACTGCACGATTGATCGGGCATCCTCCTCACTGCAACAAAATGGGCTGCCACTCACCAGAACATTCGTGCTGAAAAATAAAATTAAAAAACATTTTATCCATCAGTGGAAAGCAGCAGCACACAATTAGTACCTATGGAAAAAAAACACCTTCACATACAGAGCTCAGATATGGATCTCTGTCATGAAACAAGGATGTAAAAGACGCAAAGTAACAAGTAATGCTGGAAGGGAATAAGTGTTTGGAGTGCTGTTCTTTGTTTCTTTGGGTTTGGGGTGGATTTTAGGCTATAAATTCTATGCTAATGTAAGCAGTACTCACAGTTACTTCTGGCAGCTCACTTGGGTACAGTTCAGAGGACCACAGTTAATAAACTAAATCCCCTCAAAAAGTCAACAGCGAAATTAACATTTGTAGGAGTTGCACACCACCTAGATGGCTAGCAGGGATGGCATGAATATCCCCTTGTCTCTTGTGCTTTAAAGGATGGCTAGATTCTACAGCAAGCCTGTAACTTGTGTTACAGTAACCAGCCTGCAGCATTTAGCAAGAAAAATAAACAAACAAGCTAAAAAAAAAAAAACCAAACCCACAGAGGGAACTCCAGGACTAAATACTTCACAGGTAAGTTTCCCTACAGACTGGCTATGTATCCTTTCACACCAAAAGTGAGTTTGGTCATGAGCTTTTAGGGTTCTACACAATAAATGGCACGAAGTTCAGTTTCTCAAAGGAAGTTTTTAATTATTTTTAAATTGCATCAACATAAAGCTCCAAGTACCCCTGAAACAATCAGGACCCAAGTTTGAGTACTATCCTGCAGTGTTCTTGCAGAGCTACAGCAGAACTACCAACCTCTGCAACTGTTCAGGTGTTCAAACACTTGCAAGTCACATTTTTCCAGCACAGCAGAAGAGAAAAGTGACTATCTGAACAAAGCCTTCCCCACAGCCTTCACCTTCTGGTTTAGCCGATGGCAATCCACATCCCTTGGAAAGCACCACGCAGACACCTGCCCACTCTTCAGGGCCTCTGGTGCCAGAAATGCTGATGCAAGCCCCTTCATGAAGCCCACTTTCATGTAGATGAGGCCAAAAGCTCGTAATGAGCACCGATGTGGCATTCCCGAAAACAATTAAAACACAGTGACAAGGTTTGCACTGGATTCTGAGATACCCCCCAAATAGTACCAAACATTCTGGGGCCATTACTAGGAAGTTTAAGTCTGGGGCCATTACTAGGAAGTTTAAGTAATCGGTGTCACTTTTATATAACCAATATATTTTCTGAACTGCTTACCAGTATATCATCATCATACAAGGTATAATTACTCAGTGACACTCAATTATTAATTAATTATCAATTAAACACATGAGTATTCCTGTTACCTCAAAGTAAAACCAAAGCAGCTCATGCACAGCTGCCACGTGTTGAATACCAACAGTCTAGCACAATACAAAGAGGAAAGATGTGCCTGGATACTCACCATTTAATGGTGCCTCCATCAGCTTTTTTATGAAGCAAAGCTTTCCAGTATTCATGAGTGGATTTAATAATTTCAACAGCAAAATCCTAGTTTACATCAAGGAAAAAAAATATGATTTAAAAGGTTATTAAACAGAAAAAAAGACAGACCTAGTTTATTAACACATGCTGTTTCATGTGTTACTTTAAGGTGCCTCCTTCGAGGCCTCATTACATTTCTGGAAAAATCTAACACTTTTTTTTTTTTTTTATGAAAAGAAACGAACTTCACTATCTGTCAAATACACTGGCAACACATTCAGGACTTTTCCTCAGTGTGCAGCCAGAAAACAGGAAGCCTGCATGAAAAAATGAAGCCAGCACTCGACGCTAAACAGACACCTACAGCTGTAGAAAACTGTACCACGTCTGAAATGGGACAAAGTGTGTGAGCTGTGCTCTTCTGTTACATGTGCACATCAGGGTCAGAGTTAAGGTTTCCCCTCTAGTGGCAAAATCTGCATTTACTTCATTAGTTGCCCAATCATATACTTAAGCATTCGCAACAACATAACATGTCAGCTGCTTAATAGCTTTTACTTCCTTAAAAACAAAAGTAATGGGGGGACAACAACAAAAAAACTTGAAAAAATAAAAATAAGAAAGAGCCCTCAGTGTCCAGATGATGATATCTAGACTGGCTTGCAAAAAGCTGCCAGCAGAACACTCACATTTCCTAACAAGGAGTGACTTGGCAAAGTGCCCCTGGAACATTGTGAACTTCACCAGAGCTGCTGGAGCACAGCCACAGCCGCCTCACCACATCCTGGGTCTCCAGAAACACTTGGGAATTATTCAAGTGCTCCCAACCAGCTATGTCGGGGCATTTAGTGCCTTGAGCCTGAATGGGATATACCCTGTTAAAGCTGTCACTACAGCAGAATTACAGAGCAGGAAAATTTGAAAGAGTAGTTCCTGGGAGAACAAGGGAGAGATCAGGTTAGCCATCCTTAGAGCTCTGTGTTTGATTGATTTAAAAGACAGCTTTAGTGCAGAGGGGAGTCGGGGCATCTCTTTAACCAGACAAAACATGCAAAGTTGTCTGTGCTGGTTAGAAGGCATTTTACAACTTTGATAGCACGCTGCAAGCTGAACTAGCTGACACATGAACATCATTCATTAGGAACCTGTGATTCTTCGCCAAAAAAAAAAAAAAAGCCTACAGTGTACAATACATGATTTGCAAAGCATTTTGACACGGATCACACACAATTTCCTCTGGAAAAATCCTGACATTTTCCTCAGCAAGGTCTATCCCCAGGCCCACTTTCAAACACTGGCCATTTTTCCTGTAGGATGTTTAAAAAGCCATTCATTTTTTCTAAAAAAAAAAAAAGGTTAAAATATGTTTTAGCCTTCAAGCCAAAAGCAGCTCAAGTGGTCTTAAACAGAATTACCAGGAAAAACTATACCTTGAACAAATACCAAGTATGAAAAGATCTGCAGTCTATTGTCTATCTTGAACTGCATAGCCTTGAAAAACGTCCAGAAAATTTATCAATCAAGACTCAAAAAAAGTATCTGAAAAGACTATCTGTTCATTCCTCTGACAGGAAGAATGAAAATGCTGTGACAAGCACTACAAACCTACAGATGCACATGGAAGTCTTGTCAGGACTGGGGCTGCATGTTTGTTTGTTTTTTACTGACTTTAATACCATATGTATTTTCCCTGATAAAGTGAAAGATAGCACACATCATTTATTCCTATCCGAACACGTTGTATTAAAAGATGCTTCATTTAAAAATTCTTTTTGTTCAAGGTTCTCCTCCTTTCCAGATCCAAGAATCCTACAATGTATCAAAGAGGCCACAGGACAGAAAGACACGTCTTTAATTTTGAATTATCTTCACCTTGCCTTTAAATTCTCCATTGAATGCAAACCCATTTTCTGGTTTACCATCAGGAACTTTATATAACCGGAACCACTCGATCGTAGCCTCAAGGTAACCCGGCTTGTGCTTCCTGACATCATCAATATCTGCAGGTTTGAAAAAACAAAACAACAACAAAAAGGTCATTTTTACTCTCAGTTTCTGTGACATTAATTTTTCAAAGTCTCATAAAGGGTTTGCAAGCAATTTAGTTTCACTGAGTACTTTCAAAGTCATTGGGGAACTCCACTTTATTACATTAGCTGCCCATAGCTGATATTTTATGATTTTACCACCACACTAACCAGGTAAACCAGTTGCCTCCTGCTCTTCATTAATTAAAACCCAAAGGGACAATGAATAAAAGGGCCATAGTTATGGCAGGAAAAGGAAGAAAGTTCCATATTTATAGACTTTCATCTCAATAGCTACCTCTTGCAATACTTAAGATAATTTCATACGATTTTTTTTTTTCCCCAGCTGCTGTAGGGTCTACAGGCATTTTTTGATAATGGAAGAACAGCAGAGAAAAACAATTTCAACACACGTATTTTAAACCAGTATCTCAAAACTAAATACAGGCTCAACTTCTCCAAGTTGTATTAAAGGCATACCTCTGCTCTTTAATTCCAAATTCAGCCCATTAGATACACAGAAGTTACGTGCCAAGGGCATTAAGCACTAAGTTTGCTGATAACCCCGTGATATCTGCATCCGTGCACAGTGATAAGCGAGCTCTGCCTTTGCCTCCACAATCCTCCTGTGCAAAGATGGAAGAGGAGACCAAGAGGAACTCAGGCCATGTTGGGGGCACCCCTGGGGGTGCAAGGAGATTAAAAACTCAGGGTAACACTGCTCAAGGGCTGTATTTTTTGAGGCAAAGGTGCACTCTGTGATCTCAAACATTTCCTTCTGCTGCACATATCCCACGTTACTTGGTCATCCTGTGAGGAGCCTACCACCACTCCTGGCACCTGCAGTAAGGTGGTCCTCGACTGTCTGAGTATCAGCCCCCTGGCAAATGAATCCTCTGGCACTGGGCCTTTCCATGTAACCGTGAGTGCAATCTTACCTGATTCTGCTACAATAAAGCATTTTGCCCTGTCTAGGAGCCAAGTACTTTCTGCAGCTGGTGTAACCCTTCTCTCTGCATTTATTTCCCTCTAACAGACATTTCTGACAGAAATGGGAGCTTTTTATTGCTGTGCTTTGTATGCAGTCCTCCGTTTATTTTATAACCTCACTCTGCCCTGGCCACCTTCTATAGTGCCCTTCTCCTTCTCTAGTGTTCTGCAAGTTACTTGCTTATTTCTCCCTTCCTGTTTTCCTAGCATCTCACCATCTCTTGGCACATTGCTTGCCTGTTTCATGCTATTCTCCAGTAGACAAGCCTTGCTCACTGACAGCTCCTGGTGGCCAGCGTGACTGCCGATGGATGGTCTTCTGTCTACCCAGCTGCCTTCATTGCTAGAGGTTTTCCAAAGGTGCTCAGTCCGTGGGATTAACACCCACCTGTGCCCTTTCCATCTTCAAGTGCCTGAATGCCTCCTTAAAATCTAGTCTGAGCCCAAACAAAGACATTCAAGTATTTCTAGAGACCAGCACAAGACTTTTTACCTTCCCTTACTACACACCGCCCAAATCTGTAGAGGCTGCTGAGGGAGATAACTCGTAGACTTGACTGTGAGACCAAACGTCCGTGAGAAGATAGGCTGAGCACACTCTCACATCTTGTAGATGCCACTCCCGAATTCCACTGGATCATACACTACCCACAGAATAAAGCATAAAACCTTGAAGAACCCTACGTAAATTTTTGCTTCTGCACACGCTTAATAGAGCTACGTGTTTATGGACTCGGAGTAAAACACAGTTTGAACTTGGCTGCTGGCCATCTGCCTGTAGAAGATTAGGGAGTTGCACTGGCAGAATCCCAGAAGAAAAAAAAAAAAAAAAAGCAAGGGCAAATAAGGCTGTGCTGGAGGCAGGTCTTTTAGCTGGAATGCAGATTTAAGAGTACAAGAAGCCTTTCACAGAGGTCAGTAGAGGAGACCAACAAAGAAGGAATGACTTCGAAAAGGGTGGTCTTGGTCGGAGCCAGGCTGCTTCTTTTGGACCCTAGTAAAACTACAGCTCCAATTCCCATCAGTTGCAGGGCTCCAGTGCACCATCCAGTTCTCTCCAAGCAAGGGAACTGCCCTCCTCCCATCGAGCCCTCATGATCTCCTTCTCTTGTGAGGTTTGAACTCACAATTTCAAGTACTTGCTGAAGAGACAGTATCTCCTCAAGTCTGTAAAGCAAAGCAGGCTGCCGCAGCAATTTCCTTGACTCCCAGTGGTGGATGAACTCCAGGTTTCTGTCTCCGGTCACTGCTTAAATTCAAGCATACTTTCTCAGACTGCTGCTCTTTTTTTCTGGTTCCTGTTCCAATAAACCTCTCACCTAACTCTGCTTCTCCATTCCTTTGCCTTGGCTATTTGCCTCCCATTCCCATAAAAATTGTTCATCAAAAGTGCTTGACTGTCTTCTAAGTGACATTTGAGCCCCTCCCCATCTGGCATTCCTTATTTACATGCTTTGTTTATCATTGTTAAAAGGACCCAACTAACAGAATAGGCTTCAGGAAAGGCTTTCATTACCTCCTTCAGACAGGGACAATCACCTCCAGGGTCAGAATGATCTCTGAATTTCACGTTCTCACTACTGAAAATACAGGTCTGATTCAGTTTACCTAAGTCAGGCATAGTGCCATAGCATTATATGGCCCCTGAACTACTGACTGCTGTATATTCTGAGGACTTAAGAAGAGGGACAGCAGTTGCTTATGTTTCCCTGGTTCCTTGCAAGCTGTTCTCCTTCACCCACCATGCTTCGCTTCGCTTTTCCTTATTATGATGGCCAGCTACAGGACACCAAATGAAGCTTAAGCTGCTGACAAAAAAAAAAAAAAAAGGAAACTGCATTATAATGGGAGCTGGTGGGCAAGCAGCAGGAAAAAGCACAACCGAAAAAAAAAAATCAATCCTGTTGCTGTGGAGTCAGCACACAGCACAAAATACACGGAAAACAGCAGCCCTGCCATCATTCAACAGCTACCTCTTCAGTTTATTAAGAGGCACCATATAAAAGCTTAGAAGACAGCTTGAAAGACACTTTCTTTGAAAGCCAAAAAGCATCTTAGGGGCATCAAGTGGAAGAAGAGAAAAATATCTGAAGATAACAGAACAAGCAAAGGTAGAAGAAAATATAATGATAAGCAGTATAGTAATATACCGCACTCCTACCTATAGAAGCAGTTGTGCATTATGAGGAGGAAGAAACAAGTTGGAGTTAGATGTCCTCTCCACAGCAGACAGTGACCCTGACTGCTCGCCCTTCCTCAGAGCTTGTGCTCCCACTGATGCAAAGGAGGCTAAGCGTGCACGGAAGCAGCAAGCACGTAGCTAGTGTAGTACGGTTTCATCTCTGCAGGCAAGCCCTCAGAGTGGCAGAGACCAGCAAGGTCAGGCTCCTGCAGGTCCATTTTCAACGTGTATCCGCTAGCTCTGCGTGGCAATTCCTTTCTATTGCCTACATGTGACCACAGATTCCATTTTTTCAGGCACCAAAGTTAAGCAACAAGGGTTAAAAAGAATTGGCTAATCACTTGAAGGGTTGCAGTTGAGGCTCAATAAGGAAAATCTCAAGAGGCTGGCACGAACAACTGCTGCTAGCTCTCTGTCAAGGGAGCGAGCCAATGCAAACGCGGCTCCCAATTCTATCAGGCTTTACAAAAGGGAGCGACAAAAGCATTTGTACAAAACTACCATTTTTAGTACAACAGATGCTGCTTCTTGCAAGCAAAGCTAAAACAACATGCTTGCAGCAAGCTTTCTAAACAAGGTCTGTGGGAAGGGAGGACATATGTTTTTAATAACATCTTATAAACATTTACAGGAAGCAGCAGCTACATTCCATATAAAGGCATTTGGTGTATTTTGTGCAGCATGGTGTGAGGGAGTAGGAGGGGAGCCCCAGCACAGATAATTAATTCCTTTATATTTAATGCTTACACAAATCCACAACAAAGGTTTTCAGGGCCTCTGCTGCTGCTCTGCATATAAATACACTAATACGCAAGGCTATGTAACAATATATGGGACAAAGCGTGCAAGAGACTTCTTCCCCCATTGAGGGTTTGATCACGTAAACTCAAAAAGCCAATCTGGAGTTGGACACTGGCAAAGAAGCACAGTAACACAGCACAGTTAACTATAGCAGAGCTGGCAGAAATCGCCAACTGCTACTGAACATATTCAGGGTTCTTCCCAGTGAGCAGTGGTGTAAAATGGTTGCTAAAATCCCAGGCAGGTAAATCACCTCGGAAATGCCATCCAGCATTCGGGATTTGTCTGATTCACCTCGGGCAGGTAAAACGACCTTTTGAGAGTCAGACCTTCCAGTCTTCAGTCTTTCTGCTTCAACTGTGGGTCACCTGCAAAACCTCTTGTCCAACACGAAGATGCTGCACTCGTTTAGACCAAATTACAGCACCAAAATATTGCTCACCCTTCCTGAGCCCAATCTTGCAAAGCGCATCAGATATATATGTGAATTTCAATGCCTTAAATTCAATCCAAATTATGAGATAAGCAGACAGGCAGCCTTTCCAGTCCAAGAATCTGTTTTTTTCTCTTGGCCAGTATGCTACATTAAAAAAAAAAAAGCCAGGCCTATTACGCTGCCAAGATTTAGTGTTTCAGTGTGCTGGGAGCTTTTAGGCCCTCTCCCAGACCCTGGTCTGAAGTTACTTTTCTGGCCATCTGGCTAGCAACTGCCTGAGCAGAAAGACAGCGCAGTGGTTTTCAGGCAGATACAAAGGCAGATCTTATTGAAACAGATAAATCTGAACATGTCCAGGTATCGGTCTAAAAGGAGGTTTCTCATCCAGACACCTGCACCTCATGTATAGCTTGTATCTGGAGATTGTCCCTGCACCCAGCCACATTAAGTGCTCTAACAAAAAGCAGGTTACCTTCCAAAAGTCAGCCCAAAGACACCAAGTCTCTGCTATTCCCACCGATGACACCATTCCCACTCGAGGAGGTGCTGAGCACTGCTTATCATTCCTCCGGGTTGTCACTATAAATCAGAGTTTTTCATTGCTCTGCGTGAAAGAGGGAGTTCTAGGCAGGGTTTCCAATTTAAAACAGTATTTATCAATAAATGCCTGCAGGACACAGTGCAGCGGAGTGCGATGAATAAACAATGAGGGCTGCTCAGAAGTTGGGACTGCTCAGTTTTAAGTTCTGTGAAGTCTCAGAAAAATCAATTGCACTTACGAGAACGATCACAATCCCAGAAGGAGAATATACAGAGTACCTGGGGTGTGCTTAAAGCAGCAAGAGGAGTTAACACACTGCGCGGGCTCAGGATGGAGTTTGCAAGTAATCACCACTCTGGTGCCTCGGAATTATCTTTTCCAAATGTTCACTGGGGGCTGTGCACATACTGAGCTGAAAGCAAATGTGAGGATTCTCAGTCTGATTCAAAATGTTTAGCAAATGATATAAAAACGAGTGGACAGACAGTAGGCAACACTTAGCCTCATCTTTCCCTAGGAGGCCACTACCGTAACATAGCAGCACATCAATTATTGACGGAGATAGCGGTTTCATCCATCGCTGCTGTCTGTCCCTTCTTGCTGAAATAATTAACATCTTTGGGAAGGGGGGAAAAACAAGTATAAAGGGACATATTGTACTGCCTACTTCAACAGATTTGTTTGTTTTCAGAGCAAAGAAGGACTGCTGTTAAACACTAAGCTAGTCATGTTTTGGGAGAGCAGATGAGGGGGGCTTCTCTCTCTCTCCTTTTTTTTTTTTTTTTTTTTTTAACAACTCCAACCCTTCAGGGAAATCGTTTTAAACTGGATAAATATTTCTCCCATGTTCTGAAGCTCAGGAGGGCAGCTCTTTTCTTCAGGTTTTGCATCTATTCTCTGATAAGAAAGGATGCACACAACAACCACAAGCAAGGGTTTGCATTTTAAAAAAAATAAAAATTAACAAGACTCTTACTCCCTTGGTTCCAAAGAACCAAGCAAAGCTGTATCATAGCTAACACAAATCAGTTGTTACCTTAAGAAAAAAAAAAACATACATAAACCAGGGCTTTCAAATGAAGTTACTTAACCCAGTGATAGAAACTGTCTCAGTTTTACCTCTACTTACTGGACTCCTTTTTCTTTTAAATTCTCTAATCCAGTTTTCTGATAAAACTCTCACAAATTATTAAGGAAAAATAGGTTAAGAGTAAGCAGAACACGCAGAAATAGGATGCTAACTGCTTATCTTTAAACCACTAATGCTTATACCACATTACAGAGATTTAAATTGAAACTAACATTAACAGCGAACTATTACTATTTCCTTAAGCTGAACTTATTAATTTCTGCCAAATTAAAGAATCATAAATGTTACATTTTAATCAGCATCAACCCAAGAGTTTCCTTTTCCTCACTGCCTCTTCTCCCTTTCATTCCCCACAACTTAAGTACTCCCCACGTCAAAGCCACCTGCAAGAAAACTGCATGAAGGGCCAGCCCAGTGATATGCTTTTACGTTCAGAAACCAGGAAAAAGTTCCACTGGCTGAGAAACATAATTCCTCAAAAAACTACAGGATACCCCTCCTCCTAGGGAGAGGCCATTCTGTGCCTTGGAGACACCTGCCAACAAAGAACATGCTCTGACCATACACACCTAATGCTATATATGAGATTTTTGGTCTCATAACAATCATTAACTCTCAGACAAAGCTCACTTCATTATCGTGATTCCCAGTATGACTGTATTTGAGAAAGTGAACCTCTGTTTATCCAGAGAAGAGTTGCGTTTTACCTGTGCTGTAAAAACCTAACTCCCTCCAGGTTTACCATAATTGTATCTTTTTCTTAAAAAATAATAATAATTATTATTATTATTTCATATATATATATACACACACACACACCCCTCCCACTCTATTCACAGAATCACAGAATTTCTAGGTTGGAAGAGACCTCAAGATCATCGAGTCCAACCTCTAACCTAACACTAACAGTCCCCACTAAACCATATCCCTAAGCTCTACATCTAAACGTCTTTTGAAGACTTCCAGGGATGGTGACTCCACCACCTCCCTGGGCAGCCCGTTCCAGTGCCTCACAACCCTTTCAGTAAAGAAATTCTTCCTAACATCTAACCTAAAACTCCCCTGGCGTAACTTTAGCCCATTCCCCCTCGTCCTGTCACCAGGCACATGGGAGAACAGGCCAACCCCCACCTCTCTACAGCCTCCTTTAATGTACTTATACAGAGCAATAAGGTCACACTACTGCACATAAGCATTTTACTTCTTGAATTCCATTTGGATATCAGAAGCAAGGTCACAGGGACGACTGCACAGGATATTTCACCCTGCAAAGCTGGTCATCATCAGGGCCGATACTAGGGTGATCTGCTTCAGCAGCTTACGCTGCAAATTTCCAAGCTAAAAGGTGAAACCTAATTGCTCGTATTAGGCAACAATCCCTGGAAGTAACCCAGTTACAAATGACAAAATGTTGAAAATGTACAGCCCTTCTCAGAATGCAATACAACGCCCACAAATAAAAAGGAAAAAAAACACTTTCAGCAAGGAAAACAGTGTAGTACGTCATCTGAGTGAGTAAATATGTACTACTACAAAGGAAGTAAGGCTAATTTTAAGAGGTCAATTTCTAAGGGAATTGTGTTTATGAAGTCAAAAGACTTTCTGCCTGACACGCCCTCTTGAAAATCCCAGTGAACCATTAGAATGAAAACACACATGCCCTTTGCGAAGGAAATATCTGAATTTAAACAATGAAAAAAAATAAAAGTTTTTGCTTCTTGCCTATCTACCTTTTCTTTTCCTCCGTGGCCCAAATTCAGGTACAATTGTTGCAGTTGCTGACACAACTTGCTATAAGATAGGTGGAACTATACTTACCGTGAATATTCTGGGCTTCCGGGTCATCCACACCGATGGCAATTATCTTCCAATCTGTCTCTCCTTCATCAACCATACCTAAAACACCCAACACCTTCACTTTAACAATCTCACCAGAAGAACGAACCTGCAAAAAGAAGATAATCTCAAAAAGGTTTGGAAAATGCTACACGGAATTCATCTTTTATGTTGCAGACAAAATGGCTTGCTACCTGTTCAGCCAGCAGCCACCAGAATTACAAGAACAATCTGTAAACATGATACACATCACCTTCATGTTAGCAGCCTTTCTCCTACCTTTTCTATTCTTAAACCTTCTCTTCTCCCATCAGCATTTAGTTAAGGAGACAACACAAGCTACAATATCTTTCCTTCTCTTCTACCCTACGTCCCCACACACTTTCTTGATCTTCGCCCCACTTTGCAAATCAAAAACACCTCTTATTCATTTTCTAGCTCTTTCATGCCTGTTGATTCTCTGCTTTCTCAACTCTTGGTTGTCATCTGTCTCTTGGACACACACATACACACACAGGCACCCACCCACCCCCAAAACATGAGCACAACTCTTTTTTGCATTCTCTTGGGGACCTTGGGGACCTTTTTCACACCAGGTAATATTTCCTTTCAACTCTTTCTGGCTCCCCTCAAATTCAGCTTTAGGTTCCTTCACTCAAGTGAAGCCACTTATGCTAAGGTCACCAGTTATATTTCCTTTTCCCTTACATACTTCAAGAGATCCCTCATCCAAACTCATTAATTTCATTTACCCTATCTTTGGTACCGCAGAGGATTCTTTGCTGCCTCTATGTACATGCAATTTTCTTTCAGTGAGCTAAACCTTTCCTTTACACCTATTATTGGTGTTTGCTGTGCCTCTTTTTCATCTACCCACTCCTTATCTACAACAGGTTCCTCTTCTCCTCTAAAGAGGGATCTGTTTCTTTTTGCACCCATGGGAGAACTCAAACCTACCCCCTATGTGGATTTGACCTTACAATCTTACGTGCATGACACTGACATATTTCTTCATCTTTCAGAATGCTAGTCTTATCTCTAGTACTGCTAGTAGGGGAAAAAGAAGTCTTTTTTTTTTCCTTCCTCCAAATCTTAACCCTCTCATCCTCCATCCAAAACACACTGTCCAGCTATACAACTTCAGAGTGTCCATCTCCAGCTTTCTCTTTTATCCAGCATCCAGACTTTACAAGATCCTTTTTTTTTTTTTACTGTTGTTTTTAAATCCACCATTTTTATACCTATTCTTAGACCCTCTGCTCATATTGTAGCCACCCCAAGACTGACTACTGCCACTTTTTCTTGTTTCCCACCTGCCATTCTCTTTCAAAAGCTATTACCAGATCATTAAATTAATCTTAATAAAAACCAACCTTTGAACCGATCTCACAAACATCAATAGGATCATTATCCCCACAACATCCTGTAATGTCATCTTTATGGTTTGGATCTTCCCAGGTCTGTCAAAGGAAAGAGAACTATGAGTTACCAACTGGTCTGCAGTTACAATTCACCTAACCACTATATTACTGAGATTAATAAAAACACCAACAAAAACGTCAACTTGCTGAGAATGGATTTGCTCAAAAAAAAAAAACAAAAAAAAGAAACAGACTCCAAACAAACCATGGATTGTAACAAATGGATCAACTGCATCAAAGACACATAAGACACTGATATTGCAGTGATCGAGTCAGAGGAGCCAGAACATGTATTTTTCTAATTACCAACACTTGTGGGATTAAATTAGGATATTCTACAACATTTTTACTATACTCTTTAGATACACCCACACTAACTTAAGTTGCTTTCGAAATCATCTAGACTTTGATCTTACCAAGTTCCTGGGTATGGAATTGTCAGTATCCAACTGACTTTATGAAGTTCTGAATTTAGGTCTGAAACTTTTGAGTGTTTTTGCATACAAAGATGCGCACAAGCCCAAGAACTGCCAGCAGCTTGAGACCAAACAAGGTTCCCTGAGATATAAGTTCAAATCCCTGCTCTAAGCTCCATATGAGCAAGGAATCACAGCCAGCTTAGTATAACTTTATAAAAAAGGCCAGTACATGTTTTGTCTCTTACTTGCTTGGAACGAAAGACATCATTCTACAGTTGAGTTTTTCTGGTAAGAATTTTAAGACCATTCAGGTTTTGTGGAAAAGATGTTAGAAAACCATCTACAAGGAGCTATACTGCTAGCTCCAGCTGTCCACGGTCAAGCCTCCAACTCATACTCTTGTTCTTGAGAACTTGACTGATGCTACAACTGTGAAAAGCAAATGGTCAGGTATTTAGATAGCAGCATCATTACCAGAAAAAAATGACAGAAGTGGAGTCAAGAGAGAATTTCAGCCTAAAACTTATTTTCCCAATATTCTTCCAAAGCACTCATTTAAGGCTTCATGCTATCAGTGCCATTCTCTAGCCCAGCTGCACCTCTCCACCTGTAGTTTCCGGAAGAATGGAAGGGAAGCTAGCTAGGAATGGTAGTGTTACCTAGACAGCACAGCAATTCCTGCAACAATTACACTCCTAGAGTAATTTTTCTTTTCTGTTCCAGAACATAAAACAGCTGCCACAAATATGTATCAACCCTAGCATATAGCTACAAGAATTTCTGGCAACTGCTGACCCTGATGAAAAGTCCTCTTGAGATAGTGGAGACCCAGAACTGGATCAGGCCCAGGGTTTGTGATAGTAGCTAGTAAGAATCTGGAGTATTGTTTAGACTTGGACAAGTATAATGATCCAAGTGACCTTTTAAAGTCATTACAAGAAAAAAAAAAAAAAAGGAAGACAATTATCTCCAGCTGTATGACTGACAAGGTAGTAAAGGGAGCTGAATGTATCTCTTGGGGAATGTGTCATCAGTCCAAAATAACGCCCTTTGTGCAGGAAGATATTTAAGTGTTCAATTTTGGCTTTGTACGAAGGCACAAACAAATTTCAAAATATTAAATGGAACTTTTGGTTCCCAACAATGCCTACTTGGAAACTTGGGACTACTCAGACTGCTGACTGGATAAAGACTTCACTGTCCTCCTCCACCACCTATCTGGTATCTCCTCTTCAGGGAGGAAATATGGATTTTCAGGAGTAAACTTTCAGTGCTCATGCATTTAAGTGTAAATAAATATTTTTTTTAGTTTCATCTTGATCATAAATACTACTTTCAATCCAATGTGTTGTTAAGAGTAATGAAAAAAAAAGTTTTAAAACTTTAATTATGTTAAAAATTTCAGACATTAATTGCTTTTTCTCCAATACTCAAAGTTTTGAAAGTGCCATGATCAGTAAAGTCTCCAAATTCAGAGCAAAGTTAACTAAGGCAGTTGAGGTTTAATCTAAAGAGAAAGTCCTTGTGTTCCTCTTTCTTAAAGATATTAAGAAATAATATCAATTAACATTCGTGCTGCAATACACGAAGATCCTAACTGAGTTTAAAAATGTCTTGCTTAAACAGGAAGGGGCTACTTGAACAAATATTCTGAATGCCAGACCACAACAGTTTATTTTTCACTATGGTATATGGATGCAGGCTAAAGACTCAAGATTTCTTGATGATTTAACTACTTCCTGAAACTGAGCTTGTGTTTATACCCTCACCCAAATTCTGATCAAAATTTACAGACAAAATAAAGCTTTAGATAAAAAATGCTAATTTACAAATTATCAAAGAGAACCATCTCTCTTGCAACTGATTTGCATTCTGGCAGTACTCAAGATTTACAAGGCAATTTCCACAGAAGACAGGAAACTTTCACCATTATAACAAAAATGTTACCTGAGGGAGGGCACCGTAATTCCATATATAACCCTTGTGAGGAAAGATATTTGCCACGTATCGGAGCTTGCCTTTCTTTGTATCTTGCTTAATGGGATTCAACGGCTCCTCAGTGGCAATCTAAACAGATCGTGAAAGACAGAGAGAAAGGAAGAAGTGTCAGACGGAAAGCAATTCATTCCATACCCAACCAGTTAGCTCCATCTGGGAGCACGTGCTTGTTGTTCGAGGAGTATTAAAAGCATGATGGCCTCACTTTAAGTCTCGAGAGCCATGTTCAAAAAGCTGCTTATTAAGGTTTTAAATAATGCTGTGAAGTATGCAAGAAAAATGAATGCAGAAGGGAAAGTCATAAATTTCTGAGGAGACTGTCCCAGTCAAACACAAATACCAGAAGAAACCTAAGTCAGAGGCTCCTGCGCTTGAACTTTGGTACAAATTCAACAAAGATACAAATGGCGAAAGTTCTTCAGACAACAGGGGCTTTGACAGCAGCAGGGGAATTGTTTCAGCGTCATCTCACCCACCCCCCCATTCATTGCTCCCCTACTGCATACACTCCTTCTCTCCATCACCTCCCAGCAAACAAACACTTTTTTAGTGGGGACAAGCTCTGAGTTACCACAGGCCAACGTGTGCTGGCTTGGACCAAGTTCAATTAGCATTAGAAGGTGCTTTTACTCCTGCAGTAGTGCTCCCAGGATTGAGCTAATTATTGCAAAGCTGCTTATTACTGTCATCATCCCCCCAAAACCTCAAATACCAACCCGCTGCCATGAGTTACCTACTTCACCTGAACTGTGCTTTTGCCACTCCTCACCACAACAAAACCTCTGTTAGCTTGACTCATCTGAACCAGCTCACATTTGTTACAGATTTTGAGCACACCCTGGCTCAGGCCATACCAGCTTGTGCTCGTTGTTTTAAAACACCCTTGTCATTTAGCTAGAATAATAGCAGCAAAGTCATCCCAAATGAATTATTTTTCAGACCACACTGTCCTGTCAACAGCAGGCAGTTGCTCTGTAAGTAACCCCCCCACATTTCTGTTTTCACACCTGATTCTGCATGCTTCCTACGTTAATGGTAAAGACTCTGAATATGCCACCTGGGGTTTCGGCAGAAGTGGAGCTCAGCACTGTTTTCTCTTGACAAGAATTGGTGCAAAGATTAACTGACAACGGTGGGCAGGGACCAATACAATTTCATAAAGAGCACCTTGAATAAAATCTATGGAAGGACAAGAGAAATGCAACACATTCAAGGTTTCATTTCCTACGGTCTCCACTCCAAGCGAGGGAATCTCAGCACAAAGACACAGACAAGAGCTGGTGCTGGCACCATGAGTCTGCACTGAAGGACTGTCAGGCCATGATGACAAGGCAAGACAACTCTCTGCCTTACTTAACACAGGAACCTCCAGGTCTCTTAAAAGTTATGTATTGCACCTGGGCTCCTATCAAGCCAAGCCAGAAAACATCCAAGGCCTCTGATTTCTGAACCTCACAGGACAGCAAACCTTTCTACCCTCAATGAAACAAAACATGCCAAGAAAAGAAAAAGGAGAGCAACATGTGCTTTAAGCAATGGCTTCAATGGCAAAGGGAAACTCTGAAAAATAGAGCTCAGCTTCTGCAATAAACCATCCTAAAATACAAGCTGATTACCCAAAGTAGCCGTATTTCTGGAATTAAAACTCAGGCAGTAAACGCAGTTCAAATGCTACTCCAGCATCAGGGAAAGGAGACAAAGTTCTGAACCAAGAGGCCAGGAGGCTCCTTGGTATTATTTTTAGTAGTCGAAGTAGCTTAACAGCTCAACCACAAAATTCCTTGAAAGCATCTGGAAAGCATTCCTAAAACTATTACAAATGTTCAGGAAGATAAGAAACATGCTGGTGAGGTCTGTTGTTTCACCAACTCTACAAATGAAGCATTACTCAGCTTCTACATTACAAGAGCAGAGGAACAACCACTGGGCTCTCCTTTCAAAACATCTTCCAGCAGGAGTAGATATTTCAAACGAGCAAGGCCCTGACGTACTTTTTGTCACAAGGAAATGTTTTTTCATTTGCCACTCCATTTGTCAGGACGTAGCCTATCACACTACCATTTATATGCTGGAAGTGAGAGGATTTAGAGCCTCTGAACCGAATGTTTTACAAGCGAGCAGCAGGACAACTAAGCAGCAGAGCCCTAGAGTGCTGGGCTGCAGGTGGGCTGTGCTCTGCTGTCTGGGGCTGGCAGGAAGCAGTGCTCACCTGCAAAGGGGAAACAATTACAACCTCAGCACCTTCTTTAATGGTGATGGAAACGTCTGTATGCAAACTTAGTATTTTAACTGAAAATTCTATGTGTAAAGAGCAATCCACATTGATTAAACACTGAATACTGAACCCCACTGCGCTGCTGTAACTTCCATCGGTGCCCATATATTCAAGGTATTTTTCTTATTTACCTCCATTTTTGCGTTCGTCCAGCGAGGCACTTCTACGACCATATTAAACAGGACCTAAAACAGAAACAGGGAAAGAACTGAAAATAAAACCCACATGGTGACTAGCATTTGCAGTAAGAAATTCTCTCTCCTGCATTCAGCTGCAGCAAATCTCACTTATTCCAGCTGCTTTTACATAAAGTACACTTCACGTTCCTCACAATAACATTCAACCTCCCCAGTTCATCCTCCACCCCCGTTCACCTCTGAGAATGCAAACAAGGAGTAATGGAGACACACGTGATGCTTTTTATTCCAGTATCAGTATTACCCTTCACACAGTGTTCAATAAGCCTTTGGAATGGTTTGGTTCATGATGAGGCAGTGCTCAGAGCAATAGGCAAAAAGGATTGGGCCGGTCCTCTTTAACATCTTCATCAATGATCTGGATGATGGCATTGAGTGCACCCTCAGTAAGTTTGCAGATGACACCAAGCTAGGTGCGTGTGTCGATCTGCTTGAGGGTAGGAAGGCTCTGCAGGAGGATCTGGATAGGCTGCACCGATGGGCTGAGGTCAACTGTATGAAGTTCAACAAGGCCAAGTGCCGGGTCCTGCACCTGGGGCGCAATAACCCCAAGCAGAACTACAGGCTGGGAGAGGAATGGTTGGAGAGCTGCCAGGCAGAGAAGGACCTGGGAGTGATGGTGGACAGTCGGCTGAATATGAGCCAGCAGTGTGCTCAGGTGGCCAAGAAGGCCAACGGCATCCTGGCTTGTATCAGAAACACTGTGACCAGCAGGGCTAGGGAGGTGATCGTCCCCCTGTACTCGGCTCTGGTGAGGCCGCACCTCGAGTACTGTGTTCAGTTTTGGGCCCCTCGCTACAAGAAGGACATCGAGGTGCTTGAGCGGGTCCAAAGAAGGGCGACGAAGCTGGTGAGGGGCCTGGAGAGCAAGTCCTATGAGGAGCGGCTGAAGGAGCTGGGCTTGTTCAGCCTAGAGAAGAGGAGGCTCAGGTGTGACCTTATTGCTCTGTATAAGTACATTAAAGGAGGCTGTAGAGAGGTGGGGGTTGGCCTGTTCTCCCATGTGCCTGGTGACAGGACGAGGGGGAATGGGCTAAAGTTGCGTCAGGGGAGTTTTAGGTTAGATGTTAGGAAGAATTTCTTTACTGAAAGGGTTGTGAGGCACTGGAACGGGCTGCCCAGGGAGGTGGTGGAGTCACCATCCCTGGAAGTCTTCAAAAGACGTTTAGATGTAGAGCTTAGGGATATGGTTTAGTGGGGACTGTTAGCGTTAGGTCAGAGGTTGGACTCGATGATCTTGAGGTCTCTTCCAACCTAGAAATTCTGTGATTCTGTGATTTCTATAGGAAAGAGTCAGCTCCCCTCAGGCACTGGTAAGGGCAGCGTTTTACCCCACCACGGGGATTTATTTCTTCAGGTCTTCCTTTTGTCACCATATAAAAAACATAACCGCTGACAACTCTCAGTCCAATCTGGTTGACGTGAGGCCAAATGAATCTAGAAGTGATGGCAGAGAAAGGACATGGACACAGGCACTTCGCGTTCGCGTAAGCTTTCTTCCCAGCAGAAACAGAATGAACATTGTTTAAGAATTTTTAAAAAGACATGAGAAAAGCAATGTGTAACCACTGCAAGCTCTCTTCTGAAGCTGTCAGGGCCAAGCACTACTAAGGAGGACAGAGTATTAATCAAAATGGGTAACTAGGACAAACCACCCAGCAATGCCTATGACCTATTTTCTTCGCAATTATTGAAATAACCCCAAATATCCCACTGCCTGGGACATCTCTCCATACAGAAAGAAAATTTGTGTTGGTATTAAAGATGGCACAAAATATGTTTTTGAAGACGTAAGTAGGAAAAATAAAATCAAACCAACTGAAGAACAGCACTGACTCTTGAACTACACTGCAATGAAGGCTGTAGCAGACACTTAAATACTTGGATTTTCCTCTTTGTATCCTACAGCTGCAACCAACACGCGCAATTAGGAGGGTTAATGCCACAGTCAATTGATTAATGTCAATCCAATGGTTCTGTGATCTCCTCTCCCAACAGGAATGGGGCAAGCGAGAAAGCAGAGGAAAATCCCAGCTGTCCCTCACGGTTCTCCCCATGAGATCCCATGCTACGCACAATCCTGACGGCAAATTCCAGGAAATTTGAATGCAATCTGCCATCCCTAAGTACTGCGCCCATATTGCAATTTGTGGTGTCTAAGCACGTAAGATGGAATCACTTTTCCCTATTCGGTCATGACCAAACGCATTAAACAAGATAAAAGAACAAAAAGGAGAAAGGTGCTTCGGATCGCTTGCACGAGGCACACCTTGTGTACATATAAGCACAGCTGAAGCAGACAAGTGCTCAAAAAGAGAGCTCAAAGACGTCAACACTAAGGCAGCAGACCCAGAACAAAGTACCGTACGTGCAGCAGCAGGTAAGGGCAAGGCTGGAAAAGAGCCAAATAAAGTTTGCACATCCATCTCGGAAGCATTTGGAAAAACAAATGCACGGCATAGAAGCCAGTGCTGACAAGAAGCTCTCAGAGAACTGCCAGCGGGCCAAAGGATTGTTCTGACTGGCAGCTACAGGCAGAAACTTACAGACTACTCCGGGAATTAAACACAACAGCTCCCTCCTTCACTGGCTGAGGTTTTTGCTGGGAAGATGTGACTGCACATTTTCCTCACCACGTCAAACACAACGACCTGTAAGTGTTGTTTTGAACTTTAATTGGCTGAGAGCTACTCCAGGTCCTCACCAGAGCAATGCATGGGACTGGACAACGGCTGGACTGAAGTGCACACAATGCTCTTCCAAAACGAATCTCTTGGATTTAACCCAGCTTTAAGACCAGGCCTCCATAATTTGTGTTATCAGTCAAATGGGAATTGTCAAGAGTCTTAAATGTGACAGCCTGACAGATTAATTCGTATGCAAAAAAAAAAAAAAAAGGAAGTACTCTTTCTAATGCTAAGCTGCCAAAGGCATTTACAAGAGATTAAGTAACTTCATGCAGTGCTTACATTAAAAAATAAAAAGTTTTATTTATAGGGTAATCACATTTTCACGGTGATGAGGCAGGATTCACTGGGGTGGAAAGCAGAGCACGTATTAGACAGTTTTGACAGATGGAAAGAGAGAAGTGTATTTCTCCAGGTTTTCTTTCCTCTGTTTTCCTATCTTGTTTCCCTCCTTGCCTAAATGTCATCCTGAATTTTCTTCCAGAACGCTGACTTCCCCAGGCCAGGCACCTCTTCCTGCTGTCCACTTGCACAGTTTCCCTCAAGTCCTTGCTGCAAAACTCCTCACCCCCGCTGCAAACAGAAAGGTGTCACCCATCACATCTCCACACATCAACTGCTTACACAATCCAGCGGTGAGTTGTGGCTGGTCAGTGCACCTGGAAATTGATCTTATCTTCAGTCAGCAAAAGAAAAAAAACTTCACCTCACCAAAAACCCAAGTGAGCGCTTCTACTCCCTCAAGCCATGGTGAAACTGCTCCAACAACCCACTTGACACACCTTCCAGTGACAGAAAGAGAAGTCCCCAAAGTTAATTTTTCATTAAGAAAACTGTTACTTTAGGAAATTTACCATTTAACAGCTTGCCAAAGTCCAAACTTCATCTAGATTCAGAAGAAGGGACAGAACTCGGGAGCTAGGAAATGTGCCCTGAGAGAGCCCGCAGGGATGTCTAACCCAGGGTATTACATAGCTGGTTTGGTTTGGGGTTAATGCGAGCAGAAGACAGACATTTGTACTTTTGCCCTATTATAGCTGGAGGAGGTAAGGGGGGAAAAAATCCATTTGGTCAATACAGAGCAGTCAAAAGTATACTTCCCAATTCCTAAAACTGAATATGAACAGGGAACGACATCAGAAAAGAGACGCTCTTTCCAAATGGTATCCTTTATCTCCTAGGAAAGACAGTCTAACTGCACCACATGGCAAATCACGCAGAACATAAATAAAATGTTTGCTTTAGCAATTTTTTAGCTTTTTTTTTTAAACAAGTTTTGGCAACTTACTGCATTCCATTTGAATTAAACAATTTTTAACATAATTATTTTGGCTGATATTTCACACAGACAACAGGAACAAGGTTTGTTGTTTTTTTTTTGCCTTTTCTTTTTTTAAATGAATACCACAGGAAGATAAAAAAAATCTAGAAATACACTTCAGCATGCTCATGCAGCAAGTGTTGAGAAAAGCAAGGAAAATACAGACTGTTGTACCCAGGTAAACTGTGAGTCACACTTCTCTCCGCTGTGACCAGTGGCCAAAAATAACTGCTGGCTCTGGCTGTACAGATTCTTATAGAAGACAGCTCATTTTGATGGCAGCTGCTTATTACCAACTTGAACATCACGTGTCACTAAAAAAGCGATGAAGCACATTTCTGACACTGAATTTTTGCCCTTCTGGATTCCCATGCATCCGTCTCAGGAACAGTTCTTTCTTACCTAACTTATGCTTTTCTTATTCAACTATTTCCTTCCCCAGTCTTCCCAAGTTCCCCAGGTGGTATATTTGAGGGGAAGGATTTAAACAGGACTGCAATAGGTAAAGCTCAACTCTGAAGTTTCAGCTAATTTTAAGCAGAAGTGGAGCAAGGTATGGAGAGTGAGGAGAGTGACAAAACAAGAAGAGAGGAACAGAAAGTCAACATAATCTCATTGTTAAAAGTCACGTTTTAAGGCCCGATTGCCATTCACCATCAGCCTTGCAGGACAGGGAGAAGCAGTAAGCTGAAGCTCACATTTCCTTCAGCCATTTTTAGAGCAGAGTGCTTTAAAAAAATCTGGAAGTATTAAAGCTGCATTTGGGGGCTGTTGACCCTCCTCTTGGAGAAACTGAACTCACAAGACAGAGAAAAGAAACAAAAAAATATATATTTTTTATTTTTTGCCTGCTCATTTGCAATGTTAGAAAGAGTCTCACCAGCCATTCACTACATAGGGCCCCTGAGGACTAACGAGAACTGAGAGGACAAGCTGCACTCCAGCAGCAGTCTGAGCAAAGGGAGATGTTTCCATGAACAGAAGTTTAAAAGAAGGGAGAAAAAAGGGGGAAAAAAAAAAAGAAGAAAAAGAAGGACTGACATGAAATACGAGAAATACAAGATGAGGGGCTTGCTTATAAAATGAGTGCCTGTCTCACAAGCATTCCTGGTATAAGGCCTGATGTCAGGCACACGCTGATAAACTGATTAGTGGACACATCTACCTGCACAGCTCCTCAGGGGAGAGCCTTGGCAAGGACGAAAACTAAACACAAGCTTTCTCAAGTTTTACGGAACCATTTCTTTCATGTTCAGCTCGATCAAATCACTGATGTAGCCTTCGCAGTAAACCAACACTACTCCGGTAGATTTTAAGTGGAGAGCTGAGTGAAGATTAACAAACACTGAGAAGTAATCTACAAGAACACAAAGCAAAATTTGCAGCTACTGGACAGATCCACAGAAAAAGGCTGGGTGGCTTCATGCATCAGGATGAAACCTTCACTGATCTGCAGTACTGAACACACACAACAGACACGCTACAGCCCAGGTTACAGGTACCCAAAAAGTGTCTAATGACTGAAGGCTACAGAAGCTGTAGTTCAGAGATAATAGAGTTTTGCACCTGCACCATGTGGAAACGATGCCAGCTCTTCCCTCCTTACAGAACAAGCTGACTTTATCATAAGACCACTCTGCCACCACAGCTCTGAACTGCGTTCCCAGCATGTGGCCCTTCACCTGATCACTTCTTCAGCGTGCATGACCACTGCGATGACCACTTGTACCTCACCTGACTGCCTAATTTATCAAAAGCTCCTGCCTAACAGGAAAAGTTCAAGTCCACAGGGGCATTCCAGCACTGTGCAATCCACAGGACACAACAACCAAAGCTGTCTTACTTCCTCCTATTCTTTATCAACTGCTCTGGTGGGTGTCTGCAAGTTTGGAGTATAATCTCTACAAGCTTGGACAGATTTCTTTTTCTAAGGTCAATATTTTAAATAAACCTTTGTATTAAGAACACCTGAGCCCGCTGAATGAGATAACGTGAATACTTTAGCCAAGACATATACATGACAAGCGGATTAGAACCTCTTTCATTACAGCAGGGAAGCAACACTTCACATTTGTCTTGAAAAGAAAACCATGACCTCTTCAGACCTTCTTGCTGCCAGACATGGAAGACCACGGTCAACAATCTGCCTCTGACAGGTCTGAGTGTAACCACAGCAGAAACATCCAGCCTCTCAGACACAGAGGGGAAACTTTTGATGCCTTTCAGAGAGATTTGCTTGGACAGAACAGATCCCAAGTGCTTGCTGTGCTGAAGACAAAGCAGAGATTCAGACTGCAAGCTGACAGCAAGTTTGAGACTGACCCTGAACAATTTTGAAGCTGAATATGATTTCTTCCAACTACAGTTTCTCCCTGAAAGTAACTTCTCTCGAGTCTTAACCCAAAAAAATCCATGAAACACAGAAGTTCAGTTGTCAACAGTTGCTGCAAAGCTAAATTTATTTGAGTTTGGAAGGTCACAAGTCTTAAAGATGCCACTTGGTTTCTAGGGCAAGAGGAACCATCACCTTTGAATTCTGGCCAAACTCAGCAAGGATCAACTGAATGTCCAGGAGCAACAGTAGCTTCTGCGTCCCTAGACCAGGGTACTGATTACAGTGCTTCAAAGATCTTTAGCCATCAGTACATGGCACTAAATTCCTCATTTCCCTTTATGCCCTGACTAAGCCATGTTTTCCCTGAATACAAGCACGCATCGATACATTTCTCACCAGGCCAAGGTTACCCAAGCTGCTCAAGAACCCGGTGTAAGACACACCACCTTCCTGAACACAAAGACCCCTCTCTTTTCTCCCCACCTCCCGAAGATAATGATGAAATGGGGTTTTCTAAACGTTTTGCATTCCTTTATTTTACCATCTAAGACCAAGCGTTTTTGGAGAGCCTATAAACTGCACATTCGCTTGCATACTCACATGAGATGCCTGAAGACCAAAATTGAAGTATTAATACAATACCATGACTCTTTCTAACAAAATAAAGTATTAACTTTCATCCATTTAAGTGTAGGACCACAGTCAAATCATACTAAATAATGCTGAGCGTGTTACATTTTTTGCCAATGTATTTAAGTAGAAGTAAACCCAATTAGTTGATGAGGGAAAGGCTGTGGATATGGTCTACCTAGATGTCAGTAAGGCTTCTGATGCTGTTCCTTACAGCATTCTTCTGGAGAAACAGCCTCAACTTGCGCCAGGGGAGGTTTAGGTTGGATATTAGGAAAAAATCTTCACTGAAAGGGTTGCAAAGCTTTGGAACCGGCTACCCTAGGGATGTAGCTGAGTCACCATCCCTGGAGGTAATTCAAAAGACATGCAGATGCGGTGCTTAGGGACATGGCTGAGTGGTAGACTTGGTGGTGCTAGGTTAATGGTTGGACTCGATGATTTTAAAAGGTCTTTTCCAACCCAAGTGATGCTATGATTCTATGATTTGCCTTTGCTCCTTTTCCACAGTTCTGTTAAACCACAGTCCAGAGTTCTCTCCTATCAGGAGTTATGTGAAGCAACTATGGTGTGTCTATACCAGCCCGGGAAAGAAGAGCTGCTCAGCTTCACAGGCTTTTGTTGTTGTTGTTGTTTATAGACTGATCGAGAGATCTGAAAAAGGGAACTAGAAACAGTTTGACACAAGCCATCATACTTCCCACCACACAGAGAGAAGCAGTGTGAGACGCTGCAGAGAACAGGCTCTGCATCTTTGCAACCAGCTGATACTGACACAGCATTTAAGGCCAGTAGTTGGGAATTCATGATGCCAGGCTGTTAAGAAAGCCTCTTGGGACATACTCTTTCTCCTCAACAACTCATCTATCAGGCATGATCCTACATCTACCCCGCAGCACTTAAATGGGCACCAAACAGCAGGAAAACTGAAGTGTTATGGAAGCACCACAGATTGAAAGAATCATGAGGCAGAGGAAATGCACAGAGCAAGATTGTGTTGGGGACTGGCGTACTGTACGAGAAGCAGTGTGCCACACAGTAGTTGCAAAACTGTGGGAATGCAGACAGTTGGGACACTTCTTTCACATTAGACGGGCAGTTACAGTTTTGCAACATGACTGGCAAAACAGATACTGAGAAGATGGGGGGGGGGCAAGAAAACACTGCAAAAAAAAAATTGCTACATTTTGGAAAGGATGCTTTCATAAACAATGTTTGTTTCACAGAGAAAGCTTGAACAGACCTGCCATGTTCTCTGGGCTTCTAGGCTCAGCTTTAGCACTTGGTTAATGTTGAACCATCAGCAGATGTGATTTTCTCTCTTTGGGCTTTCCAAACGAGCACAGAAAGTGACACACCCCCAGGTGTAAAAAGCAGATACTCATTCTCATTTCTGCCCTAACAGACTTGCCATCTCTGAAGTTTTGTATACACACCAAAATTAAACCCCAGCCAGAGCATAATGAATATTTCATTAATGGACATTTTTCATTGCAAATGTTTTTGCAAAAAAAAGATTACATATCTATGCTGCAATAGTCATAATGAACCTTTCAGAGAGTGGTATAAAAGTGTTTGTCTTTGAGAACATCTTGATGAATAAAAGAATTCTGACATTTGAGGCCCATTCAAAGGGAGAATATTAAATCCCTTTAAGCCCAAAAGACTTGCATTTGAAGATATGTCAACTATATTCAGTGAAAGATCACTTTGCAGAACAGCAAAATGATGTGGAGGAGAGAAAAGAGGGAGAGAAAAGGAGAACTTAGCTGTACCTCGCTCGCTGTAGTCTTTGACCTCTTTGCAGGAATCTCTTTATCCTGTAGGGAAAGTACGAATAAGGAGCATTAGAGAACAATATTGTATTCACGTAAATACAGACATTACTAGTTTTAAATGCAAATTGAACATCCTCTTTCAAGTATAAAGGCCTGAACTATAACTTTTAAAAACAGGTAGTTGGTCCTGTTTGACTGTGAATTATAACCTTCCCAATGTTGGCAGAGGAAGATAAAAACGCACATGGACACATCCACTTTCTCCCAGCTACTTAATTTCAAGCAGCAGTTTAGGCATCAGCTGGTTAAAAACACATCAGTCACCCTTTTGTTCACTTGAAAATGATAAAAAACGGAACAGAGAATGGAAAACGGGCTTGGAGTTATCCACCATAAAATTAAAGTCCACAAAGCTTAGATCAGAGGAGGGAAAGAATGTAACACACAAGGCCTTACCTCCTCCTCCTGCAAAGAAAGCAAAATTTATACACACCTTCATGATGACTCCCATTCATGCTCCCCCCCTTATGTCCCACAGAAAGCTCTTTCCTTTCTCACACAGTCAAAATCAAAGGCTCTATGCTTTCATCAGACATCGCTGTGCTGTAATTTAATCCACAGAGAAGCCACAGACCATAATCCATCCCTCCAAACCTTAAACTCTGGGCGTGGGGTCAGCCACCACGTAACACATGGGTGAAAACGCCCGTCGCTCTTCCATCAACAGCACCAACTGATCAGAGCATCCCAGTAATGACTCTGAACGAGGCTCACATCTTCCACCGACTACCATGCTTAGATCGGCTGCTCAAAAAGGTTTCATCCATACTTTTAAGCTCTCAGTTTAAATAACTCAAGAGATTGGTTCATTACTTCAGAACTCTAAACCTAACCGCAGTACAGCTGCTGACCTTTCACACCAGTCATGTCCCCATAGCATCCCAGCAACAAGTGAAGGAAAGGGCCCAAACCCTCCCAACCTGTTTGTGTAACGAGCGAACCATAATAAGCAAACCCAAGTCTAACCCAAAGACTGGCAGTTCCCACTGGTGACATATAAAGCAGGCGTTTCATTATTGCTATAATGAAACTCCAGGGAGTGTGGCTAACAAGACGTGAAAGTGCTCAGCTGCACCTCACGCCTTGTAATTCTCCAAAGGTGCGATTACCACTTCTCTCTTGGGCATTGTTGTTGGCTTCCAATTACGCTCCCCCTTTTGGGAATTAAAAAAAAAAAATACACCACAAGCCACAAAAGTATGTGCTGTAGATGTCCTACAGCAGGGAAACGCATAGATTTAATTGTGGTTGTAGAAAACTGCCATTTTAAAAAAGTAACAATAAAAAGTGTTCTAGAGCACAAACACAAGCCTTAACCATAGAGAAGAATTATCACAAAATACCATGAGGGTTTACCCCACCCTCAATAACCAGGAGTCTTAAAAAGACACCCAGGGTCATTCACACCCTTATTATTATCACTACATTTTACTACAAGTTACTGAACTCAGCTGAGAAAATTGGCTGCTTGTGCTACACAGGAATCAGCCTGGATTAACATGGTCCCTTCTGATGCTACAGATTTTGTGTCTCAAATGCTCTAAAACTTCTTTTTTAAAAGTGCGTTTTTACCTAGTGAGTACCAACAAAGCAGTTATCATTTCAGAAATGAATTTTGTCGCAAGGCAAATATACAAATATACAAATATACAAACCTCTTTAGCTGCAGCAAAAAGTGGAATGTCATGAAATGGGGAAATGTATTTACCATCTCCATTCTCTGAAAAACACAACAAAAAAGTAGCATTACAAATCTAAATGCATGCCATAAGACACCTGCATCGCTAAGAACTGTTATGCATTATACAAGGATAAGGAGTGACACAATACATCAATTAAACTTCTTTTTTTTCTGAATTGTAGTTCCAAAGACCAAAAAATAAGCTCCGTGCAGGACAATGTATTTGACTGCTTGACAATGACTCATTAGAATGAGAATTATTGCTTCGGTATACAATGCCATACTTTTCTGTCCTTCCTACCTGGCAATACAAGCTATGTAAAAGTTGAGAAGATCCTTTCATTCTCTTTTCTCCTCCTCCCTGGCAATACAGAACCATTAACAGGTGGGAAAAAAAAAAAAAAAAAAAGGTGTGGAGTTCCATAAGCAATCAGTGAATTTACCTGGGCTTTCCAGCAGTGCAGCCCCTGTAACTTCACTGCATTTCTATTAAGCTAAATTTCACAAAGAGACAATTGTCCAACATATTAGGCCCAAGTCTGACCAAGAGAATACGTGACTGATCGGATAATTGCACAGGCCCTAGAAATGAAACGATACCTTAAAAAAATGAAAAAGCTGACAATAACTTAGTGCTTAACAGGGATCTGGTCTACACCTTAGCCTTGTTTTCACTGTAGGGAGGAACAAAACGCACGCTTAAACATTTCAAATTACTCAGAAACTTTTCAATGTACCAAACACCAAAGTACTGCAACAAATCGATGCATAAACAGAAACAGCAGCAGCAATACAAAGTACTAACACTAATCTCAAGGAGTTCCCCCTTGTCAGCACCCCTTGTCACAGTAAATGGAAAAACAAAGGACTTCTTTTAGCCTTGGACCACCTCAACACGGAGGAACACGTGAGGGTGCTTCTCACAGCCCTTGGAAGCCTCCCAGACATTCCTCCTAAATAAAACAAAGTTTAGTGGTGGGCTGGTTGCTTTTACTGAGGAACGTGACTTTTTGCAGCACACGAAAGCTCTGTGCCTCGCACGCCAGCGGGGCAGCACAGGCAGGGTGCATGACGCCAGCGGACGTCAGATGTAACTCCCAAGAAGCTAATGGCCCAAAGATGTACCGAGAGGGTGCTTGCGAAACCAGGGGCCTTCCAACAGCCAGCTTTATGACCCAAATGCGTAACGCTGAGGCCGCACGCCACCAGATTTCCCTGGGCTTTGAGCAGCCTCCTGGAGGGGCTCTCCCAGAGCCCCTTGGTGCTGCTGGCCTAGGAAGTCCCTCAGGGCTCGAGCCCTGAATTTTTTTTGGTTTTGTTTTTGTTTTTTGACATTTCTGAGAGAGGACTGGCTTCGTCACAGGGTGCAGGGAATGCTACCACACTGCTTGCTGAGCTGAGGCTGCCATGGCCCCCACCAGCCAGGCTGCCACAGGCACCCCCAGCACCTCTCCACCTTCTGCGCGGCCCTCAAGGCCCAGCAGCCCCTCTAGAAGGAAACCATGACGAGAAAAGCCCTTCTTTTCCACACAAAATCTCCCCCCTCACGCACAGGGCGGCTGAGGGGCGATGCCTCCTCCAGCCTGAGGGGTCTCTGCGGGGAACCGCCGCCGCCTCTCCCCCACCGCGCCCCCCTCCCTTGGCGGGCTAGGAAGGAAGGAAGGAAGGAGAGGGGGTTTTACGGAGCCCCGGGGCGCTGCTACTTACTAAAGTAGAGGCGGTAATCGGGAGAGTTGGGCCGCCCCCGCTGCTCCGTGCCGTAGCGGGCCATGGCGCTGAGGCAGCGGCGCGGCGGCCGCCCCCACCCCCGCGCCGCCCGCAGCAGCCGCCCCAGCCCCGGCAGCGCACGCATGATGGCGGCGGCCGCCTCCCTCCCCTTCCTGCGGCCGCCGGGGCTGCGCCTGCCCCCTTGCCCCGCCTGGAAGCCCTGGCACGGCGGGGCAGGGAGCCTCCGGGGCCGGGAGCGGTGCCCTCCTGCCCCGCCGGCGAGGAGGAAGAGCTGCGGGCGAGCGGGGGGAGCCGCCCCCAGCCGCGCCGCCGCCTGAGGGGAGCCATGGCCCCGAGCCCCAAAATGGCGGCGCGGCCCCGCACCAGCCCTGTGGTGAAGGCGGGCGGAGGCGGCTTGTCCCCAAGGGGGGTTGCCGAGTCCAGACGCTTGCCCCCCCCGTTTACCTTGGGTTTTACCTTGGGAGTTTGTCCCGTTTCGCTGTGGGGCTGCTCCTTTGGGGAAAAAGCGTTCATTTCACAGAATCACAGAATTATTTAGGGTGGAAGAGACCTCAAGATCATCGAGTCCAACCTCTGACCTAACACTAACCAGTCCTCCACTAAACCATATCCCTAAGTTCAACATCTAAACGTCTTTTAAAGACCTCCAGGGATGGTGACTCCACCACTTCCCTGGGCAGCCCATTCCAGTGCCTCACAACCCTCTCAGTAAAGAAGCTCTTCCTAATATCCAACTTAAAATCCAACCTTTCTTCTCAGCACAAACAGCTCTCACCGGGCCATCCACAGATGAGCTCCCACAAGTAGATAATATTTTTATATTGAACCTCATAAACACACAAACTAGATTCTCGTCTGTATTCAGGTTGTAGTGGTTCTGAAGCTTGTCCCCCTATGCACAGTCCGATTCCTGCAATACTGGTGGCTTTGGACACCAGTCTCTTTCTGTCGATGCTTGAGGAGGGTTTCATATGAGTTTCGCCTACCAATATGGGTTCTTGGAGCATTGCTTCTCTTCATGGATTTTTCAAAAATCACCCAAAAGGGGCAGAAATCACTGCATTCGTTTTACTGATGGAGAAACTGAGGCAGGCCAATTTTTGTTACTGTTGTCGCTCATACATCTCAAGCCAATGTCTTTGGTGATTAATACTAATTTTGAATTTTAACTCTGATTTGAATTATTGTGGAAGATTTGTGTAGGATAACTACATGTTCCCCTGATTATTTTATATGGTATTTAAAACTGTATTGGGAATTTTTCATTTGCAGCATTAAGGCTCAGACAATCTCTTCCATCCAATTAAAAAGGTATATAACTTCTTTTGCTCTTTCTTTGTCCCCTTTACTGTTGGGTAGGTAGGGTTTTACAAGCATCAGGATTGTTCTGCCTGCGTCCTAAGGATCCAGCTTTATTTTACAATGGAGCGGGAGACTTCCCCGACAGCTTCCATAATGGCTCCTGCCTGTACTTCTTAAACCTGTTAGTAGCTACTCCAGACCTCAGAGTTGTTTGCTAGTGGGTGGGTTTTTCCCTACTGTTAGGGCTCTGGATAAAAAGTTATGGTCTCCTTCCTTCTCTTTTTCTGAGCCATTGTTTGCTAAATTTGTCACAACAGGCTTATCTCCAGGAGAACAGAATGGCAGGCCAATTATCCACCTCCACAGAAGCTGCTAAATAGTTGGTGTTTTGCCAGAGGTGTTGGCATCTTTCATCCCTGAGTTCACCAAATGCAAGGTTTTCCTGAATGGGACACTTGGGGGTTGAAATTCTTCATGTGTCCGTTTGAAGTTCTTAACGTTTCTGGTTTGTAAGAGGGCAAATCATCAGTTTTTCACGTGGGAAAAAGAAAAAAAAAAAAAAAAAAGAAAAAAGTAGAGAGAGAGAGAGAGAAACTTTCTCTATTTTAAAAACCCTATTCAGCATTTTCTTTGAGTTGGCCTGCTGCTGAAACATGCAAGGATAAAAACAAATGGGCCTAGCCTTCCACCTCTGCTTGGGTCTGAGGAATGTGGGTTTCATTTATGGAAGTTCAGAGCTTTTGAAAATCATTTACTGAGTGCACATGGAGTATTCGCAGTATTTTTATTCTTGCAAAGTTGGCAGTTGGTTGTAGTGTTATTCTAGGAGAAACCCAATATATATTTATTTACTCGTACAAGTTAGGAAGTGAAATATGCAGCTGTGGTCAAGAGTCACTGTAAGATGCCCGAAGTCTGAGTGCAGAGTTCTCCTTTGCCTAGTGTGGTCTTATCTAAAGCTTTCTCATCTGTAGTGGGAAATCATCTGTGAAACACTTGGAATTTATGAAATATAAATGAGCTCCAGTGCAAGCGCTTTCTAGGTGCATAAACAGATGCCATCCTGTTACCTAGCAAGGGTGGATGATATGGTGGAAAAACATGTACAAACCCTGTTAACGTTGTGAAAGCAGAGAACTTGATGTTTTAGTACTCTAAAATTCTCTTAATTAAATTTCCCTACAGAAATAATAACAATAAAGCCCTGAACAGATTTAACTGTGTTTCTCAGTATTATGCATGATGGTACACAGAACATGGCAGAAGTACACGCAGTACTCCTGAAGTCAGATTTAGGTGATATTGCAGCTTCCTTGTTAAAACAAATTCACTTCATACTCTTAAATCTATTGAACAAATACATGTTTTGGTTCTGGTATCTACATGACTCAAATTCTCTTAAATTACTATGGTTTTTACTACCAAGGTCATTTTTCACTTCTTTTTATTCCCAAACATTTTATCAAGTATCGTTCCAATTGGGCCAGCAAAAGGTGTATATAGGGCCGATCCCGTTTATTGACCTTGAAACAGCTTCCACTGAAAGATGATGAAAATATTGCTATTTATTTCAATGGAATTAGAGTCAGGTCCATCAGACTTAAGTAGGGCTTACATGGTACTTAGGTTTTATGCTTGCCCTCTGCACAGGGGTGAATCTCATTCCACCAGAATACCAGTGGAGTATGGCAAAGACTCAGCAGCAGTATAATCACCTAAGCCTGAAGGACACCCTTACTTTAAGTTTGTACTCTGCAGTGTACATTTATGTTTCTTTCTTTCATGTATGTATTATGAAACTGTGCGTATGTTTTGCCAGTGAAAATGCCGTGCAAATTAAATGCAGAAAACAGTTTATTATGTTATAAATAATCATAAAAAGAACAATTTCCCTTCCTCCTGAATGAAAATCATTTTCATCCTTTCAGCTAATAAGGCTTTGAAGAATGTCATTAGTACCACTATGTGCTATTTCAGTGTGTTTGCTCTTGACTGGAGATTACATCACTCTCATTAACTTTGCTGCAATGTAACTTCTATCTCCATTGCTTATAAAAGCATTAATCTGAAGGAATCAATTCCTGCCAGCCTTCTGCTTTACTGCTACCTACGTGCAAAAGGCCTGCGCTCGTGGACCGCTGTCCTCGTGCTCCAGCCACCCCGGGGGAACAGGTAACTCCTACGTGCTGACAAATACCTGATGGCAGCAAAAGACTACATTGTCTAAATAAGAGGAAGAAATTGTGTGTTTCAGTAAATAGAGTGAGCCTTATTAGGTTACATCACTTTCCATCTCACTGTGAAGAAAGACCCAAAGAAACTGGGACAGACTGTGAACTCACCTCAGCTACCCTATTGCTGATCATCAACATTTATGCAAAGTTATTTTTTAGTCATAATATTCACTATGAGGTATAGGAAGATGACAAGTTTTCAGCCTATTTTTTTCTGAATAAATTGTTTCTCTGAGCTGCTAGTTTTTTTTTTGTTTGTTTGTTGTTGTTTGTTTGTTGTTGTTTGTTTGTTTTTTTAACCATGCTTTTCATTAGGCTGCTTATAACGGCGCGTAGGATTCCCGTGGCAGATTACAGTCGCTGTGAGTGAGCAGGGTTGCCAGCCAGGCAGCGCTCGTCTGGCCAGCAGTGTCTAATTGCAGCGGGTGCTGATGGCCAAGGCCAGCCGGGCAGGCATGCCACTGCTCTGCCTGGACTTGTGCCTAGAAAGCCAAGTCCTCGAGAGGCGAGAACACGGTGCCCGTGTCAAGCTTTGCTGGATGCGCCCGTTTCTCCCTTCCTAGACATCCGTACTGTGTTCGTGTTACGCCCTGTGAAGCAGGGATTTTCAGCTACTGTAACTTCCACCCAAACGTATTCGCAAGTATTGACTGAAACTTGATTTAAGATTTTAAAAATTTATCTTTGTTTACTGCAAAGCAACTTGCCTGTTGCAAAAGAGAAATCACCAAATGGTCTTCTTTCTTTTTCATTCATTCTTCCACATAGGTGCATGTACACAAAAAGGGAGAAACAGACAGAGAAAAAAAGGTTCTAATTAAGCTCAAAAAGCATTGCCAGGAAACGGGAAGTTCCAGTGCAAGGCTGCAAGTCTATCAGCGTTCAAAATAGGGATGTACAATGAAAATTATGTCTTCTTAAGGCTCCCTTCCCCTCTCAATTTTTGAATTGTCAGACGTAAGATTCTCAAAGGATTCCTCAGAAAGTATTTCATCTTTGGTAATTTCTACACCCCCTATTTTACATTAAAACATAATAATGAAGATTCCTCCTCCTGTACTTTTATCCTCCTCGCTCGTTTTCTCGCCTTTCCTCATTAGCTTTGATATCACAGTGCCATCTACTTGATCAACGGAGTCAGGTTATTTCCCTTCGAAAACCACCGCGTGGCTGTAAGGATCCGATGGCACGCTGAGAGCAATTCAAGCCCTGCTGACCCATGGAGGTGTACTCTTTATTAATTTCTCCTCCAAATATTTAGACAAAAAACACTAGAGGCAGGGCTAAAAGAAACGGTGGCTGCGCACCTGCTTCCAAAGACCTGTTTCTCTACTGGAATCACCAGTCTGGCAGGATCAGCAGGCGGAGGGAAGGTGACACTGCCACACAAAATAACTTTCCACCTACAAGACAGGCTTTCTTCTCGCTCTATACCGTGGAAAGGTGTTTGAAGTTTTTTTCCCTATGTATATTTCAAAGTAATTTTGAATCATTCATTGTGAAAAATCAATGTGTAGGCTCCAGTTTTACCTAGCCTGAAGTCTTCCATTTTTATTGCTTTCATCCTCATCTGTCATTCTGCTCTTATCTTACAATTATAGCCACAGACAGATAGGGTGAACGTACTCGCAACTTCCCAGTGCTCAAAGTCCTCGGTGGGCCTTTCACGTGATTGCTCTTATCACTATCTAAGCCTCCGCGTTTTGTCTCTCAAAAGATATCTTTGCTATGGCTCAACGCGTGCAGGCTGAGCGACAAGAGGCGCGGGCTGGCTTTTGTATGCACCTAGGTGTGCTCGTGGGGAGAGCCTAATGGAGACATCTGCGCCTGTCACTGTCACCTTCCTCCCGTGGAGGGGGTGTGACGGCTTTCTGCAGCAGTACCCGTGCACCCTGCTGATCCTCTGCTGGCTGTAATTGCTTCTGGGAAGAGAAGAGCGGATTCCAAGGATGCAGGGAATCAGGGACGAGGAGCACCTGTGGACTCGTGTCATTAAACACAGTGATTAATCTACCGTTAATGACAGTGATGGTTCTTCAGCAGCAGACGGGCCCAGAAGGGAACGGGGCCACACCATGCTCCATCCTGGAAGATTTCTGGTATTGGCCGTGTGCTAATAACACATCCTCTGCTTCTTCCTCAGCAGCAGTTCTGTCTTACCAACCCCGAAAGGGGCGCAGTGAAACTTTCCTTCTGCCCTTTTCCCTGACTTTCCCCCTGCCGTGGAAAGCATGCACTCTGCTGGGCGGTTTGGCCACCGGTGCTCCTGCAGCACATGCAGACTTTGGACCCGGGCAGATCTCAGGAAATCCTTGCTGGCTGGTGCCATCCTGGTGCAGCCCCATAAGGAGGCTCTGTACACAGAGCCTTTTGCTGGGAGCAAACCTGAAGGGGCACTGGGTGTCACTGCAGCAGCAGGGGTGAGCACGGCAGTCAGCCCGCGCCAGCACTGTGCCCGTGGGCTCCGGGATACCCAGATACAAAGAAATGTTTTCTAACAGCTGTGAGGAGCTGCAGCAAAACAAACAGCTGTTTGCCTGCCTAATGGCCATCGGTCTCGATGGCGTTCCTGGTTCGTTTATAGCTCAGGATGGAGATAAAGGTTAGCACCGAGCACTTAACAATAACCTCCTCTGTGTGTCTACCGCAGTTGCTTGGGAACGCAACGCCAATGTTTTCCATGTTGACACCAGCACCTGTTCTGCCCCTCGAGTGGAGTGGCTTCCATGTAAATACCTCGTCCGTGAGTGCTAACATCCACCGCCTTCCGATTTGCTTAGGAGACCCAACTCACAGGGGTCAAAGAGGTGTTTGCGGTAGTTGTAAAAGAGCATTTGGCCCACGCAGATGCCAGGTATTCCCTCTTGTCGTACGGATTAGTGACGCCGATAGAGCTCGGCCCTAAGCTGTTACCATGGCTGGAAGGGAACGGGAGCCGCCTGCGGATCGCGAGGTGGTTGCCAGCCCCAGACGAGACTCTGCTGGCACAGTCCGCTTGTCTAAGCTCTCCCTGGTGTTAATGTGAGAACAGATAAACCAAGACGCGCGTTAAAACTCACCTGGAATATGACTTCAGGCGTGCTGTTTTCAGCCTTCTCCACGCTGAGGGGCACAGAGGAGATATTTTGAGGTTCCAGGAGGGACTCCACATTTCCAGTCTGCGTTGCATGCTAGCTCTGGGCTCCCGGCTGCCCCCGAAACACTGCTGCCGTCTGAGGGTGGGCAAACCATTGCAGGCACGAAGAGCACAGCAAACCACATCCCTGCTGAGTGAACACAAACCTCGTCAGCCCCTGTAGTGTGTGGTAGAGCTAGAGGAAGAAAGCTTTCTGCACGTGGGCAGGTTGCTGTTGTAATAAACACCTGAGCAAACTATTCTATCCTAACTTGGCTGCAACTCTGCATACGTGGCATGGAGCCTGCAAAGCCCAGAATTGAACAGAATTTCTTCTTCCACCTTCACCCAGCCAAAGCATGTTCCCCACTTTTCCCCAAAAGCAGTCTTAATTTAAACAAACATAATAAAGCCTCATGGAAATGATGGGATCTGTGTCTGCGGAGAAGCACAACACGGGCTTCTCCAAATGATGTGGCCATGCCGTGCCAAAGACACAAGATCCTAGCAGGGGGAAAGGGTTTTTCGGGCACGCTGCTCACATGTACCCCTGCCGCAGCTGCTGGCATTGCTGCGTGAGGAACTAAAGCAGGAGAGCGGATCCAGATGGAAAATAGCCCAGGGGGAAGGGAGGGGGCTTTCAGCCCGACCAGCTCCTCCATCCAGCTTCAGATGCTCCCTGCCATGAATAATGGGAACAAGATTCCCCCGGGGAGGGGGGCAGTGACTGTTTAAACCAGTTTTACCACCCTTACTGCTGAATGCCAAGCCATCGCTTGGGGAAGGAAAAACAAACCAGCTCAGGAAGTCCCCCTGTAAGGCAACGGGGCAGCTGATTCCCCTCAGCTCCCACCTTCCTCTGTTTACTCGCTGCCGAGATGTGACGCTTGTCACGGGGTGCTCCCCGGGCGCTCCTCTCCCCACCACTGCCGTGCCTCTCGGGGAGCTTTTGTGCTGTGTCTTGCAAAACCGAAGGGTTTCTCGGGGAGTAGCAAAGAGGAGAGGGGACGCAACGTGGGGACTGCCTACGCAGCTCGTGACTTTTCTGCACGAGCTCTTCCCGGTATCCCCGTTGCTGCTTTAGTCCTCTGCCAGGTTGTGTTCGGAGCGGACACTTTGTGCAGCACTGGCACGGCGCTGCAGCTGGACACAGTGAATTGCACAACAGCTTCCTCATCTCATAGAAACAAAGGGCTTTGATCAGGGGGCAGCATCCCAGCGAGCCCCTTCCCCAAAAAACACACCGTGGAGATGAGTTCACAGCACCGCATTGCATCCTTGCTCCAATTTCTCCCACGTGGCCCTCGGAGGGACACTGTGTGGCAGTGACATGCTCAGCCAGGGCTGCCAGGTGTCCGTGAGCATCATCGCGTGGTGGTGAGCGTGTGGCAGCCCTGCAGCAGGGCAGCTGTGCCGTGGGGAGCCCGCTGCCGAGAGCAGAGGGGGCTGCGGGGCCTGGCATCACCGCGTTGGCTGCTGACGGCTGCTGGGGCTCTTGCCAGGATAAAGGCAGCCCGAGCTGAGATGCCAGCAGCTCCTGCTGTTTTGACACGAGCTTGATTAGACCGGCACGACGCGGCATCCCCAGGCAGCGCCTGAGTGCCAGGGGCCACTGCTAGCAAATAGGATAATAAGGGCTCTCCCGGGGGCTGAGCCAGGGGGAGTGAGTGCGAGCAGCTGTTTCGCTGCCATCAGAGCGCAGCAATTTGCCACGACAGCCCCTGCGGGGCTTGCACGTGCTTCGGTGTCCCCTGGGTGTGTGCAGGAATGTCCCACTCTGCCCCTGGGCCCGAAGCAGCATCCCTCCTGCGCCCACACCGCAGAGAGCCACGAGCAACACAGCTTGGCTTGGGGCAAAGGTGGCCTCAGGGGTTGTGACCTCTCTGTGGCCAGATGTGGCCATGCCGTGCCAAAGACACAGCTCTGTGTTGGGATGCTGGTACCTGAGGAGTGTCCCCTGGAGCAGGGGAAAGGGGCCTGGCAGTGCCTGTGGCATGGGGCTGGCTCTCAAACCGGCCCCGCAAGGCTCGCACATACACCCGCTGAATGCAAACACCGCCCGGGGCGTCAGCTTCCCGGAGGTGGAGCCGCACCGGCACAGGTGGCAGGGCCAAGCCCGGGTCCCACAGCGCTTGGGGAGCCCTGCTCAGGACCCCACAGCACCTGCCTTGCCCTGGGCAGGCAGCCCGCCTCCCCCAAATCCCCCCCTCGCCCTCCTGCCCCCAGCCATGGCGAGCACAGAGGGCGCAGGGGGCCGGAGGAGGAATCTGGCCCTGCTGCGGCACAAGCTGTACATGGGGGAGAGGAGGAGGACGGAGCCCGTGGTGGAGAGCAGCGCGGCCGGGGAGCACGGCGCCCTGCGAAGGAGTCAGTCCGACCGGAGCGAGTACAGCCAGAAACTGCAAGGTACCCCTGGGGAGCCGAACTGGGTGCTGCTGGCCGTGCTCCAGGCTGGCTCCAGCCTGGCCCTGGGCAAGGGCACAGCCCTCTGTGCCCGCAGCAGGACCCAGCACTCGTCCCCTTTCCCCCCCAAATTTTTTAAAGCCCACCGTGCGTGCGGCACAGCAGATGAAACGCTATCGAGGCCACGAGCGGGGTTTGGGCGTGCTCTGCATAATGGGATCATTCTCCTGCTCTCCAGCAGAATGCGTCTGCAGGTGGTGGTGTGAAAAGATGATGCCTCTCTGCCTTTTCCTTTTGCACCAAGCAGGGCATGCACTAAGTAATTCCAAGCACCAAGGGCAGTTGTTTCTTCCAGTTGGGATTATCAGGGTCTCTAATGTGCTTGTCTGCTGCTTGGAGTGCGCGAGCCTGAACCGAAATACCTCCAAATAGGTGCTTTGATGGGTATGCTGATTCAAATTATACCATTATGAGGAGCGTTTCTTTTCAAAGAGCCGAATTGTGCCTGGGCCAGAAATTGGCGAATTATGTCAGTGTTGGGCCTGTCAATCAAAAATTAAATGCACCGCCACAAATGGAGGAAAAGCATGGAAAATGCGCATAGCTATTTCTGGGAGAGCTCTGGTGCACAAACGGATGCCTTTCTGTGGGTTTTCAGGGTCTCAAACAACAGGATCCCATCAGAAATGCGGGGTTTGAGTCTTATTCCAATATAAACATTTATTACTAATACTGATATAACTGCCTGTGGCAATCACTCTTGTGGCAGTAATCCTTTATGGGGAAATAAAATAGGAAAATACTTTAGGTTACTGTATTATGGTTTTGATGCATTTAATTAGGAAGCAGTATTCCTTCAGAGAGACAATAAAAGCAGAAAATAAAATAATAAACCAGAAAATAATAGGATTTATATGGGGGCTGCATACACTGACAACAACAAAGAGGCCCATTGATTACACTCTTCCCTCCCAGTGATAGCTAATCAATGGGAAGATGAAAAATGTTCGGTTAAGGCAGGCACGGCTCCGCCAGGGGTGTTTCGGGGCACGAGCAGGGATCGATGTGGCCGGGCCGGCGAGCCCCAGGCATGTGTGCACGCGTGCTGCCAGGCCAGGTCGGGTTGTGACAGCAATACCCAGCAATGTACTGGGTAAGATACTCGTGTTCGCTGGAGAAAAATGTGGCTGGGTTAATGAGGGGCCTGCAGGCTTCGTGCTGGGTAGAAGGCGCCTGTCCTCAAAGTAAAAATAGAGAGCGGGTGGAAATTACTATGAAGTGTGTTTCCAATATTGGTAGAGATGCAGCTGCACACCAACACCTGATCTGGATGAAATTTTGGCGATCTAGATGTGCCTGGATCTGGTAGATCATGGGTCCCAGACCTAAACGGTTACCAACACCGATGATGTGCTACGATTGTACTCCTTTATATTCTTCATTTTTCTTACCAGTGCTGGGACGCGAAGCAGCTTACTCCAAGGTGAGGGAGGGGCTGTTGCTGGCACAAAACTTTCCAGTTCTCCGTTCTTGGTGAAAACACAAACAGCTCTGTTGGTGATGCAAACAGTCTGTTGCGTATCGCCAGGTCCGGTGCCTCCGATCGCCCTGAAATGGTAAATGTTTTGCAAAATGATGCAAATGGTAATAACTTGTGCTTGCTTCCCCCATGAGCTGGAGGCACACAGCACACCCCGCTGCTGACAGGCAACCCGGGCTGAGCACGGGAGCCGGGTGTGTGACACACGTTGCGTGTGTCAGTGCTGCAGCACATCTGTGCAAGGAGAAGCACACGATCATCTCCTGAGGCTCCTTTCAGCCCTCTGTGTGGTTTGTGGGGATCCCTGCGCAGAAGGCGGGCAGTTGCCCCCACCCCAGCCATTTCCAGCAGCTAGAAAAATGGGTCCCCAAAGACAAGCCTATGGAGCCCCCCAAAAAACACAAACAAGCAAAGAAACAACAAGTGAACAAGCTGTCTGACGTAAACATCCTGAGAATTCACTTTCCACCTTTGGATTTCCCTTAAATTTTGCCCTTTTATACAGAATCCCAGCTGTTTTCTAAAAAGGCTGAGAAAGGGAGCCTACCACCCAGTTCTCCAAGGCAATGAAGGTGGCTTGCCCTGTAGGTCTGCAAGCCTGAGAACAACCATAGCATTGTCAAAGGCACAAACCTTTTGCGAGGCTTTGTCACTTTACAATTAAGGATTCATTAAGAGCACAAGCAAGCATTTTCGTGGTTGATTATTACCCAGAGACGCATCCATTCAATGCCTTATCTGGTGTGAACGCACACGCAACACCTCCCCGGTCTTCCTTCTTTTGAAAAGCAAGCAAGGTGCAAAGTAACCATTTTATTCTCCAAGAGCTTGGCAAACCTGCGTGTGCCTACTTCAGCTCATCCCGTGAGACAGCCAAGTGCCACCAGCCCCATTTTAGGCTCAGATCCAGCTCCCGTGGTATTTCTGTGCAGGGCCCTGCCCTACCTTCACTATTTTCAATAGTGCAGGATTTTTTCCTGCAAATATGTTCTTTCAGGCAGACTCAGGAACTCGCTACTATCCATAAGTGGCACAAAATGCTATTTAGCAGCTCTGTTTTCAAAAGTATTATCGTAGCTTTTTAGCTGGTAGGTGCTGGTCTCTCCTACAGCTGAAAATCCATCAGTAGCAGCTGGAAAAGTAATGATATCAATATCTGTGTATGGCATTAGTGTCGGGATCAATCTGTGAATTAACCTGGAGCTGCCATCCTGACAGCACCGATCTCAGCAGAGGAGGTTGCTTGATGTACTTATTGGCACATAAATGTTTGCAAGATCAGGGCAGGCTGAGAGGTGGTGAATCGGGAGGGTAGACCCTATCAACCAAAAAGGGATTTAAAACGTAGTTCACTCTGTCAGGTTTTGGACAGACTTGGATTTTTTTATTTTTCTTTGGTGGATGCCAAACTTGTGCTTGGTGTGAAAAATGAGCTATGGAAAACGGTGGGTTTCCAGAAAGAGCCAGAGATCAACGTCTGCAGCGTTCAGTGAGATAGTCTGTGCTTTGGTAATGCTCCTTGTGTGACAGATCTATTACACATTAACTTCCTCCTAACTCTGGATGGGAACGGCTCAACCCTGCTATCAAATGATTTGCACATGCTTTAATTTCAGGTATATCTGTGCCATACCTGTACTAGGCACCCTGATGCAAATCACTCAGCTATCCCCAGCGTGTTGCCTCAGACCTCCTATCTGAACCCCAGATCTTGCATTTTGCCTGTGTCTGCTGTAGCTCTGAGAAATAACCACCACCACAAATGACGCAGAAACCCGCAAAACTGCACACATGCCTGGAAAGCTGCTCCCCCTTGGTACCCTGAAGCCCAGCAGGAGGAAACTCATCCCTTCCCTTTTCCATCATGAGCAGGATGGACTCCATCACAGCCTTACTCTGCCCCATCCACCTCCCCTCCCTGCTTGGCTTGCAGCTTCTTCCCGCCCAGGCTACACATTTGCCTGGCCTCTGCATCTCCTGCCCGTGGTAAAGATCCTCCCCAGTTCCTTATTTGCTTTGCCCTGTACTTACTGATTAACTTTCCGTGTGCTACAATGCAGATGATATCCTATTTCGTTGCAAAATGTATTGATCTTTGGAGCAGCTGGGCGGCTGAAGTACAGCACAGAGTAGAAGTCTGGATTATTTCCTGATGTGCAGGAGGTGGCTTGATGAAAATGTACCCCTGGTGCCACGAGATGGAAAAATCACAATCTAACAAATACGTTATTTTCTCATGTGCAAATTTGAGCTCAGAGGATCTAATTCTGTTAACTTGCACTGTAATAAATCTGGAGTTATTTCTTGACCTCACTGCAGTGACAGCCAGGCTGGGAAGTGATCTCATCTTCTCAGAGCAGAATCCATTTTGTGCTGCTATGTTTGCACAGCACTTAGCACAATGAAGTCCTGCTGCACGACTCAGGACTCCAAGGTGCTGCTACAGCCTAACTAGGAACTGGGATAAGGGAGGGAAGACAAGAGAAGGCTCGTGGATCCCTTTCTGAGCCTATTATCTGACGTTTATTAATAGGAATACCTTGTGTTGTGGGTTACAGGGCTCACGATTCGTACAGCTAATCCACAACCCATCTCGAGGTGCACGTGCCCCAGGGGAAGCAGTTCAGGTGCAGCCCTTCCTCACTTCTCATGTTATTAACATATGAGCTCGATGCCAGGGGAGTGGTGTATTTATATCGGCGTCTGACACACTGGGAAGGTTTATTTGTAAGTATTGGTGCTAACAATAAGGGCATTCTTCTGTCACCTGATGATAAGCTTTCTTCCCTTCCACTGCGGTCACATGGGATCCCTCTGTAGTCCTGTCAGCACACATATAATTAAAGCAGTCTGCTGTCAAGGAATGGAAGAAAGAACTTGCATATGGAATGTAAATATTTTCTATACCTTACGGAACACGAAGTGATCAAAGGCAGAATGACCTAATTGCACCTAAGTCTCTGATGCTGGTTTAGGAGCAAACCTGTTGCCCAGGAAGCCAGCTGTGGGGTCACTGTGGTCCTGCAGCGTTGTCCTCCCGTCTTCAGTCACCTCGGGGGCTTCTTGCCTGTGTGCAACAGACCTGCTCCAGAGCAATGCTGCTGCGTGTGTGCGTGTGAGGCAAACAGAAAGGCATTCTCCATAACCCTCTCCCAGTCCTTCTGTGTTTCTGTGCCTAAACAGTCTCGCGAATCCAGCTGACAGAAGCTGGCGCATATTCCTGTGCGCAATCTCTGGGTTATCTGAGGGCACAAGCTATCGGAGGGCTCGCTTTCACAGAAGAATAATTTTATCTAAGGTGGTGTGAGGTTCAGGTTTCACACGTGAAAGTACAGTGATGCTGTAATTTGTTTGCCGTACCGTGATAACTTATGCCTTTGCTGCTTCCTTGTGCCAGGCAAAATTCCCCCCTCTGCACACTGTGGGAGCAGAACATACTTTGGAGTCCTCCAAAAGCTGCTTCAGCGATGGAAAGGCCTCTTACCCACTCCATGCATTGACATTTGTGTACCTCTTGGTATTTTCTGTGCCTCACTTCTACCTTCACTTCACATTAGATGTGGAGAAACCTGGGTCCTGGCCCCAGGGGGAAATGTAATATCCAACCTGAGCATCTCACTTGGGAGGAACGAGGGATGGAGCAGACCTCTGGGAGCTGCTCACTCTATAGAGGGAAAAAAAAAACAGGAAATCTGTGTGCATCCATCTTGTCAGCCTGCCTTGCCTGCTCCTCCAGTCACCTTCCATGGGTCTTGACGAGAGCCACTGCACTTGCCCATTGCAGGCTCTCGCAGCGTTGCTGGATGTCTCCATCTGGGGGATATTTTTAGACTTCACACTTGCAGGAAACTGCTTCTGTTACACACGGAGCTGCTTTGTCCATGGCATCACACAACGAGCTTCTCCTCTGGCGTGACTAGGGCTGTACACTTCAGTCACTCAGCTGAAAAACCAAAGTCATCACCTTCCTCACCACAACAAAATCCTCCAGGAAGGCAACTCCTGCAGATATCTGGCATTGCAAAGCAACAGTTGCAAATGCTACATTCCGCTTTACATTTTTATGTGTACTAAAAGTACCAATTACATTGTTGTAAACTGATCTTAAACTGGTCTGAAAACATACATGTCTAATAAACCCTTTGAGAGGCATTTTTTTCTTCTCTTTCTTTCTCTCTCTTTTTTTTTTTTCCTACACCTGGCATCTCCAAAGACAAATGAGCCAAATTCTTACTGTAATTATTAATCCTCAGCAATGTCTCTTCTTGCTAATCCTCTCTCTCAAACTGTTCCAGGGCTGGTACACATTACCAGGTAGAAACAAGTCTGCTTATATTTTAAATGTGCACTTTCTGTTTCTGCATTCATTAAACTTTTGCTTACTCCACAAGGATTCCAGCAGGCTTCTAATGTTCTCAAACTGGTCAAAAGCAATCAGCTGAACATAAATTCACAGGTTTGGGCTGTAATCATCTCTTCAGTATCTTGCTCTTGCATTCTACAGAGACAGACATGTCTAAAATGAAAAAGTGAACATATTGAGTGAAAATGGAAAATTATATTACTTTTAACAAAAGGATACATTTATTAAAAAACATGTTTTCTATAAGGAAACAGCATCTACCTGATATTTCTCGTGGTTATTTCTTCCTGTTGAGAATAGTTTTTATTTCCTGGCATTATTATCTATCATGCAATAAGGATAATAGATGAGCCCTGACATAATTCAAGAATCAAATTTGATCAGGGCAATCTAATGACATAAACTGAAAGCACAGCCTCTCTAGGGATCGTGACTTCAAGCCTGAGGTGGGATACAGTGGCTTTATTTTGTTCATATAATGCCTTCCCCTGCCACCAGTATAAAAGATTAGGAAGTTCTTCTGCAGAGCATCTCGTGTTTACCTTCAAATTCCATCTGATACTGTAATAGTGCTGTGTCTAAGACAAAACGACATCTCTAAGTGAGCTCTTCCAGGAAGCCTGCTCCTGAAATCTCCTGTACAGTCACACACACACAAACTATTTTGCCCAGTTTCGAGAGGAATGTTGGCTTGGTGCAGAACTGGAACTGAAATGGATTTTCGTGTGGCTCCTTGCGAATGTGTATGTGTGGTCACATACCTGAATGAGGAAAAGGTACCTGCCATTTTAGGCACATACATAAGCAGAAGCCACAGAGGTCTTATTCCACAAACATAGCAGAAAATTGCTCAGAGGGAGCCATGAAGAGGTACTAGGACTTCTTCCACTCTCCTCCTCGCTGAAGTGAGGTGAACTCCTGTGCATGGGTTTGCTGGGGCAGAATTCAGCTTAAAATTCTTCCGATAGCCTCAGCCTTAGAGAGCGGAGACATCCTGCTCTTGTTTCCATTTCATTGTCTGTGTACAAACACGAGGACAAAATGTTTATGCCTGTGTTATACAGAGACTTAAATGTAAAAACTCAAAGGTAAAAGGAGGAGTTGCTTTAGAGAAAGGAAGTACATCTAGATAGGAAAAAAAATATCTGGAGAAACAGCCCACCCCAGCTTTGTTCTGGTTCTTTGTCCTCCCTGTGCAGAACTATCAGTATGGAGGCAAAGGTGCAGTCCCAAAAGCAGCTTTTTGAAACAATAACCATGGTCACATCAGTCTGACTAGAAGGTCTGACAGGAGAAGGATTAATAATAAAACTGTTCTTCCCTAATATCAGCGGTCAGTGTGGCTGTAGAAGGGCTTGAGGATGACGACACATTGCATTTGTAGGATTTTACATCTCTCAGTGGAAGTCAGCTCAAAGTCCTCTCCCCAGAAAGTTGCTTGGTTTCCTCACAAGTCCGGCTCCAGGTTATCTTCTACAGCCTTGAGCTGTGTTGTACAGGTGAGCTGGACCCTGGTGCTCACTCGAGCGCTCATGACCTCGCCCTTGACAATCAGTTCAAACAACTGCAATATATTCAGTGCTGGTTATCAGCCAGCAAAGCATCAGATGCAGCTCGCTGTTGCCTCGTTAGACAGTACGCTGCCTACGAGGAGCTGACATCAAGGCGTAACAGCCTGATCCTCAGCAGAGATCCCTGTCCTCTGCTGCTGAGTGAGAAAATCCCATGCTGTCAAGCCACGACCTGGGTAATGCGGAGATGAGTGCAGTAATGACACGTCTGCCTTTGCTGGTACTCTGCACCATCTTGTGGCTAGCAGAAAAACATCAGAATACCCTCTGAAATCTTCCACTTGTGTTTTTCCTAATGAAAAATACAGACCCAGCTAAAATTCCGTGTCCTTTGTACAGCTGCCACCAATGTCTGCGGGTTGCTTTATGAACCAGCAGAAGGAAGACCATTGCTACATATGAGCAGGTTGTGTGCACATCCTGTAGTATACATAACTAAACCTGGCTGTTGAAGATTCCCTTGGATTTCCGTGTATTTAGAAATAATTGGATGGTCTGGTCTTAAATTTGGAAAAATAGGAAAGAATCTCCTGATCCCAGTGATTTCTGCTGGCCCAAGAAATGTCTGTTATTGATCATTAAAGGTTTTCCCATATTCCCCTGTATAATTCCTTTGCCTCCTTCAAAGAACTTTTTAAAAACAGAATTCTGTGTTTCATCATCATCCTTAGGAACATTGTCTTCATTTGAAAGTCCATCTTCCAGCACCTACAGCCCTCAGCCTCCCATGAGCAGAGCACAGCTTTAGATCGTACAGAACAAAGGCTGTTCCAGTGAAACGTATGGTAAAACCAGAGCCTTTTCCTTCCCCAAATCTTATTAGACTTCAGGCTGAGACCGTGTTTTCAGAGGAGTAGAAGGGCATCAGCCATACTTGGATTTTGGTGTGCCCAGGATGACACGGGACTGTGGTCAGTGGGGAAGCAGAGCAGTGGGAGAAGCACCTGGGGCATTTGGGGCCTTGGTGTGCCAGCCAGCAGAGGAAGCATGACAAGGGCAATGAAAAGACCATGCTGCTCACTAATCTCCCCCTTGCTCTTTGAAACAGAAAAAATGGCCCCGCAGTCAGGGTCCTCATCCCCGGCCGCTTTGCCCCAGGAGGATGAGGAAGCTACCAGACGTATGATGGCCAAGAGAGTAAAAATCATCGCCGAGCTCATGCAGACAGAGAGGGACTATATCAGCGACCTGGATCTCTGCATCAAGGAAGTGATTCAGCCTCTGAGAAACAAGCAGGTAAGCACCGGGGGCGGAGGATGGGGGGGGGTGACGTCAAGGTCCAAATTCACCCACGGTCTGTTTGCAGATCATCTCAAGGCAAGCACAAATGTCAGCCTGAAGAGTGGCACAGTGCCAGGAGCAGCTCCAGAGCTGGCTTTCTGAAAGGGGACGTGCCAGGACTCCAGTGAGCAGAGTGGGAAGTCAGATATACTTCTGGCACTTGGCACTGCATGTGCATAAAGCCTGAATCAGGGTGCTTGCCCAGAGGGCAGCTTAGATGCTATATCCCTGCTCCCAGGCTTGGGCTGGGACGGCAGCTTCCACCTCTCCATACTGCTGTGCACATAACCCCTGGTACATGCCCTGGCAGACCTTTACTGGCACCTCTGAAAGCAGTAAAAGACAACAACAACAAGTATTTTCCATGGTAACAGCCTGGAATGGCTTGAACCTTCCCATCAAGGTTAAATTCTGTCTTAAAAATGACTTCAGCCAGCCTTTCTGACAGCTGTGGTGGAGAAACACCATGCATGACAGCCCAGCAAGCACTTTAGAAATTTGCATTCTACGCAGAAAAGCTAAATTTAAGCAGGAAGGCTCATAAACTATCTTTCAGGCAAAAAGATCTTATTAGGCCACTAGTACCCATTTTCCTTTTCAGCTGAGACTTCAAAGAGCACCTTTTCCTCAACAATATTTCAATTTTTAGAAAAATTGTGCAGTCTCAAGCTGGGAATAGAAGAGCTTGTCCAGAGAAAGATTTAAATTCATGGGGCCTACAACATAGCATTCACAGAGGCTGCACAAATGATATGCACTGCTAATATATCATAGATGTAGTTTTAAACAGACCTTAACCCTGTGTTTTGTATGTATGGGTCCTTACAAAACTGGTCACATAATATGGGTGCAGGGGCCAGTGTCTTTAAACAGTGCTGACGCTGCTTCTTTGGGAAACTGTGTGGCCAACTGAAACTTGTGCTGCTTAAGCTCCTGCAGGACCATCTCTTTGTTTCCTAAAACTGTCAGAGTTTATTCCAACCCATTTTTGGAAGAGCTGCCATCAGCTGGTGTAACTCCTTGGAGTTCTTGACTTCCTCCTCCCAATCATTCATCTGCTTACAAGTGGTCTCCACTCGGCTCCCTCCTCGGCCTGGCCAACACCCAGCAAGAGCACTCTCTGCTCAAACTCACCGAGATTTTTAACAAGCATGCTGTATTCCTCTTGCTAGCCAACTGGAAACATACATTTCGATTCTGTCCCTTGTCAGCGTATTGCCACGTGCACAGCAGAGTTCCAAAGGCAATGCAAGCATTGCACTTCAACGGAGGTCAGAAGTCCTGTGATAGATGTATACAGGAAAAGTAATTTAGAAATTATAACTGTCTTAATTTAATAACCTCTGCATTTTTGAAAGGCTTTCAAGAATGTTATATGGTTTTAAGGCTACTTCTCGGATAAACTACCATATTTGAAAGTTTGTAATGCATTTAGAGAAGGATAACATTTAGAAAATTGACCTAGCAATGAATCTGTTTCATATTTCCAAATGGATAAAAAATGCTTTATCCCCTAACAATTATAAAAAAAATTAACTATGTTAGTACTGAGAGTATATTGCTGATTCTGTTACAATAGCACTCAATTTGATCCTCCCAGCATCTGGTGAGCTGCTGTGTAAGTAAGCAATTCCATTTCTAATGGAAAGACATTCAGAGAGCGTCAATATGGATGTCAAAGTCAGTCTTGCCTTTGTTCTCAGTGTTAGCATATTACCAGTCTCTATCTCTAATTGTTCCTGAATATTAACTCTTGCCCTGGTGTGTGAGGGCGTAAATAACTGCTATATGAAAGTATGTGCCCTGAAAATTCTTTATGTTTCATTAAAAAATAAATAAATCTAAAATTCTGTAGTTATTCTAAAAGGAATAGGAATATGGAGCCAAATATTTTGCTGATGTAATCTGAACCAGTTCACTGAAGTCAGTGGTGTGCTCCCAGACTCTGTAGAAAGCATTTTTGGTTATCTGAATAATTTTTGATTATTTGAATACCCAGAACTGTAAATGTGTTTGTTCTACTGGAAATGATATGATCTTGATTTCACTCTTCAGATATATAGGACCACTAAATTAAAACGGTGCCACCACTTGGAAGTCTTTGTACCTGACAGCTAGCACCAAAGCATCAAGGTCCCGGTTTATGTAGCAGCCTCTGCTAGCAACTAGAAATCAGGGAATCAAAACCACTGTCAACTATTCTTCTTCTCAATGGGAAAATAAACAAACATTTTAAAGGCTGCTAAAGATTTTTCCTCTATTCAGATGATAATGTTTATTTCCTTCCTAGGTAAACACTTTCAGATTAGGAACGAATAGTTCAAAATAAGGTTAAAAACACTTGATAAAATGCCCTTTGTTAACTGCGTCAACCCAATTATACTAATCTGAAAACTGTATATGTATCCTTGAAGTCACAAGGAGGATGTTTATATGAGGTTTTACAGAAGCGATGCTTCCTGGAGTGTTGAACACACAGGGCTTAGCAAGAGAAGGTCTGTAAAATACAATGTCCTTCTTTATCCTTCCTTAGTAGCTGCTTAATATTTGTATTCCATTAGATTGTTCACTTTGACGTGGATGGCTTGTTTAGCAACATTGAATCGGTCCATCAAATATCAGCCAAACTGCTGTCACTGTTGGAAGAAGCCACGACAGATGTGGAACCACCCATGCAAGTAATCGGTATGTTTACTGTCCTCTTGAGTTCTACAAAGCCACGTGAAAGAATAAACATAACACTCTCCTGTCCTCTACCCTCATCAGACCTAACTAGTAGTGCTCCCAGAGGCTAACTTGCTACAAGCTGTCCACGGTAATGCAGGCAAAAGGAAATGTGAAGCCTGTCCAGTGGCTCTGCTGGGCTCGTAACAGGCCTGGTCATGGTGCCCTCATTCCATCCTTCCAGATGTTGACGGGAAGAAAGGCTGGAGAGAGTGAGTTTAGAATGAGTAAATACCACAACACTGAGTTATGCTATATATTGATAACTTAATTTTCATCTAGTTTAGTGTTACCTACCTAACTGCTCATGCTCAGACCAACTCTTATATTGCATGCTCATACTGGTACCACTTGAGAAAAGCATTAAAATTGATTGGAATAATAAATACATAAAAAACCCCACACATTGTAAGCATATTTACTGGCAATATAATTCACGTAAGAGGTGATTAAGTGCAATTAACAGGGACATGGTCAGTGAAAGAAAGAAAGCTGTAATTGATACAGAGCTTGTGGGAATCTGTTTAGGAATGCTTGTAGGGATCATAGGTATTTTTAGCAAATGGATTGTCCTTGGATATATCACAGCAATCATGTGTCCTGCAGCTCAGGTCACGACTGTTATGGCTATGATCTATTCACTTGACCTTCTGGCACAGCTGGAAAAAAACAAGAAGTTTCCATTCATCAGCTCTTCTGTAACTGCTTATTCAGTGCAGAGGCAGTAGGTGATCCAGCTTACGGGATCAGGTGAGAAATCTTAATTAGTTTCAGTGCAAAGTCAGCCAGTTTAGCTTAAAAAAACTTTCAGCTATGATTCAGAGGTTCTCTTTTCCCTAAACTGACCACACACCACAGGTAATGTGTTACAGAAAGAACCCATCTTCTCACAACTTAAGGGTCCCTTCCAACTCAGGATATTCTATGATTCTATGATTCTATGAACTAATGGGGTAAAAACTTATTGGTTGACATTTGACTGGGAAACGTGGTATTAAAGCATACGAGGCTTGGGAAAAGTATTAATCCTAGTATGTCTCAATCTGGTTTGCCAAGGCAACAGCTTAACGTAGTTTGATGAGACTGTGTTGTTTGGCAGGATTTCAATAAAAGTGCATCATGATGAGTCATAGCCTTAATAAGCAATGTTCTATTCTAGCAGGAAGTGGCTTTCTCACAGCAAGGAGAATCATCCTTTTAGTTCTCTGCCATATCCAGAAGTAAAGACAAACAATTTCATCCATCTCTTAGGGTGTACTTCTCCAGAATCAGACAAAGAAACGTGAAAATATATGGGATTTTGGATCAGAGGGTTGACTTAATTATGGCAGGGAAAAAGATGGAATGTAAGGTGAAAGCACTTCTTCCAAAGGCTGAGAGAAAAGCAGGGAGGGTAATTGCATCACTATAAGCAATAAGTCAGTAAGTTTGCCATCCTTTAGAAGCAGAACAGATGATAATTGTGTCTTGAGGATCCTCATAATCAGTGTAAAAGTTGTTAAAGCCAGTCTGTGGAAAAAACAGGATGAGAATCTCTTTAGCACACCCATTATGTTCTATCGTGTTTATGGTATTTAAAGATCCTCCATCAAAACATCCTCCTTTGGAAGGCAACCCAGTCACAGTGAGGTTGAAGAGAACTGCTGTTTCCCTGGTTTGGAACTAAAACAATGCAGTTGCTTATATTTATGTCTTTTGATGACGGATTTGGATCTGTCAGAGTGCACAAAAGACTCAGTATTTTCAAACCTGTGCCCAAATATGTATTTCTGGCCCCTAAATCAAGCTTCTACAGTGATACGCTCAAAGATCAACTGATTCAATCCATACAACTAAAAACCAAGAAGAGCTTTAAGCTTAGGAACCTTAGCTGCTTTTAAAAGATCCCATCCATGAAATCAGCACATCATTTTTTTTCTCATCATTTAGCATCAATGAAAATACCTGTCATTATGGCGCAGTACGTCAATGAACAGATCTTGGTCATCTCTGTTTTGGAAGACAGAATGATCATTTCCAGGCTCTAATATATGCTGAAGGGAACTGTAAGTCTCTAGTTTGCATTTTTGCTACAGAAAACATGACCTCTCTTGAGAGCTTAGCATTATTACAGGCTGTGCTAAGCACTTGGAGCTCTGCTTAAAGTTAGTGAAAAGTGTGAGAGCTCAGCATCTCTGTAAAGCAGGCACCGAGGGTGCAGAATCAGGAGAGAGCTTGTTAAGGTTTCCCCTCACACTGCCGGCTAGTAAAGGCCGGTGTAGAGAGTTCACGGGAATGTCAGGAGGCAACGTGTCTTGCCAGCCATCAGCATCAGCATTTAACACGAGACAGAGAAAATAGGGATGACAGCACCTGAAGAAGATCCAAGTAGAGGATGCTGCTGCTTTTCTGACGGTGGCCTTACAGTAACTAAAATGAACTTCTGTGGTCTTAACTCAGTCATTGTTGTTCCCTTGTTCGCACCTTGAAACCAACATGCATTAGACAGCCCAGTTAACCTTCACTGCTAGGGGAAAAAACCCAGAGCTGTGTTACTGTGGTAACTGAATCATTTTTCACTTTACGACAGAGCAGTTCAATGCAATGTATTATGAAACAGCCCACTCCGGTCAGGATGAAACATGCAGGATGCCTGACAGCTTTGTGCTCGCTGTGAATGAACGGAGAGCTCCCAATTAACACGGTGTTCGGCTTTTAACTTTAATAATCATCGCTATAACTCAACAGGAATGTTTATAAAACATCAGACTGGTTGCCATGTAGATGCTGTTTCTCCATAAATGCCCCAGACAGTAGTGTTCACCATCACTGTTGTTTATAATGTGTATTGCCAAGGATGCTGATCAGGGTGCTGCTACAGAAGTGTAGGAGCCAAATGAATATCTCAGCAGAAAAGATGAAGCGTGCCTTCTTCATTCAGATAATATTTCTTAGGTACACGGAAACGGGCAGAGGGGCTTTAGGCTGAGAGAATTACGCACCAGAATTAAATGGGAAACGAGTGCAGGACTACTTCAGTGCCTCTAAAATTCCCAACTGTTTGGGGGGCAAAATGGTGTCGTAGAGGACTGGAAATGTAAATGTTTTCCCCTTTCAGTTGTATATAAACCTAAGGGCTATATAGAAATGGTTGCAATCCACAGTGGTTTTATTTCATTAGGGGAGGGGTGGAGGTTGTTCCTGTGTCATGTAAAGAAAAATCTCTACTCTAGGCCATAACAACTGCCATTTCAGGATGCTGCAAAACAGATAAACGTGAAATGGCTAATGGGAGATGGAGTCATTATTCCCGTTATAACCCATTTAAGTTCATATTCAGTTGAAAAAAAAAGTCAAAGGGAAAATTAACATGGTTACATGCACTCCTCCTGCTGGCCCACACCCCACAATGCTCTCCCCGGAACAGCGAAACTCTCCTGTTTGGTTTTCACTGAAGGGGTGTTGAGGTGGGGCAGTGAATCAGGGGGTTGTGTATGAAGGGGTGCAGGTGTAGAGGTTTCATCCCTTTTCCAGGGGGAATTTTTGTGCATTAACACTGATATAATGGTGCCCGGCTCTGACAAAGATGAGCAGCTGAGAAATACATGTAATAAATAATGCACATAAACACACAAGATCGTTTCTAAGGGAAGTAAAGTGGAAGCCAGCCTTTTTAGCTCACGGCTAATGTGGTGGAATAATAAAACTCCTTCTGAGATGCCGTTGTCTGGCTTGACACGCTTTGTTTTTCTCTTTAACAGGGGAAGTGTTCTTGCAGATTAAAGGCCCACTAGAAGACACATATAAAATCTACTGCTATCGCCACGATGATGCACACACCATGCTGGAATCCTATGAAAAGGATGAAGAACTAAAGCAGCATTTAAGACACTGTGTACAGTCCTTAAAGTAAGATCTTTTCAAATGATGATTTCCGTCCACAGTCAGTTGCCTGGCAGGGAACATTTTAAATGGATGTAGATGAAAGGTCCCCTGTAAATCCAGAGTTTTATGAGGCTTGCTGGGAGCTCTGGCTTATGCTGCTTTCATGAAAAGATGACAAGCCAGGGGCCATGATTAGATTTCTTTCTCTCTAGGATGGCCAAAAATAGCACAAGAAAGGTTTCTCTTCCCTTAGCTTCAGTGCCCCATACTGGCAGAAGAAATGCTGCATCATATAATGGGCTGCTGGGAACACCTTGCCCTGCTCCTAGGAAACATACTGCCCCCATTTTCAGCACTTCTATTGCTCGAGTTAAAGCAGCGTGCGCTAGAGCTGTTCACACACTCAGGTGTTTCTGGGCCCCTGCTGTAAGGCCCCAGGGATCTGGAGCCTCGTGATGGGGAAATTTGATAGTGGTCAGTGCTGAAGCAAGCTGTCAGGTCATCCCACCAGTGGAATTTGCTTCGTGCAGCACCAGCCCCTCAGGGAAATGTTTTGAGACCTCGGGGTGAAGCACAATAAATGCCTCTCTCTTTCCTTCCATGTGGCTTCCTCCTGCACCCTGTCACGAGAAGCAGCTCACTTTCTTCATGGGCAGCGCTTCTTTTCCCACCCGCAAGCTCCCTTGCTCCCTCATTTTCTCAAAAATCTTGCAGAGAGCTGTCACGAGGGAGCATACCATGGTCCTTCAGATCATAGGTCTCTCAGGTCTCTCTCCAGCTCCAGAAAAGGCCCGTGCTGCATGCTTCCAGGAGAGATGTAAAGCTATCACAAATAATTAATGGCGTGTACATCAGCAACAGATATTTCAGCTATACCCCAGCTAATGATCAGTCGGCAGAGATGCCTTAAGACTTAGGAGATGGGAAGTATCCTGGAGAGAAATCTGGAAATAGTGGCAGGAGAAACCATTATCAAAATTAAAAGAGAAATGTTTCCTTTGAAGACAGTTTATACTGAAAATGAGGCTTACTTTGTGCAACATGTCCTGTTATTAAATAGACAGCAAAGTATATGTGCAGGGTACTGAGGCTTTAACCACCCTGGAAGCTGAAAGAAATAGATTTTCATATAAACTCAGGCTTTCAGGCTAACGGACGGCCAGGTAACATCCCCTAAGGGGGTGTTTTAGTTGCTGACTCCTACGATATTCTTTTCCGGCTAATCAAGAGAAGTTGTTACTGTCATTCACTCATCCCTACTGCTGAGGCAAGAGGATATGGAAGGAAATAAATATAAAAGATAGTGTCCATGTAGATGCTGGGGTGGAAGTTGCCACTTGAATTCCAGAGGCAGTAAGAGAAGCTCCTGTTCCATCATCACAGCTGGGATTTGTGAAGAGAAAGGATATTTTATGCTGAACCGCTGTAGCCTTTGGTAGCAGGAAGTGACAACACCTTCCTCACAATGAAGCCTTGTTTTGTCTTGTTCTTTCCTGAGTAGCCTTTAAACAGGAACCAATGAAAAAAACACAACTGCAAGTATACTACGTTGTGCTTTTCTCCCAGTGGCTAGGGACTGCTGCCAATTCAAACACGAAGACCTGAAAGCGCATGCTCAGATGTGGAGCTGTGGTCACCTAAACCTTCTTACTTCTTATTAGAGAGCACTTGTCCTAGGAAGAAAACTATGCAGCATTTTTACCAAATAAGTTGCAGACTGTTTTCTGATGTGAGACATAAGATACATGGGAGGCGGTGACTTCTATTTTTGAAAAATGTTTACTTCTTAAATATTTTTTTTCCTTGGGAAGAATGTTGTTACATTTTAAAACATTTAAAAAGTCAAACTAGAGGCTTCTGTTCCTCAGCTGAGTAATATCTGCCATGCAAAAAACGACTTCTGTATCAGGAGTAATTTGAAAGTGGCTCTCTGCACATCTGTACAGACAAATCAGATTTAATTAGCCATGCTTAGATTCCTGCTCCTCCTGTTGACTGCAGAGGAGAAATTCCATCCCAAAATGTAGGTGTCTGCCTTGGAGACATGTGCAAATCCAAATTCTGTAGAATTCCATGTTTAAGCAGCGATTATGCAAAACGGGGATGTTGTTTGCTAGCTTAGCCAAAGAAATGCATGCAGCTGGTAAAAATGAAAGGATGCTGGCAACTACCTGCTCTGCTTTCAGTCTGAAGTAGTTTGGTCAACTATTACGGGGGCAGAGGGACGTCACGAGCACTCAAAGAGCTGATGGTGCAGAAGCGATGAAAGCGGCAGCTTCCAGATGCTCGGTTAGCCACTGGTGGGCGAGGAGATAGGAGTGCAGGCAGGCAGAAAGCAGTGGCTGATGATGTGATGGCAGCGCTCAATAGCAGAAAAGCTTAATGCAGAGATGAAGCGACATTTTGGTTCCCTTGCATTGGGGTGAACTTCTTGAAGTTCAGTTGTACCAGAAGGAAAATATTCTCTGTGCATATTCACATATTTCCAAACTACAGTCGTATGTCCCTGCTGCTTTCAGTGTATATATTGACATTATTCTACTCTCAAGAGGTTTCGATTGATATGTAGCCTCCCAAAAAATAGAATAATGTCATTGATTCTCTATCCTAAAAGGCTGAAATATATTCTTTTGCATTTAGAAATACGTTTTTACTTAAAGAAAGTAGACAGGGATGTATTTAAAGTGTGAGAATAACATGCTTAATTTTGCTTTTTGTCTTAAGGACTTGATGATAGTTACTGTTACTAGCACAGTGACACAAATTTCTTTCTGTAACAGTTTTAGAAGATGACTGGGCTTTACAGCTAAAGTCAGGTTTCTGACAATCCTTTTTCATTTGGGGCTGTCCTTTCAAAAAGATATAGGGCTAGATTCATTGGTACCCTCTGGCTGTTTTGTGCAGTTCTGCTGACACACAGCAGCCATAAACCTAAGTTAACTGGCCAGTTACAGCTGCTCTGTGTCACTGAAGTGTATCTGAGAATCTGGCCCGTGATCTGTATAAATCCTTTTAAGAGGAAGCTAATATATGTTTTGGTTTCTTTTCTTTTGCAGAAAGATGTACGAGGAAGAGTAAGTACTGTATCTTTTTTTTAATGTAAAATAATCTTGAAAATACCTTTTATTTATCTTATGCTTAAAACTGTACATGTAGAAATTTTAAGAAAACAAACCTGTTTCCGTATAATGTATAGATTTCCGCAGGACATGTATGATAAAGACTCTCAGTTTTAATTTCTCTAAGCCTGTCTGGTTTTCTAATTACTACTGCACCAGCTTTGTACTATTTTTCAAAACTTGTGGTTGATGAAGCTACTTAATTTGGTTGCCAACTCATTCAGAGCCCTTTATTACCACCTTGTTGTCTAATAAATGTCTTAGAGAGCTCCAAGGTCCTCAAGAGTGCTTGTCAACAACTTAATGTCAAACATGAAAATCCAGACACCCTTAAATCAGTCTGCATTAGGCCCCTGTGGACCTGCTCAACACACAGTAGGCTCACAGGTAAAGCTATTCCTAAGGTGACAGCATCTTTGGTAGCCCTAAATATATAAGAAATCTGTCTTTCTCTAGAGCTTCCCCCTGGCAGTGGCTGGAGGGTTATCAAAAAAGAACAAGCCAATGGCAACACTTTGCCAGAGCACTCACCCAGCCTCTGAAACCTCGTGGTTATGGGACTTCTATGCTTGACGTGACATCTTTGAAAAGCTTAAGGTAGAATTTATCACTTCTGCAGTTTTGGACATCCAGCAGGCCAGGATCATTGAAATGCAACAACTCCTGAAGTTACCTGCAGGGAGAGGTCAGAGGAGGGGTTAGCCAAACTAAAGAAAATGATTGCAACCTAGACCAAAATGTTAAGGGAGAAAAGAGGAGCGGGCACGCTTTATACAGGTAGGAGAGAAACACCTGTAACGTCAGAGAATTTGACAGTCAGCCAGACATCACAAGTAAAGTCAGTGTAAAATAGACTTTGAAGGATTTGCGTATTGAAATCCTAAATTGGGGTTTTCAAGATTTATTTTATGATTTGAAATAGTTTTGCTCCATTTGGTTTCGATGAAGGATGTTCCGTAATCCTTTCTCAAAAGGAGCGGGGTTCTTAAGAGGAACACAACATACCCAGCGAGTAACAATAAGCTCACGTGAGAGAGCAACGCATGTCGAAATAACACAAGACTGGTTGCTCTAATAACTTTATCAGAAATTAACGTCCAGTTTTCTACTTTGAACAGTTTCTAGTGGACCATAGCTTACAACCCACTGGCTGAGTTGAAACTGGCTCTTGTAAAGCCTCACAAGGAGTGATGCTGGCTACCTCACATGGTGTGGTGGCATTTCTGTTTGCCTCTGAAGGGCAGGGCACTCAGAAATGCCACTTCCTGCGATTCAGTGTAGAAGTTGTGGAGTCACAGCAGCCCTTGGGCAGGACTGCACCTGAAAATCTGCTTAATGGTGAACTGGAAAGCATGGTGTAACTCACCCCAAACCATCTCCCAGATTGCTTTTCATTCAAGCATGATCAAGAAAACAATTACATACATAACAGACAATGCTGCCCTTTGCTATCAACTAGATGGGCTGAATTCTGCTTGGATTAACAACTGTGCAGCCTCAGTGAATTCCCTGGGTTTGCGTGAAAGCCCTACAGCAGAGTGCATTATTTACCCTGCATGTTTTGTACTAAGATTAGCTCTCACACAGTAAATTATAAAGCCCAAGTCTTTAAGACACGCTGAGGCCCGTGATGCACGCACACAAATTCAGAAGTGCCAAGCCAAACATGACACTGTCCTCAGCCCTGTGACCATACTGGTTATCACGTTCACCACTGGACCTACCTGCGAGACACTGAGAGCATGTGAAACTAAATCCTGAATCACCTCTCTTTGCGTAGCTCGCCACCATGTATTTTTTAAAGCGCTGGCAGTCTTTCTGTGTTTGTGTTTGCTTTGTTGTGAGGAGGGAGGCAGGGCACGCTGCGAAGCTCGCCGCAGTGAAGCCAGCTGCATTTACTGCAGAGCTATGGTGATAATTTGCGATGAGATTAGAGCAGCTACTTACAACCCAGAGTTCTCGCTAAATTCACGATAAGACGGGGGAGAGGCTGAAGCAGCATTGCAAATGAATTATCAACTTAATTTTCTGCACAATGGATGTCACAAGCCTGTTTCAGCCATGTGGCAAGGCCACGTCCTGCCTGGCTGCTGGGTGCATACTAACAGGGACACTGGAAACGGGGCTCATCCAGGGAGAGAGGTGATCATCAGATAATCTTGCTGGGGAGAATTAGACGAGTCGAACTTTGTGGCACTTCGTGCCCCAGGGAGTCATTATCTTATAACAAACCTACTATCTCTCAAACCATATTGCTAGACTGTGTCATGCAGATACGCAAACAGAGGGCTGTTTATCACTTGGGCAGCTGTCCAAAGTGCAACTGTATAAAAAGAAGACACTTGAAGATTTTTCCATTCATGAGGCAGCTTTTATAGATTCGCATTCATGGGGCTTTTCAGAGAAAACAATAACAATTTAAGATTTTTTTCTCCTTATTGCTGCCAGAAGCTGAAAGAAGGCAAAATAGCTCTATATATTTAATGTAGGATAGAGGGGAAATGAGGGGGATTGAAATGATGAGAAGGTTTGGGGACATCAAGAAGCTCTAAAAGGCATCTACTGTTAATTTTTTTCATGCAGAACTTTACACAGATAATGCCTGTGCAAGAGAGATGGTTTAAATATGCAGATGTCTCTTCTCAAAGGCATTCAAATTGTTCGTTAATTAGTCAGCAGTAAGGACTGGCTGTTTTACTTTTTATACATATAAAAGTGGGAAAGAAAGCTTTTTTTTCTCTTTTACTCTTTCTGCTGAACAAAACAATAGATGTCAGCCTGCAAAACCAAGTGGATGTTCCCTGTTTTTTATACTTCTATGCTGTAATATTCCCTCTTCCCATATTCGGAAATCCGTCTTCCCCTGGCATTACCTCTTGCACAGTTAGTGTCAGACAACCTTTTTCCTTCCAAGACAGCCTTTTTGGGGCATGCAGATGGAAAGCCTGCTCTGCTTTACTGTCCTTCACGCTGTCACCAACTGCTCACTCACGGTTTCGAGGTGGGGGTCTGTGGGGCAGGGGCATTTCATGGCAGCACCGGTAGTGCCCTGTGCCAGCCCCGTGGAGGCTCAGGCATCCCGCGATGTCACCTACTGGAAGCCAGCTCAGAAAAATAGCAGGTAAAGGATGGCAGAGCTTGCACTGGCAGGTTGAGAGGTATTGTGAGAAGGGATGCAGCAGTGAAAGGGCATCCCGTTTACTCACAACATGGAGATGTTGCAATTTTAAGGCTGAAGGCCCAGAGCAGGATGTAATGGCTTCAGTCACATGCATTTCTCAAACTTCCTGTTATTTGCTCTTCCACCTACGTCTCCCTTCTTGGGTGTTGTGGTGTGCAACTTGTACCATACACGCCCCTCAGACTGAGTGGGCCAGTTTCAGAGGTAATGTCTAAGCAATAGTCTGGCAAGTTGCTGAAAATACAGAAAACTCAGACCTGGTGTGTATTTCTCACTGAGGGGGCGAGAGGATGGTTTCGTTTACAACGGCCCATGTTCCCTGACAGATGTATCTTATTTTTTGACTTAAGTGGTGATCGCACTTCTATGACTCAGTGCAAAGCATTGCTCTGGTTTTGATATTTTCTGTAGTTGAAAGCTCAACTGAAGGATATAAAAGGCAGCAGGTTCAATGACTAGACAGAAATAATAAGATTTTTTTTTTTTGTCTTCAAGGAGTTTCTCCTTATGTGACTTTTTCTTGGTATAAATTATAGAGGGAAGCCAAATCTAATGGATATGGGATCCCTGATGATCAAACCAGTACAACGGGTGATGAAGTATCCCTTGTTACTCTGTGAACTCTTGAATTCAACTCCTGCTTCTCACCCTGACCACAAGGCTCTACAAGAGGCCCTTTTTGCTATGAAAAGCATTAATGTGAACATCAATGAACTTAAAAGGAGGAAAGATTTAGGTAAGAAAAAGGCACAGTACATTCTTCTGTCTGTAGGTTTGGGCTGGCAGTTACAAGAGAGGTTTCAGCTCCAGTCACATTGCCACAACAGTTTTGGAAGCTCATACTTAACTTGTATAGTACACTGGGCTTCAAGAAAGTAACAGATGCCTTAATGTCACTTGTCCTCAGCAGCTATGCTATCTGACAAAGGATGCAGACTCCAGAAACACGAAAATGATGAAAGAATTCATGTCATAGCCATGTTCATCGTCAGTTATGCAGTTGCAAACACTGATAATAATTAAGACGCTGTGATAGCACTATTTCTTATAGACTTGCCATGCTGAAGCCTTAACTTCACTCTTCTCAAGGCTAGCATTGATAACAGGGTTTTCATCATTTTCACACAAGATTACAGCAAGTGACATCAAAGTGTCTGGTCTCAAATGGTTTCATATTTGTATCCCCATCCCTGTGAAAAGCCCTGTGAATACAGACTATTAGTGTCATGAAATTCTCTCTCTGCAGTGCTGAAGTATAAGAGGAATGATGATGATGAAACCCTTAAAGAAAAGTTTTCCCGACTGAATATTCACTCCATTAGCAAGAAATCCAAGAGGGTCACCAGCCATCTGAAAATACTGACGGGGGGAGAACCTCAGGTACTTACTCATCCAACTGCAGATTTGCATTGACAGCTTCAGTTCTGCTTTTGCACTGGGCATTTTTAAAGACATTTTGGAAACACAGTTTGTGGTGTTGCCTTTTTCCTGCATCATTTATAAAGTCCTTTTCTGAGTGTCACGTAAGACAGGAAAGCTCTTTGTGATTGAAACAGAAAATAGCATAATGTATTCTCTACCTTTTCCTCTTTTATCTAAGTTTCTCAAACTTCAGATCTTTAGCAGAGAGGAAGCGACCGGTAGTCTTGTGAAAATCAGCCTCTGATCAGCTCTTTGTGGATAAACTGGCAATCCTTATTGTTGGTTTTGTGAACAAGTTCTGGCCGTTTTATTCTGCACCTAACATTCAGGTCCTGAGCCCTGCAAGGAAGATGAGCAATACTCCTGATTAGTAAAGGCCACGGCTTTTGCCTCCACATGCATGAGGATCTGTAACCATCAAAATTACCAGAGGCAAAGAACCCTGGGATAAATCCAATGGGGGTTGGGTGGCCAAAACCAAAATGCTCTTTCATAATTTCAAGGTTGTGATTCAAAACCAACCAGGATAAACACATTCAGAAGAGCTCCAGTCTGAATCTCAAAGAAAATCAATTATAACTGACCTTGAAAATGGTATCTGGTGCACCTCCCTACAGGAGATAGCTGATCGTGGCAAGGTCACTTGCCTTTCTAGATGTGACTTTACAAGATTTGTGCCGTTTTTTTCCTGTTTTGTTTTTTATCAGTGGTTTCCCCCTTTCTCTGACGCAAATTACCCACATTTATTTTTTTCTGCTTTTTTATTTGCACAATGGAAATTTTTGTATTTTCACTGGTTTTCCCACCAAATCCCATGGCAGAGTAGAACACTGACAAGGCTATATAATCAAAGAAAACTATGGAATTAAACTTGATTAAGAGAAGGTGTGATTTTTTTAGATGCCTTTTTTTTTTTTTTAAAATTAACCTTAAAATATTGGAGAATTTAGAATAAGGAGATATGTGTTAAAGATTCAGCCCTCTCTTCTGCTTAAGTAAAGAAAGTCTTCAATTCACATCTCTGAAAAATGCTGTGACCCTTACAGCAACCCTCCTGAAAAACAGACCTGAGATTTCTCAATTTCCTTAACTAAAAGGTAGGCAGAAATAAATGTATTTTCAGGCTGCATAAGAAAAGTAGAGAAGCTCGTTTCCAGCTGCAGAGGTTACAAGCTGAAGAGCTGGCGTGGCTCTAGAGCTAACAGCTCCACCTACAGCCTGCCTGGGAGAAATCTCTCCATTACCCACCCGAATGAGCATGCAGGGAAATAATGCCATGACATAAAACTATATTATATTATCACCACTGTTCCCCCAAATGGAGCAACAATATACAAAGAATTGAGAGTTTTACTGATGCATGTAGATGTGCAACTGTTTGTTTCCATTCGGTTTGGCAAAAATTATAATCTGTCATATTGCCCAGTGTCTTTGACTCTTCTTGGATTAAAATCGGAGTTTGGGAGAATTAGGGACCAATCTGTTCTGCTTTCAAAGGGAGGAGTTCAGGGAAGGTTTGGGATTTTTCCAGCGGAGCCCTAGGCACTTCTTTAATTAGCTAGACTCCAAAATAACAGTGGAAACATCTATTTTAGGTGAAAGATCAAACCTTTAATAGGGAAGAAAAGCTGTTTCGAAGTTTAGAGAAGACTGTGAAATTGTGTGTGAAGAACATTTCATCCTCCTCGCAACATCTACAGGTGGGTACATGCCTTTATGAAATCCGTGGCCACAAACCACGTCCATAACCAGTTTAGCAGACATTTCTGCCCCTGGTTAGGCAACACCAAATTATTTATAAGCAGGCTTTTCTACAACATACTATTAAATAAATCAGCTGTGCTTCTGCTGCATTACTGGGCAAAGAAGTTATGAAGCCCATTCTTCTGCTTTTTTTTTCCTCCATTTTTAGGAACCAGGCTCTGTGGAGACCCATGGGTACCGTGCAGTAAAGAAAGTGCTGTCTGGTAGCATGGTTACTACTTTCAATCACTGCGCAAAGCCATCATATATACCCCATACAAATCCTGCAGTAGAGCACCAAGTAGTTGTCATAAACAATGTCAGAAGTGAGTTGCAACCACATGAATTAAAATGTCCTAAAATATGTGTTTTGGACATAAGGACTCCTTCCTTAATTCTCTTGCTAGGTGGTGTTGAGGGTTAGCATTAGACGGACACAGTTCTCAAGTGCTGTAAATGTTTTTGCTTTAATCTACCCCTCGGAAGATGTGGGTTTGCTGGTAACTTACCAGCTTTTTCCCTCTCGTGGGCAACTTGTCAACTTTGTAGAAGCCACAAGGTGTACGTGTGCCCAAGCTGGACCTGGAGTTTATTTGAGAGGTAGGCAAGATCAATAGCCAGCTGGCCAGAACTTATCGCAAACACACCTTGTTTGGCTCAGCAAACAGGGGAAGGGCTGCGAGCTCAGCCGACAAAAGTTGTTGCCTGTAATGGTGTTGACAGTTCCTTATCCAAACGGATGCACACTTCATTAAGATTAAAATTCACTGTAAGTGAAACACACTGTAGTCCTACTTGGTCCTCCAAAATAGGTCTTTCAGGGTGCATGGTGCTTGAGCTGGTGTCTTGCCGAGAAGTAGTTAACTTCCAGTGGGACTTACATTAGATTGGAGCACAGTTTTTTTCCAGTTGAATATTAACAACTTTATTCTTCAATAGTTTGCATTGAAAATAGGCAAAACACAGAAACGTATTTTTACAGTAAACAATCCCACAATGGCTGGAAACTGCACAGAAAAAAAGCAAATAGGTATGCAAGATGGAAAATATTTCTGATTCCATCAATAACATTGCAGTGAATGAGTGAATGCAGCACATTAAAACAAATTGTAATGTTTTTTCATCTTCCTACCATCTTCTCATTTAGGATTCCATACACCTGGCTGCACAGAACATAACTGGGCTTCAGGAAGTCTTGCAAGACAAAGAAGATGAAGTCAAGAACCACTTGAAAAAACTAAACAATACTGCAAATCTCTGTGAAGACCTTGTAAGTTTATGCAACACCCAATGTCACACAGATAACTGCCTGTGAGAGAACAAATGTATGCAAGACAGACAAGACAGAAAAGAGCAAAAAAAACCCTTCAGGAATACGTTAGGAAAGATAGATGAGTGTTTGTTTGTTTGTTTGTTTGTTTGTTTGGGTTTCTGTAGGAAATCAGATAAAATTCAGTTCAAGTACATTGTGTTTCCCTAAAAGAGCTAAAGAAAACTTCTTAAGCTAAATTCCTGTGTTGAAGCTAAAGTCCTTGTGCTAAATTTGCATCTTTCTTCTGAGCTTCAGACAAGAGCAGCGGATCTCTGCTTTTACCAGTTTTGTTACCAATATTCAGAGTTTCACAGTGACTTTTGCAATCTTTGTTATAGTCATGAATTATTATTAGCTCCTAGAATCACAGATCCGTGAAAATCTCAGTTTTATTACTTTTTCAAGTAAGTTACCATGCTTCATATAGAGAAAAGTTGAATAATCTGGATATAGACCATAAACATTAAAAAAGAAAACAAATCACCTAATAAACTGTAAGATTTTTCACATATTCTCCGGCTTCCAGGGTCCAAAGGAACTCTAATGCCTGTCTGTACTAAGATACACTAAAATGTCTCTTCAAACAGCTCAGGCTGGAAAAATTCAGAGGTGGAGGTTTTCTTATGCCTTCCTAGGTCTGTGCTGACTAAAATGCAGCTATTCAATCCTTTCCAAAAAAATGAGAACAGCATCTGCCAAAAACCAAAAGGATTTTTGACAGACCACATCCTCCCAGATAATGACAGGGAAGTGAGATGGTGTATTTCCATCCCTTTGAAGTTCCAGAATTTAAAAAGAAACTCAAAAATTAGTTGCGATAATTAGATTTTTTTTTCAATATCTTTAAAATGGATGAGTGCATGAAGTAAAGAAGAGGAACACCTCTATCATTGCAAAGATGAGTGTGTCCAGAACGGAAAATGTTCCTTCCCCCTCTCTGCCCCACCCCTCCCTTTACAGAACCATCAAAGAAAAGCAGAAGAAATTCCACAAGAGGTAGAACAGAAAACTTTTCTCAAAACTAAACTTCGTAACTCCTATTGACTCATAACCCAACTGGCCTGAAGGTCTTTGTACTTTACAAAAAGAAACCAACATTTTAACAGTATTCAACTGTGGACATTGTTTTAAACCATGTTTATTTCTATTTATTTTCTATTTGTTTGTCTGTCTTGGATTTAAAACAGACATACTTTATCTTATATATAGTTAAAACAAACTAACAAACAAAAAGCTGTTGTACTGATGTTGAAAAATGAATAGCTATTTGCATGTTTTCCTGAATCAGCACTGGACTCAGAGTATGACATTTCTATCCTTTTGTGCATTTGTCAATAATGAATATCTTCCTCTCATGTTTTAGGGAAAACTTTAGGGCAGAAATCCACAATAGCCTCTTCATTTCCAGAAATCAGGACCAGCAGTTTGGAAAAATTGTTTTCTTAACACATCAAAAATTGCTTCACTATACACAGCCTAGTTTTTCAAGTGGAAATGAAATGAAAACTACCTAGCCAGTGCACATCAACTTGGCCTTGGGAGAGCATTTCTGGTGCTAAAATGGATGCGCCCTCAGCTGTGGGGTGCTACAGAGGGGAAGAGGGATGGTTGCTCTTTTATTCTCACAATCAACCCAACAAGTTATTTCACAAAAAAACATCCAAGGGTTTTAACACGATGATGAGGTTTACTCAAGAAAAGCCTGTTCTACATTTGAACACATGGCTATCAAAAATAAATGTTATTTAGTGCGATATTAATCCTTTGAGACAATTAGAGGCTAATGGAAAGATCTAAGAAGGATTTTTTTACCAGTTATCTAGTTTTGCTGATTACTACAGATAAAACCAACAAGCATAGCACAACTTAATCAAGTGATTGTGTTTGCTTAAAAAGGAATAGAGTTACGGCTATTTCTAGGAAAAGAAAAAAAAATAAACCTTTGATATCATTCAAAACAAAGACTGCCATTTAACAAGATGTCAATGCCTCTAGACTACATGGGCTGGAAATCTCAGTTTTATTGGAGTGTAACACTACTAGGCACTAAAAAGCACACTCACCTGTTTTCCAGCTTCAGTATTCATGGTTATCCTACACTGACCCTTGCCTCATTTTTTCCTCCATGGTAACACAAAGGGCAGTATCACCAGCTGCATGCTCCAAGGGACCATTTCCATTATCAGAGACTTTAAGAGGCAAACCTGTTACCCCTCCTTTGCAATGTTATGAAGGAACTTCTAACTCATGCTAGACCCTGTGTGAAGCTGCCCCTGACAGCAACACTTTGTGAAGAGCCAGTAACAGATTGCTTGTTAGGCTGCAGTCAGGCTTAACCCGTTACTGGGTCTGAAGAACTGTTTGAATGAAATAATCTGTAGTTCTGTTTTATTACCTTTCCAGATGGCTCAACTGGACAAGCTTGTTTTGATTCCTCTCTCAGCACTACAAGCCTTGTTTGCAGGCCCACAGAAGCTCATCCAGAAGCGCTACGACAAGTTGTTGGACTACAACAGCTACCTTCAGAGGTCAACAGGAGAAGAGCTGGACCTGGCAAAGAAAGACTATGAGGCTTTAAATGCACAGCTAGTGGAGGAACTTCAGGTATTCAACCGAGCAGCCAAAAAGATTGTGTTGAACTGCCTGTATTGCTTCATCACCCTCCTCAGGAATATTATGGCTGCAGCACTTCAATCAAATTCTTCTGTGGTGGTGCCTGTTCCAGTAAGTACATTAGAAAGAGGCATAGCTCTGCGGATATGGCTCTTTCTGCGTGATTTGGGTAGAGATATGTAGGACACGTACCTACATGCTACACCAATTTTACTTGGTCTGCTAAGCAGTCAGGCTTTGGTATTTTTTTTTTTTTTTTGCAAGCCCAGCACAGTTTTAAGTTTGCAGCTTAAGTTTTGTCAGCCTGGACTTTTTGCTGAGAATGATCCTAATGCAGCTGCTCCAGCTATTGCAGCAAAGGTAATGGTGAGAACATAACAGTAAGGCAAAATGGAGGCGGTCTCTAGCATTTAACCTTGCTTTTTTTAGGGGGCTCTGCCCTGAACAGCCCAGAAAACAGGGCAAGAGAAATTCTAAGGAAGTTCATGAACACTTCTGGTAGTATTGGATCTGCAGACTCACACTGATGGCTGCAGAGAAGTGGCTTAGGAGATCTGATGAAATCATTTCTATGAAAACCAAGTTGCTTTTAAGTCCAAATATGCTGCAGAAGCTCCTGCACAGTAGGAATAGGCAGAAAGGAATAGCTTCGTCTATGCTGACATTTTTAGAAAGTTACAATCATTTCACTCATGGAGTCAAAGCCACAGCAAGGCAAGGATGCCTATCTGAGCTACACAGAAGTGCATTAGTTCCTCCAGCCCACACAACTTTCTGTGCAGTGTGAGCATTACCTTAAGATTGTGAAATTATTCTTAATTTGTGTGAAAATTACACAACGTTTGTTTTGTTGTATTTTTCCCTGGAAGACTTGAGCCCTCTTATAAACACACCTGTGACAATGCCTCCCCACCTCCAAACCCACTCACCTGAACTGCAGCCTAGTAACTGTATCTGGATAAGCCTCTACATGTGAAACACGTTGTACTGAGGCCCTTCTGGAGTATCCCTTTCCACCCAGGGATGAACAAAGCACTTTATAGTCAGGGGTAGCTGAAAAATTGAGAAAGCGAGGTCAGGATCAAAAGATAGAGCTGCACTGTTTAATTGGAAAATGAAGGCTTTTCCTGCATGAAAAAATTGGATTCCTGTAATCTGGCTATTTCATGCTTTGGAATACACACTATTGCATCAAGTGTTGCTTTCTATGGTGCTTTTCCTACAAAATTACCTTTTTTTCTTTTCTGTTTACATCAGCAAATACATTTGGGGTTAGGCATAGACCAAAAGCACTTACCCAGTGCCACAGAGCTTCAGTTTACCCATCTATCTTTAATCTGGTAGCAGCGCACAGTTGCACAAATGCACAGCTGTGGGGTAAGCTACTCCAAGCCTTACAGCACATCGGCCACTCTGTGATAACTGCTGAGATGAGCATTTGCATCTGAAAGCAGGTGGCTCAGTACTGTAAATGCAAGGCTGTTCATTTACATTTTTGTTGCTGTTTAGAATATTTTTTAATGATTAACTTAAATCTCTACGTCCTGTAACTCTAATAGTAATCCTTTGAAACTTTTTTAAGCACAGATCTTTCTTTTCTTTCTGCCTAGTACACTATAGGATCTGCAGGAAATTGCAGTAACTTGTCAGGTTTTGTGATTCCTACTGTTCAGCCCATTAAACCAAATCTGCTGTCTCAAATCTCCTTACCATTTTGTTCATGAGATCTAACCCACCTTTGTGTTTGCAGCTGTCTTCCTCAAGCATCTGTGAAGTGCAGAATCAGTTGATGGAGGAGGTTCACAAGCTGAATTTTGTAAAAGAAAACAGCAGCGCAACCTTTATTGAAAGAAAACTGAGCTTTGAAAAAAAGAAACCTGTCCCTTCTCCAGTGAGTATCATACATCTGAATTGTATATGAATCATCCGCTTTTGATCACTTTAGAGACAAATCCATATTTATGCCACTTAGAGGGCTTGCTCCCTTCATTGGGAATCTGAATTGGGTTATTGGAATGAAGCTGTTCTATTGACCAGTAGCTTCACAAGATTTTTGACGCTGTCTTCATGTTATTTTGAAAATCTGCTTGAAATCACCTTTGATTATCCTTAGGTCTTTAAGCACAGGTTAAGTTCAAGGCTGCATATGCAAAACTGGATCATTTCTCTTGTTAAACACTCTTGCAGTGAATCTTATTCTTTGAATTCAGAACTTTTCCTGATTCTTAGCTGCAGTTCTGTTTATATTTGTGTTTACACACGTATGCCCACACATACACCCCCACAGCAGAAGACACATAAAGTCCAGCAGGAAATCTGCATGCCTGTGGTTCTCAACCTTCTCAGACATTTACAGAGCTTTCAGGCATCCAGTTTACAGAACAATATAAAGCCATATATATATACAGTACAATATAAAGTCAGCTGCAGATTTACAGGAGAAGCCAAAGAAGCGGGAGGATTCATTTTAGCATCAGTAAGGCACACATACTCTTGTGACTGTGGTACATTGGAGTCCCATTGATGTGCAGCATCTCCATCTCTGCCCTCTAACCAAACTGACCGAATATGCTTCCCGCAGTTAATAGCACCTTGCCCTTATATAGCAAAATAATTTTGGACCATTCGGTTTCTACGGAGTTTTTGCCCAGTGCCTTGTCATGCAAGTTGTTATATGACCCTAGCATACCTCTGCTAATTTTATTATGTTTTTTGCAATTTTACATAGGAATTCAACGATCATTGTTAGTAAAAACAATTAAAGCAGTTACAGTTCACATGCAGAACACAGGCTCTTGTGGAGTACTGGCTAAGAGATATTTCATTATATTCCTGTATTTCTTTCTTTGAAATCTGCCCTTTATTGGTCAGCTATTAATAGAACAGTTGGGCAGGCCCTGGCTGCATATGCAAAGGAGATTTGGTTACCTATAGCCGTGTAACTAACTCCTTGATCTGTGTGTAAGAAAGTAGTCAGCTGCCACATGCAGTGTACACTAGTTCCTTTTATGCATCTGTGCTGTTCTAGAAATGGCTTCAGCATTATTCCTAGTGAATAATTTTTCTTCTTTTCAGCTCGAATCCCCACGCCAAACAGAAGCCGACAGGTCCAAGCTGCTGTCTACGTACAGCACGGAACTGCTGTATCAAGCTAAGCGCAAGTGCAATGCCACGCAGGAATTCGATATTGATTTGCATGAAGGAGAATTGGTGGCTGTCGTGGAGCAAAAGGACCCCTTCGGAAGTACGAGCAGATGGCTTGTTGACACAGGAAGTAAGTTCTTTGCACAAACATCCCAATAACAGCTTCCCTTTGGGCTATTGATTTCTTTTCATTTTCGGCCCCATCTGTTTGCCTCTGTCATACTGACAGCTGCATAAAACAGTTGGTTTTGAAATCATTTAACTGTATTTTGCTGCTTATTTTTTCTCTTTCTATTCTGATATGTAGACCTTAAGGGGTACGTGTATTCCTCCTTCCTGAGGCCTTACAATCCAGCCAAAGTGCAGAAGGATGTAACAGAGAACAACTTCTGGGATGATGATTTTGATAATATCAGCCTCTTTGTCTCTTCACGGCCCTCCTCTGACAGCAGCACAAGTCCAGGGCACAAGAAAAGTGACAGCAGCTCATCTCTTCACTTCTGTGAAAATCCGACAACTAATGGCACAGGGACTGGTGCTTTTCAGGATATGGATGATCAGCAAGTAAGTATAATACCTGTTGTGCCTGTCTTCTTGTTTTTCTTATTTCAAATCCAGATTTATACTGATTATAATTTAAACAATTATTTAAATAATTTAAATAATTTCCTTTTGCACTGGAAAAGCCTTGCACTAATCTCTCAGTATGATGTAGGAATTTAAGTGCGGGAGCTTTAGGAGAGGTGATTCTCTACATGGAAACCTTGCTGTAAATTCTTGGGCTTGTCCAAGGCTGCTTGGTGTGACAGCAACAAACACTTGGTATGAGCTGAAAACCTTACTGACGTAATGCTCTCTTTTGTTGATACCTCAGAGCTTGTTTTGTTCCATCCCATGCAGAATTCCTCAGATCCTTCAGTTTTACTTTTTGTTTTGGCCCTGTTCTTTGTACTCTGCGCAGCAATTACAGACCATGCAGTTACATAGTGGCTCAGATACGTTCTCACACATTTATATATCCAGAATTCACGCTAACACACAATGACAGGATAAAATATGGCTACATTTCTGAATTCAAGTTTTGTTTTCTTTTTTTTTGTGGCTTTTATTTTTCAGACCTTCTATGCTGTTTATGCATTTCAAGCAAGAAATGACCAGGAACTCAGTCTTGAGGAGTACCAGAAGGTTAGGATACTTCGTTTTTCTGACCTGAGTGGCAATAAAGAATGGTGGCTAGCAGAAGCCAAAGGTCAGAAAGGATATGTACCATCTAATTATCTCGGGAAGATGACATACGCTTAGGAACAGAAAGGTCCATTCAGCGCGTTTCTCTGAAGTAGACAATAATAATCTATTACAGTTTGCAGAAAGCAAGGCAAACTCACAATTGACTGACAGAAGCCATGGCATCTGGTACAGTGCACACATGATATTGAGAACCTCCATTCTCCAAAAGCCGTCACCTTGTCAAGACCTGAGGGAGAAAACATTTAATAGGAAGACTGATTCTGATTAACATCTCGAAGAGCTTGCTTTTCTATTACCCCATAATTTTCTCTTCTGTCAGTGTCCTACGTCAAAAGTCAACCTACAAGTACACATTGCAGCTAACGTTATGTTTTTCTTTCATGATATTCAGCAAATAATATTCCAGATGAAGACAAATAGCCTTGAAAAAGGACAAATTCAGTCTTCAGGGATTGTAGTTCAAAATGAATTATTCCTAAGCCCCTACCTTGATGAACATAGACAAATCTCAATACTCAGGGCTTTTGCATTGTCTGTTTTTGTCCTCAGCCACTTTTGTAACGAACCTTTTTCTCAGTGACAAATATTGAAGTGGGAAGAGAAAAAGGGTTTCATTTTCATAGGAAACATTTCAATTTAAAACATACTGAGTATGTTGGTGCTAGTGGCTGGTCTCAGGGAAGAAGGTATATTTAGTTAAATATGGAAATGCGTGGAGAGGAATAGCAGGCACAAGAAACAGGTAACGTGAAATAGGGAAGTTATAATTCTCAGAAAAAAAAATCGCAACTACTTCATACGATTGGCAATAATTTGTAGCAATATGAATGTGCCTCTAGGTTTGAAATTACATGCCTCTAGACTAACTGTGTTATAGTGCAGGATCTGTGTAGTGAAACAAAACTTGTGTTATTAGACTTGGGAATTTATTAAGCTTTGGGGAAAAAAAAGTGAAGCAGTGCCTTACCATGAATATTTACTGTCTATCTGACTCCCTAGGTCAGATACAGAGATCATACTGTCTAGTGAATAAGCTAAGATTTAAGATGTGTCAAAATTTCTCTTCCAGAAAAAAAACACATTCTCATTTTGAAAGTGTCTAACATTAGAGTGAACAGTGAGTGAAGAACGTATTAATGAGCTGATTTACAATTTGCAAAACTCAGGGTCAAAACCCCTGTATTTTGCTTAGTTATCTTAAAAACCGTTAAGGTTATTTTAATAAGTTAAAATGGTTCACATCATATCCTCAGTGAGCATGGGAAAACAAACAAACGAAAAAACAACCAAGGAATGACATGGTTTTCAAGTCGTGCTTCTTGAGGTTCACTGCCTGCAGCAATCCTTAGGTCAGGCTGGTGCCCTACACTTGAGCTAGACTGAATGGTGATCTAACGATATGTCATTACTATTACCACTGATAACTGAGTGTTCATCACAATCTATTTCAATACAGAAATGCCTAGCCCCTCTAGTGATGAATGAAGACCTTATTGTGCTAAGCACTGCATAAAAGGGGGGAAGAAGCAAGAGACTAGGCCTAAAGCAGTTAGTGTAAGAGAAAGATAAAACTCCTGTCAGGTATTTTCTGTATTGCTTCATAATTGCTTATTACCGACTGACCATTAAAGTGACAACATTATTAAATTTGATGAGGGGATGTTGCTGATCAAGGGTGTGTGGATGAAGAAATTGTTCTAAAGCTATTGTGCAAGTTTCTACTTCCTGTAGCTGAAGTGCGGGGTATGAAGATAAAATGAACCCAAACCCTTCCTGAGATATAATAGGAAATAACCTGTCAGCAAAGAAAGGATGAGAGAAATTATGGTAGCTGATGCAAAAAATAGCTTTTGCTGCACAAATGAATCTAGTTGCATTTTCTTTAGAGTCCTGTATTTTTCTTTCATTTTGCTGAAAAGGTAAAGTTCTCAGTTTTGCTCAGATGAATGTAGATCGCAGAGATAAGATCCTGAAATCTATGCTGGATTAAATTCTATGACAGAAACTTTTTGAGTTCTCTGAGATGGACATCCAGAAATCACTATGTGAAACACTGTGAACAATCCAATGACCAGTAATAATAGATATCATGGTTTTGCCTAACTTGTACATAACCTTATGCACTTCAGTCTTGCTGTTTGCAAGCAAAAAAGGTTCCTATCCCTTTTATTAATGGATGAAGCTGTTTTTACAGAAAACTTGTTATTATTTAAATGGAAAAAATAAAGCTGGGGTGCAGGAGGGCAAGCATCAGCTTGGATGAATGAATTGAAACTACAATTGATTCTGCCCTACTGTGTTTTCCCTGCTTCAGTGCTTATATTTTAAGATTGTGGGGAAGATGTATACAAGAAGCTTTTCAGCATGCCTTATGTTTCAGAATATTTTATTTGGAGATGACCTATTTGCAATAGCTGAAACAGTTTTAGAAATGACTGAATTGTATTTAATAGGCTCAGTGCAGTCATGTAAGCACAATGAAGAAGTTTAGCATTTCAGACAAGAAAATTAAGGGACAGAGTCAGAAAAAAAAGTCTGAAGTGTTAGTTCTGAGAACTCAGCTTGAGTCATACGGAGGGCTCTGATTTTGAGTGTTATGTGCATTCACCATGAAAAATCAGGCTCTGTGAAGGTGTCTCAAAGTCTATTCAAATGCCGCTTTCCAAAATGTTTACTAAGGATCCTGAAGTAACAAGAAATGAAGGATGAAATATAATGTAGCCGGCCACCTCTATTTCACTGAATTTTTACAGGATTTGGGAAGTCCTAATAGGCTGTGAAACCTTAGTCTATGGTTAGTACCCTTAATTTTATATTGTGGGCTAATTTATATGACTTCATTATATTCTTTTTATCTTTACAGTATCTTGGAATTTGCTAATTTCACTAATAATCACTTTATTAAGTATTCACATAGATTGGCTTATTTAATCATCTCAGGAAGTCAAATTTTTGTGTGTTATGATTTGATATTACAGGTATATTGCAAGCTTTTATTTTTCTTTTAAACGAATTAATGCAAACTGCAATCACTGCAAAACATGAAGAGATGCTCTTTGAATCTAAAGCCTTCCTACATTAAGGAGATTTACAACAATTCAAATGAGACTTGCTCAGACATTTTTGTTAAGGTCATGCTTTAAATACTAGGAACTGAGATATGTTAGTTCTCCAGAAATTTCTAAGAACTGTGTAATGTTTTTGCAGCAGTTTCTTTCATGTAAAGAAGGTTACAGTATTCTAAGAGCTTTCTTGTTCTCATTAATGACAAAACTAATCTATTTTGATTGAAGCAGGCTACAGTTGTATTAGACTGATCTTGCATATATTCAAATATGCATTTTACTTACTTGAGCAGTTGTGACAGTAAGCATGTGCAAAAATTTCCAAGATTGGGTCCACACAAGCTAAAGTGTTTGTCAAATCAAGGGCAATTCACTTTATTTTAAGTGTTGACATTGACAGCCTGGAACCCAGCAAACATACAAGCCAATGAACACAGCTCAGAGTCTTTGGCAACTGTGCGCTTCATTGCCTTCCCTCTGCTTGGAGGGTGCTTGTGCACTTTAACTAAGGAGTCACATTTTCAGCACAAACACAGATTGAAGAATTATTCCTTCTGACTTTGTGATTGAGTAATTAGCACCTTCGAATAGTAAAATACATTTCTACTGTCATTTTAAGAGAGATTGTAAAAATACAGATATGTGAAATGAACTAGACCTGTGAAAGAAAACACAGCCGTAACAATGCTTGTGCTTATAGATCTATTATTGATAATTCCTCTTACAGTACTGTTCATAAATGGTGAAAAATCTTCTTTTAAATTATTGTAATAATAAAAATTTATTTTTGTAAAGATACGTTGTCTTTTTGTTTTGTTAAAACAAACAACGAAAACAACATCAACGAGGCTTTTTCCAGGAGCAAAGAGCTTTAAATGCTACCCAAAGTCTGCCTCTTCTGTTGTGAACTATAAAAAGTGTCACTGCAAAACTAGCACAGCAGAGAAAACAGACAGTTGCCTCAAACAATATTCTGCATATTTGGTATACATCTTAGCTTATCTATTAATATGTTAGAACTTGCTCAGTACTTTTACAGCAGTGAGATCCAAAATACACTTCAAGTTTGCAAATATCACGTTACTTCTGTTCTTTTGTAGCTACTTCTGTGGTTGTTGTGCCCATTATTTTCTGCCACATCCAGCCAGAGTTCCGTCACAAGCTGTAATAGAAAAGAGGTATATTACTAACGTAACAGAGAACTGTGTGTTCAATGCCAGCATCTTTCCTCTTAGACCTGGATACCACCAGCAGTCCCCAGTCTACCCAGAAGAAGTGCTCATAGAAACACAAAATGGTTTGGGTTGGAAGGGACCTTTAAAGGCCATCCATTTCCACCCCCCTGCCATGGGCAGGGACACCTCCCACCAGACCAGGTTGTCCAAAGCCCCATCCAACCTGGCATGTTCGTGCAACCAGAGCAAGTTCATTCACATTACTAAGGATATCAAAATCTGGGCATCTATGAATAACATTCTATTTAAGTGGAAGTATAATATTGCCATACCAATTTATAAAATTGGTAAGAAAAGTCAAGTAGCCATTCTTACAGTGAATCACAGAGCAATCTGATTTAGGGACAGAAAACCACAGGACTGTTTTCCAATTATTTTTTCTAAATAAATATGAGATACACTTCTCAAAATCCAAAGGACCTTCCTTCTTTCTGCCCTACACTAGATTCTTCAATCTGAAGTGCAAATTCAGTTAACAGTCCTGTAGAACGGATCCCTCTCCTGAAAATACAGTTGTTAATTCCATCCTAACTATAACTTCAAGGCAGAAAGCAACAACTGTTCCCTTCAATCTACTCTGTTTTTCAACAGTGCCTATCTTACATATTCAAGCTAAACACTTGACTTAAAAGATGAGGTCTATGCTATAAATCCCTCCTGATCTAATACTTCAAAGAATCACAATCCTAATTGACATTTTTATACCAACAGAAGGAGACTTTATATTTCATATAGGAATCAGGAAAAGTTACAACGGAAAAAAAGTCCTTTGCTGATACATGTTGCAGTTCTACTGCAGATTTTGCTAATAGAGCAGCATCAACAAGTCCAGCTAGACTTGGCTTTATTAGAAGAAAACGATGGGGATTCACAAAAGGTATAGCATATGTCATTGTATTCTAAATGAATAGGAGATGACCTACAGCCAACTCATACCTGGGTTTTAGAAGTAAAATCATCAGGATGCACTCAAATCAGGTCTCAGAGGTATTTTAAATGGCACGAGCTACCACAGTTTGAAAACAAAGATCTTTTTTTTCCCTGCTTTTGTTCACCCCATACAGTGTACCTAAAGAGAAACGCAGAGTTCAGATGTAAGCTCCTGAACTCTCAAAAGCAAAACCGTATGTATATTCAGAGGCAAGATGGGAGCAGCTTACGTCCTGAACCTTCCTGTGGGAGCAAATTATACCACTAGAGTGAATACTTTACATAGTAGCACTCCAGCCATTAAAAGAATCCATCTTCATACTCTGCTTCACAGCACATGCAACATTCTTCAGACTAACATTTCAGAAGAAAATATGCCTCCTGATTGCAAATGAAAACTGGTTCAATGTCTTTTCCTACCACACCACCATTAAAAACCTCCTGTGATAGGGAGCAGGAAAGATGGGCTGATCAAAAGGCAAGAGAATCCAGAGCTTCTTTCTCTTCCTAATGCTGTTATTTTTAAATTGTCCTGGAAGCTGCAGGCACTACAAAGACAAAACCTTTCTTTTTTACCCCACAGGAAATTATAGTTAAAAAAGAACAAAAGTTGTCAATGTAACCGAGGCTATCCTGAGTAAGTGAAGCTATTCCTTTGGATATATAAGGAAACTCGGCCTAATATCTTAGTTGTGGAGAGGGGAAAGGAGGTGAAGGAAGTAGCTGCATACTACAGCTATTTACACACACTTGAAACATAGAACTGGTAAGAAAAGCTGTAGTTTTCACCTACCTCTTAAACTCTGAGGTGCTTTCATAATTAGAGATGCTCCTCCCAACAGAGGGAACCGAGAGGGGATTGCTGCAGGCTGGTCACAGTCAGCAAGACTGAAGATCCTTTTCCAGTTCTCGAGAGCTGAACAAAATGTGGATCATCTGGGACAAACAGAGGGAGCACAGCTGTGAACAGTTCAGGGGTGTGAGTGGAGAGCTGGAAGATACAACACTTTCTCAAGTACCCGTGTCTTAATAGCAGCATATAAAGCATTATGTGTTGCCTGCATGTGGCTGGAACAGGTTCAAGGACATGTAACAAAATCCAGCAGGATAAATGAAAGAGCTGAAAGGAAGCTTGTGGGTGAGAGATCTAGGGTCTAGTCACGAAAATGACACAAATGTCTCAGCAAGAAGCTCCTGAGAAGCAGCCACAGTGTGTACAAACCTTCCCTGTAACAGCAGCCAGGCTAAGTGCAAGACTGCACTGGGGGTGGTAGGGGCTTACACTCTGCAAAGGGAAGAGAGACCAAGCTGATCCCATTCAAGGCTCTGGAAGTGGAAATTTACCATACTGAACTTAAAGATCCTTTTTTTTTTTTCTCCCCTCCCACACCTTTTTCAAGCTCTCAGCATTATTAACAGGTAGGCAGAGGCCCCAAGATGCTTGCAGGATACACGTCACCTCTAACACTGCCAGTGCCTGGATGCATCCCAGCTCCTCTCTTGCAACAGTGCTGCAGCGTCTGCTTCCTCTGCTCCTGGAACCGAGACACTAAGTAACAATGCAAGGTAAACACAGATATAACAGTTCCCATGAAAGTTGTGCGGAATACGTCACTCATAAAAAGGAAACTTTTCCTACGCAGAGTTTAATTTCTTTGTTCATTTTTCTTTACAAAAACAAAATATGAATGTTCATTTCCATGATGGACTAAAGGAGTACATTCAGAACTCTAAACAACCTTTTCTATTTGAAAATCTATGCTATTAGGAATATTTTAGACCTATTTTAAATACCATGTATCACTATTTTAGACACTTCTAGATACACAAGTCAATTAGGGTGAGAAAAAAAGCAAGTCCATGAGTTGGAAAGAAAGGAAAAAGGTTTCTGAATATCCCTACCCACATCAAACAAACAAAAACCCCTTTGTCTCATGAATGCTATGAGATGGACAGTGGGGTGTACATGGGTCCTAATACTTGGCCTCCTGAGTTCCAGATCTTGGCCCTTGCACCTTCAGGCAGTGTTGGCAGGCTAACCAACCTGACATGCAAGCAGCGAGGTTGCCATGGGTCTTTGACATACAAATCTGACACTGTGCAACACCAAAACTGGAGGTTGTTTTGTAGTTTTTCCTCCAGTTATAACTTAAGAGATAAGACAGGTGCCCTAGGCTAGCTGGGTGAGGCCTGTGTCCTTTCATTTCTTTGTGAATGCACTTCTACAGCCAGGAGATTGCAATCAACTTCCTACAAGCTTAAGATTCTTCCCCATCTCCAATATGCCCTGGCTCCTCTCTCTAAGCTGCACCTGCAAATCCAACATATGTCTCCAGACATAAATGCATCTACCCATAAGCCTTGAAAGATCCAACTTCAATATCCTATTAGCAAAAAAACCTGCAGCATTTGCTAGCAAATTCTAACAAAGTTTTTCCAGCAGAAAGCACACCTGAGTGGCACTCCTTTTAAAAACAAAATCACTGAATTGAACAGGGAAAAGGAAACAAACTTCCACAATGTATGTGATCCATTTGCTACTTTGAGTAGCATGTAGAAAGACATGCACTTATATGCATCTTTTCCTGTTTCTACCTCCCCTAAAAGTTACTAGAAAAGATTTTCCTACTCATGCCATAACTGTAACAGAGAGAGTGGTTTTATCCATACAACGTATTGAACAGTGACCAATGCTGTCACTATTATTTCTACCTTTGCTCACTCCTTGTATCAGAAGGCAGTGATCTCACATAGTAATCACACAGGCTGTGCTAGAACAGTTAACAATGTAAGCTTCATTTTCCAAGATAGGTTAGCAGGCACTACTACTTTGGTACACACAACATGATCAAAGGTGCACCAGAAAGGGAAGTAACGCACTGACATAAACAGTGATTCCCTTCATGTTTTTCTGTTTTCCCTTTTCTCTCATATCAAAACAATGTGGTTCAATGGGATTGGGGATTTAATTATAAGATACGCTGCCCAACACATATTTTCCATTCACATTATAACAGGAAAACCAAGTTTTTTTTTTTACAGGTTGAAAATACTGTTTTGGCTCTCTTCCACTCTTCTGACAACTTCGGAACTCATTTATCATCTTCTACCCTTTCCTCTTCCCTCAGAGAACAGCAACAAGATGACAGATGAGGTTTCTCAGTGCACAAAAGCAAAATATGCCACTTAAAATTCTCATGATATAAAATAGAGTTAATTTTTTTGAAGTCAGTAAAAAAGAAAAATCTATTTTTTCTTTAATGAAGTGTACAATTTGGGATAAACTTCATTAACTGCACAACACAGAACTCTGAAGAGAAGAAGCATTTTAAATATCAGAAAACAGGCTGAAAGAGAAGTGGTAGTGATTTCCCAGATTAATAATGCTTTTATTAATAGTACTGCTTAAGATGACAGGTTCATTAAATCCAATTTATTAAGTGTCCACATAAATCTGTTTTTTTTTTAATACTCCAGAAGACCCGATGTTTACAACTTCACATTTCATTGCTTTGAGCTATAAAACCGGAGCATGTAATAGCAAATATCCCTCTAGCATATTCAATTCCTAATTTGTGAAGTCAGAAGGAATACTAGGATTACCTAAGCTTGGCCTCCTGTACATCGGTTTTGGGCTTCCCTGATTTAATTACTGGTTCAGTCCAGTAACCGTGGTATTTTCTCTAATAGAAACATAAATGCTGCTGCTTCACAGAACACAACCAACAGTCAGCCAGCAGTGGCACTACTTCTTGAGTTTCTTTTGAGCAGCCTTCTTCTTGACCATCTGTAGCCTCTTCATGGCATTGAGCTGCGATTCCTGAGAAGTCGGGCCTTTCAGGGAGGCTGACTGATTGCCGGTATCTGCTGTGGTTTTGCTTGCACTGCCCCCACTGTTACCCGCAGTCCCGCTGTTGCCATTCCCACCGCTCACCTGGATGCTGGTGCTCGGTGTGGTACTGCTGGGACTAGGGAGCCCTACTTTGCTGACGTTGTCGCTGCTTACCGAACGGCTCAGAGTGGTTTTCCCGAGCGTCAAAGGCGGAGGAGGTTTCAGCTGTACAGGGCTTGTGCTGTTGTTACCTGAAGCTATTTTTGACCCGAGTCCCGTTTTGGAAGTTGCCAACCCTGACAAACCCACAGGTTTCTGGTTATTTGAAGAAGCTGCAGGTTTCCCGCTGGCACTCTGTGCTGTTGATCCCAGTTTGGTAGTTGATGGATTGGCAGAGGAGGTTTTGGCTGCAAAGGCAGCCCATCCTGTAAGGCCACTGGTTGCTGAAGAGGAAACACTTGTACTGGCTGTGTTCCCCGAAACTGCTGCTGAGGTCTAAAATAAAGAAATCATTCTTATTATAGTAGCATTTATTTGTCTAACACATCACAGCAGGAATAGATTGAGCCCGTTTCAGTTCTTTTCCCAGGAACACCCAGTGGACAATATTTTGTCACTGGTCACTACAGTTAAAAAGCACTAACAGGAAAAGGAAAGGATGCAGATGAAGATAACTTTAAATTTCCCAGCCAAATAAAACCAGTAATACCTTCCTCCAGCCCCCTTTTTCTTTTTTAAATAAAGCTAGCAGCTTATCATATGGCATTGGGATCCCCCAACTTTTTTCACAGCTGTTCCCATCCAGGCAGCACAACAGCAAATACAACTTCAAACACAGATTAATTGCTTTGATTCTGAGTTACAGATGTGTTTTCCTAGGTAAGGGTCATCATTTGTTAGATTTGTTATTTATTATGCTGCTTCTGGTTTACCACCCTTAACCAACTTGCAACAACATCTATTAAATAACTGGGGGAATTAGAAGCATGAGACAACATATATTAGCCTCCTAATTTAGATCTCACAACATCAGCTGGGTTTCCCTGTTACCCTAACAAGAAGCCTCCTAACTAACAAAAAAATACAAATGGTACTTGACCACAAAGAGCATATCATCTTTTATAGAATTATGAGGATTCCTACTTGTATAAAATACCATTAAAAAATTCCTGGAATAAATTCTGTTCACTCTTTTAACATAAAAGTACAGTCAACAGCTGGATGTTTTAGGGAGTTGATTTTTTTTTTCCAGCTCTTTTAGGGCTAATGCAAAATCACTGTGCTATGGTACCACCTGCAGTATAGCAGACTTTCATTCATGGTTCCTGTGAGAAAAGATGGGTCTAACTTCAAAAAATATATGTAATCATGCAGTGGAATGTAAATTCTCCCTCTGAAAAATTTAAACTGCATTACCTTGACTTCTGTTCTCTTGAATGCCAGAAAAGTTGATGGGGTCTCAAGTTTCAACTTAATTTCTGGCTTCTTGACCAATGGATCTTTCACAGCTGGTGCAACTGAAACCACTGCTGGAGCGGGTTTTTGAGGTGGTTTTTGTGTCTTCTGAGCCTGTATAGAAAAAAAACAGCAACAACAGCAAGTTATAGGCTCCATAATGTAGACTGTGTTAAGAAAAAACACTAGCATTATCATATTGCAGTCTAGCCTTTACAATTTCAAGCCAAAAAGTGTCTCAGAAGTAAGGTAACAGACTAGAATTGTGTAGAATTGTGGAGAACATGGTGAATACAGTACTGGGGACAGAATTCAGTCAAAAAGCCCTACTGAACAGGATTTGCTATTTCACTATGGGGAGAGAGGCAGTGTTGATGCTTAGGGAACAGGAAAGCACTGTGCCATCACAGAAAGAAGGCAAAGACAGGGTGAACTTGAGGAAGACATGGACATGACCCAGCAGTATCGGGATGCACGCTGTAGAAATTCTAAGAATTTGCAAGTAAAATGGTAGATTTTTTTTTATTATTATTATTTTTTTTTTCTAAAAAAAAAAGAAGGATATGGGCATATGGAAGGAAAAATTTAAGTCACTGCAAAGGCTATCCTGTGCAATAATTGACCTCAAGCAAATACTCTGCTCAGTTCAGAGCCTGATGATAGTAGAATACTTTAGGTTCTCCAACATACTTCCAAAGACATCTGCAGACTATAAGATATCCTCATGTATAAGAAATAACCTGCTCTGTTCAAATAGTGCTCATACTAGACAAAGAAATGACTCCTACCATTCTCTTCATCTGTCTGGTACAGCGGGCACAGTACCACACAAGTCGAGGATCATTCACTTCCTTGTCTGTCACCTGAGGTTTATGGCAATCCTGGTGGTAGAGATTATGGCACTCCTGACACTCCACTAGCTGATTCCCAGAAATAACTGTCATTTGCCTGCAGAGAAAATAGTTAAGAACAGATTATTGGAGAAAACACTTAAAGGATTATCCAATTGTTGCAAATGTTGCAAGGCTTAAGACGAAAACTAGAAATATTTTTACTTTCACAAATATTTTGTGCCTGTGGCAAGTGAGCTACATCACCTTTTTTTTCCCCTGTATGACTAATAAATATTTTAGAAATTTGGAGTTTTTAGATTTTCACACAAGAATTTACATTAAAAAGTCCAATATTATTAAACATGCATATATAACACTTGTTTTCCTTTTTGATTTTTATATTAGAAATTAAAGTCTCACCTGGTTTTCTTCACCTAGGGATTTTAGAGATACCTCACTGCTTACCAATTATGTGACTTCTTTATTATAGTAGCATCCAAAGGCCTAGCCTACATTTGGATAATTTTGTTGTAAACTGTAGAGCAATACAGATAAAGAACAAATAATTTTGCACTGACAAGCATGTAAGAATGCTTTCTGCTAAAGGATTTTAAAGCATCACCATCCAAAATATACTACTTTGCAGGTGTTTTATTAGCCATCCTTTTGGTCCCTACAGACAGACACTTGGGATTTGAGATAATACCAGAATCATGGAAAGATGAAACAGAGAGGATTAACTGTGCAGCACTGCCTTGGAGCAAACACGTAAGCTGGTGATGAGGACTTAATTTTGCGTGGGTCTCTGGTGAAAGTAATCACGCTATATAAATGACAAATTAGTGATGTACACATGACTAGAAGTATGTCTGTGAGTTAGCCAAATACCAGTTTCCTAATGATTTCTTCTTTCAGATGACAAATCAGGCTATTTAATTGCTAAGCTGCTTTTGCTCATATCCCTGAGGAGCAGGTACCCAGGTAACCATGGAAACTCTATTTGTAGATGGGTACAGAAAGGTAATTCCTTATTTCTTTATATAACAGGAAAATGAAGTCTGAAGGTATTGTCCATATGGACACTAGAATGTTTTCTAAACATTTTTTCTCTTTTAAATGGGCTATTTAAAAAAACAAAGAAAGAAACATTTCTGAAATTCCAGGGCTTATCATTTTAGATGCAGGATGTTTCAAAAGCCATTTTGTTTGTTTATTATTCCTAAATAAACGGGGTCAGAACAAAGCTGTGATGTTTTAACCCCATGTCTCAAGGGATGAGACTTACCTTATTTAAAACTTACAAAGATAATCCCAGACTGAATAAAAAAACCTGAACTGTTCATGCCTGGAATCAAGTTAAATCAGCCTTGTTTTTAAATGATAGCTGTGAAACAAGCGTATCGACTTTTTACCTTCAGAAAACAAACAAGTATTCATAAAAATAAGGTTGTTCTTTCAATAACATTTTAAAAATACATATATATATATATTAAGAAGTTCAGTATTATCTGCAAATTGTTGTAATATTACTTCATATAACTGAGAATCCTTGTAGCTGTTGAGCCCTGTTTTTCTATGATCTGCAAGCATTGAAGGGTGAAGTTATTTAAATATTCTCTCCTTCTTTGTGCCTACCTTGGTATAACAGAACAAGGAAAAATCACCATGGGCAAAGTTCAATACACCTGATAATTGTGCAAATACATTTTACATTAGCAAATCCCAGAGAAACATTTGATGTCTTTACTTTGGTTTCTACATCTATTAAAAAAAGTAATAGTTAAAATACAAATGCACTCTTTTGCATTTGTGAACTCACAGCTGGGGTCTTGTTGTCAACTGGTTTTCTTAAGCAATATAAGACATTTGGCTAAGAATAAAAAGAGAACCCCATGTACTCTGCCACTGGACATGGTGTTTTCATTCACAACTGTTCGCACACAAATATTAATAGCTGTCAGTTTCCAAATGCTATTCATACCAGAGTCATTTTACAGAAGTATCTAGTGCTTTGTATATTTCATATGTACAGGGATGTCAGTATTTAGACTCGAGATGCACAGCCTCAGTAAGGGCCCCCATATTGACAGCTGAGAAGTAAGTAGTGGAATACAGTGGTAACAAATGTTGGATTTAGGAAGTATGAAGTGTGAGCGCTCTGAAAACAATCCTACCCAGCTTGAGCTGGAAATCAAGAACCAGAAGACATCAGTTCCAGCAGGTTTCACATAAAATGAAAACAAATCCTGAGTCTTGGATGGCTGCTGCCATCCTTTTTCTATGGGTTGTTTTGTTCCTGCTGTGCTTCTCCCTCCCTCTGGTATCACCTTAATAGGAGCTATTTTATTAGTGCTATTGCAAGAAGGTAAAACTGAAAGATTTATTTCATACTTCAAATGTTTGAACTGTTCTTCCTTTTTCAATGTCTATAATAAAAAGATTAAAAAATTGAACCAACACATGGGAATAATGTGAAATCTCATCACTGCATAACTGGTTAACAGTATAATTAGCTGTAACAATGGAAATTTATCCTGTATGGACTGGATGCACCTCCTCATCTGCACAACAGGAACAACCATGGAGATGACTGAAGAACAAAGTTAAACAGAATATGGCTTCCCAACTGGCTTAAGCTGAGCTAGAATATAGTAATTAGTAATGCTACCAGGAATCTGGCCAGTCCCACCTTCTTCCTTGCCCTGTCCCCATGTTTTTGTATCCACATGTGTCAGCATAAATACGCTCACTAAGCTGAGTGAAATGTAAACCTACTGAAGAACCTGAGCAGAGAGCTGATCCAGAAGCTGATTCGGTTGATAACATACTGTGTTGGTGATACACCCCTAACTGGGACAAGGAAGGACGTACAACTGGAAGAGCCAAACAGTTCCTTTTGGCAGCAGTGGGGATTTATGGGGATATTAATCATCCGTGAAACCAAATCCTGATTCAAGTTATTTGATCCCAGGGTGAATATTTGAAAGTGTATTTTTTAATATTTGTTAACATGAGATGCCTTATTAAGAGAACGTTGCTATTATCCATTTTATAAGCCCTTGCTGAAAAGTGAAAAGAACCCATCTTGATTGCATGACCGAAGATATATTTACAGGGTTAACTGAAAAACATGGTCATGTGTAAAGTAATGGCAAATGATTATGAAGATGGAAGCAACACATACAGAACTCATAATAACACCACTAAAAATGCACTCAGAAGAGAACCGATTTTCTAGAATGTTGTTTGTTATTACCTATATTTGAACTTATTTTCCAATACTTAAAAATCAGCATTTGTTATACTAGGTTTGATATCTTGTTTAATTTTGTTATTTCTCATGTCCTCTTTCCCAAAGAAGAAAAGTACCTTCTCATTACAGGCTCAATTTTCAAGCAACCATTCTTGTTCATAAAGGGTGCTTAAATGTACTAATTTTGCATATGTGCTTAAGCGATTTCCAGAACAAAACCTACAGGTAGCATTAACTAAATAGTACACAGACAAAACCAAACAGAAGCACAGACACAATCGCAATGAAGCAGTGTTGACTTACCTGCAAACAACACAGGCCAAACCCATTTCCATAGCAAAATCATCAGCACTGGTTTCCTCAAAGCTAGATAAGTCAGGCATGGATAAATCTTTACTTGTCTGAACTGTAATAGGAGAGGAACGAGCCTCTTGCTTCTCAAGCCTGGGCTTCTTTGGCATATCAGCTCCTTCCACAGTATCTGCTTTTACCTATCACAGACACACAGAATGTGAAAACACAGAAAGCTAATGGATCTTATTAAAATGAGAAAATTATTGAAACAATTAGCTTAGCAGTATAGGACAGGGTACTTTATACAGCACACCCAGAGCATGTTTTCTTTAGATACATTTTCTCCAAAATATTTATGACCTAGGAGCTCAAGTCCACTTTTTGTACTTCACCTCAAAATCCTCAAGAAATCCTCAGGAAACCCCCATTTCGGGTTGACACATTTTATTAACCTGTTATTATCGCTACATTTAAAACATTCACTTGTCCCAAGACCTATGCTGAATTGCCTAAGTGACAACATGACTGGATAAGGCAGCTCCTAGGCTCATAGCTATGCACAATTACTGAGAGCTGAGTTACACAGATTACACAGAAAAAGGGAGTTTACATGTAAAGCACTTCAAATTTGTTAGCGGAGTTATGTCAACAGGAAACAAAAATAAGACTCACTTTATCAGAAGATTTCTTTTCTGTTTCTTTCTTCACCTTTTCTGATGCAGTGGGCTTGCCATTGTTGTTGCCAGAAGGCAAACTAGAAGCAGCTTTAGGCTCTTGCTTACTGGAAATAGGTTTGCTAACAGATACTTTTGGTTGTTCTACTTCCTAAAAACAGAAACAAAAGTTGAAGGCAAGTTACTTGCAAGTTTGCAGTTAGTTACATCACAGTATCACACAATGCTGTTCACTCACACATTTTTTTTTTTGTATAGCCAAAATTTTTTGGATATATCTTAAATCTTTTTTATATCACAGCCACAAATTAATGTTTCAGCTGCAGTTAGTTACTAAACCACTCACCTTCCAGAGGAAAAGATGCTTCTTATCTAAAGACAGATCCTCTTTGGAACATTAATAAAATTTTTTTCTGTTTTTAAAATTCAAAGGGACAATGAACACAAAATTTGAGATAGTTCTGAAGACCGAATGTATGGTGAAAATGTAAGTTGACATTTGATGTCACCAGATATCAATACTTCATTCCCTAATGAAGGAAAATCTTAATCTCAGTTCATATTCACCTACCAGGCTAATAATTTAGATCTCAACAGAAATCAATAGATCATCTTCGTGATGCCTTCATGTGAGCAATGGATAATAAGTGAGCCTGTAAACGAGTGATTAATCACAGCAATGTGTATGAGAAAGGTATCCCTCCAGCTTGGTAAGCAGTGAATAATTCTCTGCTGTACACTGGGATGAGCACTGAGCTTAAGCCCCACAAAGCATACTGACTTTCTGTTGCATGCAGTCAAACAGATTTCTTCCTCTGGCTGTCATAACCCCATGCTCCTTGCTCTGTTTTTGGACACCACTGTCAACCAGAAACTAATCCTACAGCCTGAGAATGCAGGGGAAGGAATTCTTGTACTTTTTTTTTCTCCTCCATTTCTGAGCTTTGCGGTCCAGCTGATACTGGAGACACAAGGAAAAGAGGAGAACAAAAGATTTCTTTCTCTGGGCTGAGCCCCAGTCTCACCTGATGTTGGGTGACTGCCTGTTGAACTGTTATTAGAACTGGCTTTCCAACCCCATCTACAGTATTGGGGCAGGCTGCACAGGGAAGAGGTGGAGTCCCCATCCCTGGGCATACTTAAGAGATGGGTGGATGTGCCATTAACGGGTACGGTTTAGGGACGGTACCCAGTACATCAGGTTGGTGGTTAGGTTCCATCTTGAAGATCTTTTCCAATCCAGGTGATTCTGTGATTATGCTCCCACTTTAAACTACAAACCAATGTATGCTGTAGCAGTAGTAGTGCCTTTTAGATGTTTTGGAACCATGTACATGCAGAAACACAATATTCCTAATGTACCAGCATACAGACCATCATTAAAACACCCCAGGTTGACTTGTTGGCATCTTAAGGGAGAACACGCCCTCATTATCCATATGGCAGTACACGGCAACAGTAGGATGTCCCTGCTTGATTATTTTCATATGCTAATCTCAGATTCAAATATTCTCTCTAGCAGGTGTTTAGTGATTTTCAGTAGATGAAAAATCATGCTTTTATATAGGATGGTGATGCTTTTGGCCAACAAATCATTTACACTTCAGACCATTTGGGATTTTTTTCACTCTCATATGACTTCATCAATAATATTGAGAGAAGAGTTCCAGTTTTATCAGTAAACTTTTCATTTAATATTTATCTGTTTGCAAAAATGTCTGCATTTTAAAGAGCTTTTAACTTTGATCATAACTGGAAAAATATAATTTTGATTCATCTTTGATAGCTTGTACAATAGCTTATCATGAAAAATGCCAAAGCCAACATAGAAGTAAACACAAGAAGTACCATTAGAAAGTCATGACACTCGCACTGTAGTACGAAATAGCCCTTCTACAGATCTGGATATACCAACAAGGTAAAGAGATCTTTTTTCATTAACTGCAATTAATTAAATGAATTATGTTGTATAAAAAGGGAACAATGAATTTAAACATTATATAATTTAAACATTTAAACAATTTAAACATTATATAATTACTCTTAATTTTTCCTTAGTTGCTGATTCTCTTAACTCTTCAGCTGTAAAAGGTGAACTAGGAATAGGTGGAGCTTTTACAAGGCATATAAAAATGACGCATGCTGTCTAATATTAATACCTTCTGAGATGGACGATAGCTTGAGTCTGTTCCTCTGGCCAAAGACTCATCAAGAAGCGCTTTCAGCTTTTCAGCAGAATCCTTACTCTTCGAGTGCAAGAAGCCCAGGGCTTTCAGAAAAATAGGATCGAGCTCCAAGTTCACTGTAGCAGCCATAGCGTTGTCTTTGTAGGAAGGAAAAATAAAAAAAGAACTTTATTCATACAGAGCATAAGTCAAACAGCATGTGGCTAACTATGTTGCGTAAGACTTTTTTTTTGTCCAAAATAAAGTTATATTAAAACACAGCAAGGGGAATATGTGAATTAATTATCATTAGAAGATGACTGATTGTGAACTTAAGAGTTGCAGAACTTGACTTTGGCTTTACGTCTGAAGTGATGTCAGATTTTGTTCTTTGCAATACCTGAGTTACAAAACCTAAACTCACCATCCTTACACAAATAGAGCAAGTATTCCTTATTCTTCATATTCCATAAATGCAGAATATTGAAATGAATGCAAAATAAGCAAAAATTTCAAGAAAAGCAATTACTACACTTCTTGTTTGAAGATGCACATACAGGGAGTTTTATCTAATTGTTCACTTAAGAACAAAGAAAAATCTGACAGAATAATTCACTTCTGAAACTTCTGAGAACAGCTCACTATAACATACAACACAGGAATATAAAATAGCTAGCATGCAATGTTATTTATTTACTAAAATCTGAAAAATATGCTGTTGATCTTTAAATTTAGTTGGAACAGATCAAAAATATAAACTTAAATTGTGACTTAGCCAAGTTCCCTTATGACAGCCTAGGTTTTCATATCAAGAAACTAGCCAGAGCTCTAAGATACCACACTGCCTATGCCAATGGAATAAAGTGAGGAAAAGGATAGAATGAATTAAAAAAAAAAAAAGAAAAAAAGGTTGCTTCATAGCAATAATATCTTGCACTCTGGAGCTTTGTCTGTCAATTTCTCTAACAAAAGGCCTAAGGGGACTGCACTTGCATCAGAAATTCTCCCTACAAAGAAAGATGCTCACTAACTTAACTGGTAATTAACAATCATAAACTTGAGGAGAAAAACACTGAAAGAGAAGTTTCCTGCTGTTTCCCAAAACAGATAAGCACAATTCTTATTAATCCCTTCAAATATCACTTTGTCAAGGTATTTCATTTCTTACACAGTAATCTAGAAGATGTTCTTAAAAGAACTTTCATCAGTTCTACTCAGAAGTAGTTCCTGGACATTTTTTCAGCTGGAGCCTCCAAGGTTTTGACTGAAGAATTCCTTTTGATATTCCAGGCAGTGAACTTTTACCTCTCTGGCCAATGCACCAGCAGCAGCAGTCAGCTCCCTCAGCACTTGCCTAGAAGTCTCCAGGAACCTTTATCTCATGCTGGGCTTTCACGAGACACCAGAGAATCACGTTACTGAGATCATCAAGGAGTTCAACATACAGTAGACTTCATAGGGATTTTATCAATGGACCCAGCAGAGAGTTAAGAATCCTCTTCAAGAACCTGTTCTCTATTCCTTAATCTACTTGTCAAATCATTTTCCAGTGGCCGCAGAACTTCTACTAGAAAGTACTATACACCACTAACTGTTTTTCCACTGATCAAGCAGTGACTACAGTACATGCCTCATCGATACAACTCGGTCTCTCTCTGATGTTTACAAAAAGCAAAATCAGTGTGTGTGGAAAGCACACTTTTTTTTACGCATATACCTCTATTAAAATTTCTGGCTGTTCCTGAGCTCTGTGGTTAAGTTACCTGTTCCATTTCTTTGCTCTGTGAATACGGCTTCCAAATTTCAGCACCACAGTCTTAAGTTAGGACTGCTACACCCTCTATTGTACAAAACCAGTAGAATTAAGACACCAACTACAGAAAATTAGAAAAATTCCCCGATTAAAAACAACAAAAAAAAACACACACAACCTTCAGCTACTTTTCTGAGGCTTCTTCTGGGAATATATACACGTACATAAGGAAGATGTAGCCTCAACAGTCATTAGCAGCCAATTCAGTACGCTTGTAGAATTTAGAGAACAAGAGTAAGCAAGACAATTCCATTATTATCTTTTGGAAGGTAATGCTTCCCAAATTTATTTTGAGCACTAGCTTTTTAAAGACTTCTATTGTTAAGAAATGGTTGAAAACCAGATTTAAAAGTGTTCCTTGTACTTATTTTTTCCATCGGTGTATGAAATTGCAGCAATTCTTTCACTGTTCTCAAGGGTAAATTATAATAACATCGTAGGCCACTGCAATTATAACCAAAACATCAATAGAAATTTCTCATGAGAAGAGAGGGAACTGGGCTTATTAAACAGTTCAAATATGCCTTAATTTGAAATTTGGTATTCAGTTCAGGCAGATTTTTAAATTTGAAGATATATATTTCTAAATTACAGATGGTAAGTGTATCTAATGGAAAGATGAACACACCAATAGCTGTCTGTAAAATGGAATAATTTGAAAAAAATGAATGGATAACAACTATCAAGGACTAACACTAGTGATTTCAAAAAATCTGCTTTGAAAGCAGCCTTTTCCAGTTATTTACAGACATGATCAGTAGTTTGATATTTATAAAGCTCAGATCCAATTACACTCATTCATGCTTTTTTTCACGAACTGCTGGTGAAGTCAGTATATAGCAAAGTAATAGTTTTGGAGCAAGTAAAATGGAGTGTTTTATTAATAATGCCATAGGTGACTCTGGACAAGAGCGCTCTGACTTTCTTGCTGAAGTGGAATCTTTGTACAGAAAATAATTAAAATGCTGTTTCGGAGAAAGCAATAGGAAAGAAGTGAATATGACATGTTGCGTAGCAGTCTGATTATGCTGCTGCAACATCAGAGGGCTTCGTTAAAATCCTTGGACCCAGGGCAGACGTGGTTTTGCACATGCAGCAGGAACTGAACAGAACACATAGGCGACTTGCAGAGCAGGGTCAAGAGCTCGAATGCACCCTCTAGCAAGCAAGCATTACACCATTAGTCTAGCCCTTAAACCACCCTTCTCAACTTATGTCTCACTATCCTGTAAGAGGTGTTTGATGACAGATGGAGAAGACCAAATGTACAGTAACAACATACTCCTGAGATATAAGAAACCCTTCTAGGATGGATAATCACTGAAAACCTTCTAGTGTGGACTACACTAAATAGTTCTATGGGAAAAGCTCTATGGGAAAAATGGCAATTGAGTAGGTTGTTATTCTCAGTGCCTAGGAATATTTTAATCTCTCATTTCTAGACTGAGCTATTGTCTTATGCCAAAAATCACAGAAAATTGAGCACTGTACAGAATACATGGTCTTTCAACTTAATAGTGAACCCTTCTGGGGGTATTACAGCCCTTTCCTGGCCATTAATTTGTCATCTACTATTCTGCGTGCCTATACACGTATTATCTCATTCATCGTCACTTTCAGTTAAATGGATCCGACTACATGACATTTTGAGGTATGGTCATATTGCTTTATTTTCATCAGTCTGTTCTGAACTCCTATTTCTATCAGTTTCTAAGACAATTGAGCACACTTTTCCGAAAACATACACACCTTCAATTCATTTTGCAGCGGTATTTTCAAACCCATTCTTTGTAAACTCAGCTATATTTACGTTTTCCACTGACATTGATTGCTAAAAGGAGGCCTTTCACTCACATCCTTTTCAGCTACCTTCAATACCTGCAGTAGTTAACTTAAAACCCAATAATACGGAGCAGCAGCACAAAATCCCTTTCAGTGTGCTACTCTGTGTTTATCAATAATTAATTTTACACGCCACCAAAACATCAAAACATCATCCTTCCTTCCCCCCCTTGGATTTTTCTGTTCCTCAGGAATTTCTTTCTTCCTACAGAAATCTAACAACTGTGACAGTGGCAGGTTTTGCATATTCACCAGCTATATTTTTTCAGATCACTCTCACATTTAATGCAGCTCTTGATGAAGTAGATCAAGGAAAGCAGGAAAAACTGAACTTCTATCTTTGTTTTTTGTTTTAGTATCTTAATCAGGATTTGATTCATGACAACATAATTTCACAGTCATCTCCCACGAGGGAGATTTCAAAACTCACACACTTTAGCAGTCCAGACAACTGTATTAATCAGAACACTTGGGTTAATCGGTTCTTATTTGTGTGACATCTTATCCAAAGAATTTTAGAAGGCTGGAATAAAATCTTCCATTATGGAGTTACTAGCACTGTGATCTTTCATTTTATATTCTATTCTACAGTGTGTTTCATATTGTACTTTTAAATTAATATTTCAATCTATCACGGTAACCTGCTTGTCTGACATTTCTATGATTACACTATTGCTTTATATTTACTGCTTCCTACTTCTCATAAATGATACATCAGTTAAGAAACAGAGAATGCCATGGGTTTGGCTGGGATAGAGTTAATTTTTTTTGTAGAGGCTCTTGTGATGCTGTGTTTTGGATTTTTGATTAAAATAGCAGTGATAAACACACCGATGTTTTTAGTTGTTGCAGAGCACTGCTTGCCCAGAGCCAAGAGCTGTTCACATCCTTGCACTGCCCTGCCAGCGAGGGGCTGGGGTGCAGCAGGAGCAGCTGGCCAAGGCTGATCAAAGGGATGTCCCTTGCCACGTGGTGCCACGCTCAGCAGTAACAGTTGGCATAAAGAAGCAAGAAGGAGGGGATGTTCAGAGTGACCGTGTTTGCCTTCCCAAGAAGCCGTTTCCCTTGATGAGCTCTGCTTTCCTGCAAGTGGCTGAGCACCTGCCAGCTGATAGGGAGTAGTGAATGAGTTCCTTATTTTGCTTTGCTTGAGTGCTCGGCTTTTGCTTTTATCTAGTGAACTATCCTTAACTCAACCCATGACTTCGTGCACTCCTACCTCTCTGATTCTCTCCCTGATCCCACCTGGGGAGAGCAAGCGAGCAGCTGGGTGGTGCTCAGCTGCCTGCTGGGCTAAAGGACAAAATGTAATCAATCCTTCTGCTTGGAAGGTGCCTGATGGGGCCAGCCTGTGCAGCCCCCTGCTCTAAGCAATTCCAACAATGAATTCAGAGCAGCTCACCCAAGACATTGGCTTCCTTCATGGTCCTTCCATGGATGGAAGGAGTGAGGCTGGCCAGCCTGTAGTCCTCTGAATTGTCCTACTTGCCCTTTTTACTAATGAATACAAGACTTGCTTTGCTCCAGTCTTAGGGAACCTTCCCCAATCTCATGACCTTTCCAAGACAACAGTGAGTGGCTTCATTATGCTACCACCTGCTCTCAGCACCCCTCAATGCAGTGCATCCAGGTGCGTGGGCATATCAGGCAATCAGTCCACACTTCAATCCTCTCGTAGTTCCTCTTTTCCTTGAACCCTGCCTTGCCACAGAAAGGCCTGGGAGGCCTCACTGTAGCCTGGGGCACAGCTGACATTGATGCCTCTGCCTCACCTATGTCTGCTGTCAGTGAGTCACCTGCCCCGTTCAGCAGCTGCACCGTATTTAACTTGAGCATTCTTTTCCTGACAATCACACAAAAGCATCTCATTGCCATTAATATTCTTCCTAGTTTTGAATCTAGTTTAGCTTTGGCCTTCCTAGCACCATCCTCACACACCTCAGCAGTATTTCTGTATTCCTCCTGTGTAGCCTGTCTGCACACTCACCTCCTGTAAATTTGAGCCCTGTCATGAGCTCCCCGTTCAATAAAGTTCTTCTGTTGTATCTTCCCTTTCTACAAACTGCTTTTGCTCTCCAGGATAGTTCTGCTGCCACAAGAACCAATTTTATCAGAGCATTTATTCAAGCAGATGAGATACCCATACCTGTGGGACTGAAATACGCTCATCCCTGCTACCACGAGGCTTCAATACAGAAACAGCCCTGAGGATGCTGCTTACACGGATGCCACTGCTCATTGATTCAAATTGCTGGCATAATGGTTATATCTCTATTATCGTCTTTGCCTTTTCCTGTATCTCTGCTCACCGAGCCTCAGCAGGTGCACAGACACCCGTGATCCCGGTGGCAGAGCCCAACTTTGGCTACAGCCCAACCTCTGCACAGCTTCCACCGAAGCCCCAGCACCATAAACTTCTCCCTCACGTTCCCTTAAGGAAAGAAAGGGATGTCCCCGATCCCCAGCGCCTCAAACCGCACCGTTTAACAGAATAAATCCTCACCCCTCCCCACAGCTGAGGCGCCTACCCCACACCGCCCTACCCCACACCGCCCGCACCCCCATCCTACCTGCCGGGCCCCGCGGCCGGTCCAGCAGCACCTAGAGACACCCCCCTTCTTCTCCTCCTTCTCCAGAGTCCTTCTGACACCCCCAAAAAACGGGAGGACCCCCCAAAAAAAGAGAATGAGGGAGGCCGGGGCTGAGTGCGTGTGCGGGCGCCCCCTCAGCGCCTCCCCTCCCCCCGCCCTCCCGTCAGAGCGCAGGGCCCGCTGCGCGCGCAGCGCGGGGAGGCGGGAAGGGGCGGGAACCTAATGGCGGCCGCCTGAGGTGGGCTGAGGGGGGTGGCTTATACGGGTTAAATACACACGTTAAATACAATGGTGGCCTTAAATACACAGCAAAGCCAAATTTAGCTCTGCTTCCCTAACCGTCTCGCTTAAGCGTGTTGTGCCAAGCTAAGCGCTTGCTGGAGAAAAACGTGCTTTTAAGTTACTCGTGGTGCTGAGCGTTCCTCAGACGTTCGCGTGTTGATTAAAAATGTTTTACCATGTGGTAATAATTAAATAAACGAGATGTTTTTTCAGTAATGAAACGTTTGTGGGTTTGTTTACTTTTCGTTTTCCTGGGAAACATAATTTGAAACCAGCACTTTATTGTATTGCTAACGTGGAAGCAGAGTGAAACTAATTTAACTGCTATTTAACACACGTTAAAAGGGTGGAGAAAATAATAACAGTATAATTAATGACAAGTATGCTTGCTCAATACTTATTATTTTTAAATGCTAAAGGTGATTCTTATGCAAACGTAGACTATTATTTCTCTTATCTATAAGTGATGTTGCAAAACGCATTATTGCATTCAGCTGATTTCTCCCTTCTCTTTTAACAGTGGCTGCTGTAAATAAGGCCAGTATAGAACAGAAATCCATCTTTTCCCACACAATTTACAGTCCAATCAGAGAAGGAAAAGTGGCAGGAGAAACTATTATCCAGTCAGTGACCAGTGTGATGTCTTGTAGGTTTTGTAAGTACCACATTTTGTTTTATTGCGTGTGTCTGTGGATGCTTCTGTCTTAATAAGCTGCTAGTGGATTCATAAATTAAATGTAATGTGCAGGTGCTCGGTGTGTGAAAGTAAGTGGGAACAGGCAGCCAGGTGGGTTAGCAAGTCCTTCAGAGGTAAGGTTGTACCTAAACTGACAAGGAAGATACTCTATAGAGTTAAAATAGTGCAGATAAACATCTCAGAAACAAAATAACATAGGAAACAAGGTTTTTATAAATGTCTGTGCTTAGAGACAAGACGTTAGGAGGAATTCTCTAAAATAAAAGATGTGAGGGGGTGGGATATGGCAGCGTAGGAGTCTACAGTTCTCTGAGGTGACTGTGCAGAAGGCCTTGCATATGTTCTCACAAGAAACAATTTAAGGAAACAAAGGTAAAGTCACAGGACTCCAGACAGATTTATTTGGGTTTACGTTTTGTGGGAGACTCATCTGGAATAAAATTTAGCCTGATTTTATTCATAAGACTGGACTTCATAACAAAAATCTTATAAGAAAAATGTTTTCCTAGGGTTGCTCTAGTACAGATTTCCGGCATGATGTTGAGCTATAAGCTGGTTATCCTCCAGGTTTTTTGCTTGTACAATGGAAATATGTGAAAATTCCACCTTACAAGGCTATTGGGAAGAAAGTCTGAGACGTTCAGTTACTGTTGTGATGATGGAACGTAGAAGTTTTTACAGTAACAAGCTATATAAATAAATTGGAACTTATAGGTGTTTATGGTAGGCATCTGCTAGCGTCATATAGAATTGAATGTGAGAATGGACTAGGGCAGGCTTTGATGGTTAGATCCTCAATAGTGGTAGTGCATGTTTCCTGCGGTTCAGCTGCCTGTGTGGCAAAGCTTGTTTCCAGGACAGAATTGTGGTTCCTGGTGCTGGCTAATGTGAATGCTGACAGTCTTGATGATTGCCTAAGCATCTCTGTTCTAATATTTTAAAAATACTGCTTTCATCTTAGTAATTCTAGAAAATATTTAATGGAGACAGGGAAAATCTTCCATTTGAACCCCATAATAGAATATATAGGCCCTTCAACGTGCAGGTGGCTTGTCTGTGGTCACTCTGTATATGAGGCTGAAAAAGAAAATTTACTGAATAAATGTTTAAGGTAGTCAGTGAGTGATCTTTTTTGTGATTTTTTTGATGTCTAGAAAATTAAGAGCAAGAGAAACTTCTAAATTAGGCTAAATCTTTTAACTTTCAAGATGAATTAAAAATATTTCTAAGTTACCAAGCTAGGTGTGTTATTCAGCAGTTGCAGAGAGCGTGTGACAGTCCAGAAATTATGCTGTCCATCTTCAGCTAAGCGTTTTGTGGAAAATAAGGGAACTTTTAGCACTGCTTTCTGAAGCAGGTAGAAAGAGAACTGTGTAGAGAAGTCGGAAAATGGCAAAAGGTGATTTACAAAAGATTTCCTCACCAATTAGGCCATTTTATTCTTCGTGGTGAAGTAAGAAGTTCCCAAAAGGTTAGCATTTCTTCTGTGTTTACCCTGTGCATGGCGAGCTCTGTGATTGCAAAGAAACTGAATCTAATAGAGACTTAATTTATTCAGAATGCCATTTGGCTGTTCACATAGCTATGAGCAAAACTAACTGTTATTTTTTGGCCACCTGAAATATCTTATGTGCAATAGGCTGAACCTTTGGCTTAAAAAAAACACAAAACAATCTCCATAAGCTTTTGATTGTTCTTAAAGGAAGACTACAAGAAATCCCTTGCTCACTGGGATCTTGTAGGTGTTAAGAATTAACTTAGAAACAACTTCTAAGTAGTTCCTTTTTTTCTGCCCCACCATACCTGTACCTGTTGCAGTAAGAGTGTTTTCATGATGTATCCAATTCTGGCTTACTACGGTCTTTCTCAATGCGTGTTTCCTTTGTAGGGCAACACTTGGAGAATTTGAGATGTAGTGCAGTTGGAGAAAAAGCAGGAAGCTAAACAAGAGTTTAAGGGACAGAAGGGGAGGACATCTATTGCCTTTTATTCTTGATACAGCTCTAGGAAAGTGGACTGAAAAAGACCAGGCTGATGAAATGATTATGAGGCCAGCTGTCAGTTCAAGAGAGAGTAGAATAAGTGACAAATGCCCATGGTATACTCAGTACTACACAGGAGAGGGGAAGAAAAGAAAAAGCTTAGCATTTCTTTGTGGAGACAGCTGATCTTCTAAGATTGAAACAAATGCAGTAGTTTGACAAAATAATTTGAGTAACTCTCCATGTTTAATAGTACGAATGAAATATATGTGGCTCTTGTCAATGATGAAGCTGGCGAATAGACAGGACCTGACTGGTGATAACAGTGTAAGGACGAAGTATTCATTACATCAGTGATGATAACTTTCCATGCACTTTCCAACTGTTTCAGGAAACCTAGTGCTGAAATGGAATAAAAAGGAGAAGAGTTGCCAAAGGCAGTGCTTTTTGCGTTTCTCACTGTAGTGACTCTCCTCAGACCTTTTTCAGGTGCAGGCATGGAGAGTTAGAGTCAGACCAACCTCTGTTTCAATCATCACATCCCTATCTTGTTTTGTGGATGCAAATAGAAGCTCTATGGCCAATACTTCTTTTGTTTTCCTGCTGTGTAGAGCTCATCATTTCATCCCTTGAAGGTTAGCTGCAGAAAAAGGAAAGTATTATTGTCCTAAGTGGACCATAATTAGAAACACAATCTGTTCCACTCCACAGAATAGATCTAATAATTCGGATGTAAAGTGACCATCTCAGCAGCAGAACAGGGAGTGTGGTTCTGGGAAACCAATGTCTGTGCTTTAATACTTCCAGTTTGAGAAGAAAAAGGGACTTTGGTATGAAAAGTTGTAGGAGTGTGGAATGTGAGAAGTTGGGGCTATATCTGAAAAAAACAGGACTGTATATTGTAAAGACTCCTTAGTGCAGGTACTGTGAGTACCTGCAGCATCAGGGCCTTTAGCTGAATTACCAACTTGAATGATTAATTGTTGCTGTATTGTTACTGTCATTTCAAGTATTTATTTTATAGGTAAAAATTCAAACCAGTGAATGTACTGTTTTGTCTGAGAGGGAAGTCTTGACCCTTCATTTCTGCCCTCCACAAAATGATTTCTTCTCCGTCAATTCAGCAAACTGTTCTGGTTTTTACAGTTTGAGCACAGTGCTGCTTAAGTTGATGATGAGCATCATAGTTTCTGTGATCTGTGTTCTTTTTGTCGTCATAAAAGTTCATTTAGGTTCAGAAAAGAGTAGTTCAGTATTTCAGTCTCTGATATAGTTCACCATGTTGTCACTGAGGAGTAAATTACTGGGGATATTCATAAAAAAGTTGCTTCTGTTGAGTTTTGAAGAAGTTAATAACCACCCTCAAGCTGTCTGGTCCAGAGATATCTTCTTCAAGGTATTCAGAAAAACACACCTTTCCTGAGCATACCTTTGCTTCAGCACAAAATCCAGAATTTTACCTCAAACGGTTAGGGAAGATGACTAAATTCAGATCCTGTGGATTAAGGTAAAATGGCTGCGTGCATATTCCCCTTCTCTGACATTGACCCAAGGATGTCAAGAGAACGGAATGGGCACCTCTGGATGGTGTCTGTTTATCCTGCTTCAGCAAGATTCACCAGAGTTGGCCTGTCTGGTTTGTGTGGCTTCTCCACTGAATAGTTCTGTACCTGAGGGTAAAAATAGTTGAATTTGACGGGTCAAATTTCAAGTTAAATTTCAAACTTCAAGGAGACAGATGGATTAATAGGATGGTGTCAGCTGTGGCATTTACAGGGTTGAATACGGAGCAGCCCAATACCCAACAAGTCATTATTTCCAATCAGTTGCTGTCTCTCGGACAGACTGACAGCTGCTATCTGTTACTGCTGCTGGGTAGAAGTAATTTTGTTCAAGGGATTGCAGGAGAATTCACTCTGACAGTGTTAACCCATTCATCCACCAGTTTTCAAAGCAGGACATCTTTGTCATTTCAATCAGTAGCCTGATTTAGTAGTACCTCTAGTTTTGCATCTTTCAGGTATTTATTTTTAGTCTAATATTATCCTTTTTAAAGAAAGATGTGGGAAGACTTTTTACGAGGACACATAGGGATAGTAGAAGGGATAATGCTTTAAAAGTGAAAGGGTAGATTTGTATTAGATATTAGGAAGGAATTCTTCACTGTGAGGGTGGTGAGGCCCTGGCACAGGTTGCCCAGAGAAGCTGTGGCTGCCCCATCCCTGGAGGTGCTCAAGGCCAGGCTGGATGGGGCTTTGGGCAACGTGGTCTGATGGGAGGTGTCCCTGCCCATGGCAGGGGGGTTGGAATGGGAGGGTCTTTAAGGTCCTTTCCAACCCAAACCTTTCTATCATTTTGCGCTTCAGAGCTGCTACTCTGGAGGTAAATGAGCAAGGGCCTCAGTTTACAAGGTTTACTTATGAAGTTCATAGTGCTGGATTTGAAATAACAATTCTATAAGAACAGAAGGCAGTAACAGAATAATGCTTTGGAACTAGAAACCTCATCAGAATTTACCCAAATATTCAGCAATTCTATACAGCAAAAAAAAAAGTATGTAAGAGTTTATAGAAGGATCCTGTGCAGTAAGGTGAACCAGAAATAATAAAATAAAATAGGAGAGGTGATTTGTAAGGTGAATGTGTATGTCTGAGTGGCTAGAGTAGCCAGGAAAAAAAGGGGTTTGTGTACTTTGTGAGTTCCCACGGAAAATAATAATGCATATCAAGGGTACCATTTAATAATGAAAGAAGTTTTTATAGTCAGGGATATGAGTTTAAATGCTTGTAACTATGGATTTAGCAAGTAAGACTAGCTCTTCTCTAATCTCCTCAACAGTTATTTCACTATACCGTTTTCTCCACAGAGTTGGTTACAATATTGAATCCATCTCGATTTATATGCTGGCAAGGTTTAACCAAGTAAACTAGCCTTTAGGAAAGTAGATATTTAATTATTGTATTATTGTATTCTTCTTGTGGCAGGTGTGTTAATTAAAGACAAGCAACAGGATTTGTATGTTGAGCCACTGTTGTTTTGAGACGAAGTTATGTGATGGAGCAGATGAAAAATCCTTCTGTGTAACCGTCATTATTATGATTTCCATTTAGAGTCAGGTGGACTTGATTTTATTCTTCAACTGCCTGTCTTTGAACAATTGGTTTGTCCCAGTGACAGTTGATATGAAATAATACATTTGATGCACATTTACAGGAAAAAAAAATCTGATATTCTGAATATTTAAAACAAAAAACTTTTTGCTACATAACTGTACAGAGACCTTATAAATCTATACAGGTATTTGAAAGATTGATTCTGTTCTGATGTCACTTGTGCTTTTTATATATGTATTTATATGTTCATAATTATATATATATATAATATACTGACATTTCTTAGCAACATTCAGCTTTCTTTCTCTTATTAAAAATATAAAAATGAAGCTTTATTCTATATGATTGTTTTAAGAGTGCCACCTAGTGCCTAAAGCTTTTCAATATGATTTGTGGTGTATAAGTCAATGGAGAATTTCGTTAGGCGGTGGTGCAGAAAAATGATTGCATCATTGCTTTATGTTAAACTGGTATGGGATGGTTTAATAAGAAAAATGTAACTTTAAACAAAGTACAAGAAAACTGAGTTTGAGGTTTTTAATGTAATGACAAGACATTGATTTCAGCTATGTTACTATTGTATTTGACTTTTAAAGTAGTCTTGTATTTGAGGTGCTCAGATAGCATTCCTGATTTTATTTTTCCTTCCTGCATGTCCTCTTGACCTTCACTTAATATCTCACTAGGCTAGGTTGATTTTTTGATATAGAAAGCAATGTTATTTCCGATGGCCTAGGTAGCCTGTGTGTGCACATGCTCTAACAGTTACAGAAAGATGTCTGTGTCTTATAAAACTGACTGGTTTAGGTAGGTGCTCAGGAATATATTTTTTCAATAATGGATGGTTAATGTTAAGGGAGACTGTTCAAAAAAAAAAAAAAGGTTTCTTATAAAATGTTTATACACTTTAAAAGTTTAAAAGGAGATCATTTTTTTTTTCTTTTTGTATGTTTTGCTTGGTATCAGAAATCATTTCCCTGTCAGTGATTTATGTGTGAAGTGACAGCTTGTATGTGAAACCTTTTCCTCTCAAGAAGGTCCTGCAGTCCATTTATTCAGGCAGGATGTCTTTAATGGTATCTTATGTTAAAATCAGTTTTAGCAGATAGTGGAATGACCACTGTTTCAAACCCTCTTTTTTTTCTCAATTGTGTATTCTTTTATGACTGTGTTCTGATTTCTGTTTCAGGAACTATAGCTCAGGAGGAAGATGAAAGATAGCATCCCCGAAGAACATTTATATTTGGGTTTGTCTCATGAGTACAAAGATAGCATCTTTCCTCTTCATACATCTATTTCGCTGTTTTTGCTGTCCTACTGTGACTGCAAATTATTCAAAATTTTCTTAGTGCCGACTGGTGAAGATGTGGACAATCAGTTTGTGACAAAAAACCTCCTTGGCGATCTCGAGGTCCATTTAATCTCCAGATGCCAGCTTCCTATGGTCGTGCAGAGCTGCTGTTTACCTGCTGTTGTCGCGAAAGACGGCAAGTTCTGTCGAGCTGGGCTTGCCGTTGTCTTAAGGCATATAATACAGAAAACATATGAGGCTGATCCATCTAAAAAGTATGTTTTGGAACTCCTGGGCTTTAAGAAGACCTGCTTAAAAGCCTGTGCTGAGGTGAGTGCGTCTCTTTCTCTTAGTTATATTATTGGGGTTTTGAAAAAGAACGGAATACTCTGATGTAGACTTTTAGTGTTGATGTAAATGAGATTTTTGCTCACAGGAGAATTGTCTGTGTTTTGGCATAAGGGTGAAGAATGATTCTTTTTAAAGATGTAGCTATTTAGCAGCACAACAAGAACCTTAAGATTTAAATGGGGGCAGACCTTTGCTTGAATATGAATATTCTAGTCTGTGAATATTCTATGAATTCCTTCTTTTTGTCAGTGTAGTTTCAATGAGTTATGCAGTATGGCTGTTCCAGTTTGAAGTAAATTTAAAAAATACCTAATGTAGTGTTAATTATCCACAGAATGCCACGTTCTTTATCTACTCAGGTCAGATTTCTAAATGTGAGGTGTTCTGTGGAGTCATAGGTGTGGCTATTCTTGCAGCAACTACAAGTTCTTGAAGCATGTCATAAGGACCTGATCTTGTGTACTTTGCACATCATTAATTCTGTTTGAAGAATGTGGAATTTGAGAATTAAGTAAGTGGCAGTTCTGGGTTTATGGAGAGTGCAGGAATCAAATTGTAACTTTGCAAAGTTCGAGACTGTTTTCAGGTGTACTTATGCCTATTTATTAACATTAATGTAGGCAATTAAGAGCTTAGACTAGTAAAACACTTTTGAAAATTTTGCCCTGGATGCCAGCTTTGTCACAGCCCTACAAATACAATTTTATTGACAGTAGTCACTGCTGTATTTATCACCTTCCACGCTTGTTTTACATCTTATGAATAATCATCTTTTGACTTCAAGAATCTTGCCAACGTTTAGTGTTTCCTTGAAGAGTAAAGGGAAATTGGATTTAACTGAACTATGCTTGTTTGGGGAAAAATAGGAAAAGCAAAATAAAGATTCTGACTACAAATATTATGTGTTTTTGTTAAAGATGGTTATTTAGTTTAACTTATAATACTAATGTACTGTACTGACTGTGTCTGTGAGTTCAGTAGGTACTTGTGTAAAACACGTTGTGATGTAAGATTGTGCAGCTGATTCCATGTGACTGGCTAAAATTACCATGAATGAAGATGATAAACTAGTACTTGTGAATTATCCAGTCAGGAAGGGACCTACACCTCAAACCAGGATCAATGCCAGATTCAGAGCAGGTTGCTCAGGGCTTTGTTCAGTCAGTCTCAAAAACCTCCAAGGATGGAGGCTGCACAGCCTTTCCTAGCAGCCAGGTCTAACGCTCAGGATGGTGAAAAATACTTTCCTTGTGCCAATCTGGAACCTTCTCTGCTTCAGTCTGTGATATTTGTCTCTCATTCTCCTGCGGTGCAGTGCACAGAAAGCCTGTTTCTGTCTTCTCTGTAGAAGCCTGGTAGTGGGTGCCTAGCCTCAGCACAGGCCCCTAAAGAGCTCCACCTGTCCCTGACCTTCAGGTAGAGTGTGGACCCTTAGCCCCTACTCCTTGACATTTCAGCCTATTTATCACCTTGCAGTCATCTCTCTAGGCTTGCCTTGCTCACTCCCCTCGGGGGGCTGAGCCCCACTATTTCACAGTCACTGAGGTCCATGATTGCATCTGATCGCTGCGCCTCCAACCCAGTTCATCCCTGTTGGTGAGGAGCAGGTCTGGAGGAGTGTATCCCTGTGTTAGCCCATTGGGTACTAGCATTTAGAAGTTGTCCTTGGCATCTTCCAGAAACCTCTGGTTCTGATCTCTTCCTGGGACTGCTAGAAAACTTGGGTTCCATGTTTCAAGTTGCTGCTAAGTGGGTAAACTGAATAAGACAAAAATTTTATGGTTCTAAAACCTTTAAGTACAGATACTAAGACATAAAACAGGACAATGATAATGTGAAAAAAATGGGGTATTGTTTGGTTAGACTAAAGTTTCTTGATGTTGCATGCTAAAAAAAAAAGGGTGCTAATAAAGAATTTATGTAAAATACATGTGTTCAAAATCTGTTTTGTGTCATCTTCTGGTTCTATCACCAGCAGCTGGAGATGACCTCTATAAATTGCTCAGATCTTTCCTTCTCATGAGTTACACAGCCACCCTAATCCTATGCCAATAATAAGGAATAAAAATCTGCTATACTGGATAACTGTTCATCCGGTTTTATATATAAAAATCAGCTTCCTAACTTGCTATTGCAAGAGTAACACAGACTATCCTAGCTTCTAAGATGATCAAAGGATTTATTTAAAGCTGGAGTTACCACATTTGGCTGGAGTTTTTTCTGTTTCAAATGGGCAAAAATGTACCTTGGATTTTGTTTTCTCCACTTGTAGAGACATTAATTACGTACATTTATCTGACAGGTTAGCCAGTGGACCAGACTTTGTGAGATCAGCATACCTCTGGCTGTTGAAGGATTTTTGACGGCATCTCCCGAGCACTGTCAGGCTGTCCCTGCTGACATTTTACAGCTTGAAAGAAAACTTGGAGAACCTGTCCGAGTGCACAACGATGACAAAATACGAAGGCAAAAACTTCAACAACAGAAGGCAGGTGCTAAGGCTGCGGTGCCTGGACTCAGTAAAGAAGCGACAGAGGAAGGAAAAACAGCAGAGGTAGACGATCATCCACTTCCAAGTCTGGAACTGAGCGTAGCTTTCTCCAAGCTGCATGTCCAGGAAACATCAAATGCGCTCCGAGAGGCCCCTGTCATCAGGAGAACAAAAACCTCTGACCTTCCGCCTTTGGACCACATTTTTGCAGAGGGGCTTTATTTTACCTTGGCAGATATAGTGCTTCTGCCGTGCATCCATCAGTTCTTGGTAAGACACCTGTTTCTGCAAACATGAAGTAGTGTATATGTATTTTTGTAAGAATTGTAAGGGAGGCAGTGAATAGGAGGAGATTCAGAGACCGTGGTGGCTTTTTGGAGTTGTAAATCCTTGACTTCCTTACATATATAGGAGCTGAGGAGACACTCAGGTATTGGCCAGGGTAGACTTCCAAAAACTCTTTTGTTTGTGTGATTGGTGTGTAATTTCTTGAGGTCCTCTTGAGAGGGTTTTTGTCTGCACGTATTTTCTTTTAAAATACAGGATGCAATGATTTCTGATTTACTAATTTTCTACATAGTATGCTGACATTCTTAATCTCTGCTGTTGTTTTCTTCTAGTTCCTAAAAATTACTCTTTCATTTGGGACGAAACATTCCTATGGAGACAGCACTGCTTTAGTCTGTCTCAAATGAATCCCTTTTTTATCAGGCCCTCCCATAAAACAAGCCAGCTTCTTTGCACATCTGTAGATAAAGATGAGTGTGTAGGACAGTATAATACCTTCATATCAGCAAACCTTTTATTCTTCTGTGCAGTTCTGTGGGTTCTTTATTTATTTATTTTTATTTTTATAAAGCTTGGTCTGTGTTCTTCTCCAAGTAAGGTCTGATCACTGTGACCCTGCTCAGAAGGGAAATGTTGTGTCTAGGGATCCAGCTTCCTATGAGATGTGCCTCAGCACCTCAAACCTCAGTAATTTTTGTCATTTCTGTACTTTTGTCATTTGTCATTCATGGTATTGTCACTGCTAAACTGGTCTCTGCAGTTTGTGGAAGGTCCTATGTTTACTGCAGTGAAAGGAGAAATTCCTTGGAAAACATGTTGCATAGCCCAGTAAAGCAGAGAGATTTGATTATCTTCCCCCCACCTCCTTCTGCCCCAGCTTTTTCTCACCTCTGGAAAGAAGCTTAGTGCTGCAAGTGACTTGAGCTCAGCTTTGGAGTCAATTTTACAGTGCTGCAAGACTGCGTAAGGGTCTTGCTCAGCACAATCTGTGCACTTGGGTTTATGAGGATGTAAACACAGAAAAGAATTAAGGAAATAACAACTGTATTTCATATGACAATAAAAGGATGCAATGAAGTTGCCTACGACCACTATTCCTGCAGGTACTGTACAAGACTGATAGCAAAACACGGTGTCTGTTGCCAAGAAGAGCTCTGAATGAATTTAGTATTTGCATTTTGATATAAGTTGTTTTGCCAAATTTGCCTTATGGTGTTAAAAAACAAATGGAATTCCTGGAGAAGATACTGTCGGTCTCTCTGAGGTAAAAGAAAAAAAAAAAGTCTCTAAAATCAAGACAATCACTAACAAACATTATTATGTGTTAAATGTCCCCTGTAACTTCTTTCACCAAGGTCATTATCCTCAGTGGATTTCTGTATGATGGTCCTAATGTGGGAGTCCAGAAGTAGATCAACGTGTCCTCCTGTGGATTAAGATGTTTAATTATTTAACAGAAATGATTATTAATTCATCTCTGCTTTGTGTATGTGTTTTGCAAATCACATAATTAAGGATTAACAGCAACTTCTGTATGGATGGTGCTAACCAAAACCATTAAGACAAAATGCTCTCCTACCTATTTGAAATGCTTTAAAGTATTTCAGATGTTTTTGTTTTTTGCAAGGCCTTTTCTAACTAAGAAGAGTTTTAATTTTTTATAGTAATGTTTGATTTATTGTTGCAGTGTATGAGAAGAATCCTGGATTGGGTGCTTGTTTGCAGTATCCAGCTGAACTCTTTCTGCAGATACACGAGCAGCTGAGAACGCCAGATTTTTGTTGCTGTTCTCCTGTTATCCTTGAGCCTCGGTAGTCTGCAGCTTGTGAGCTGTATGAAACTTGCTGCAACAAGCGAGCCTGGAAAATTGCTAAAGCTCATTGAAGATGTTTTCATGTCACAAATACTGAGTGAGCCAGTGCTGAGCGGTGCCCTTCTGGGTCTGCTGTTTGGGAGTAGAGGGGGCTTTGTAGGTGAGGTGACAGGAGGTGGCTGTTTTGGCCACAGAAATCATGAAACAGTTGAATTCCAAGTTTTTGGAGTGATGCAAAATAAAGTCAGCAGGGTTGCTGCCATGGGTTTTAAGAGAGCAAACTCTTAAGCTTCTTAAGGATGACAAAAAGGTGGAGGCATTAAATGCCTTTTTTTGTCCCCGTTTTTATTATTAATGATAGAACTTGTGCTTCCTGGCTCTCTGAATTGAAGGACTGTGTTAGGGGAAGCAGTGGCTTTCCATTTGTGGCCACCAAAACTGTGAGGGACCAGCTGTATCAGTTGAATGTGCTTAAATGCATGGGGCCTGACGGGATTTACCCTGGAGTGCTGAAGAAATCAGTGGATGTTGTTCTTGGGGCCCTATGAACAATTTAACAAAGGCTGGGGGAGTCAGCCTTTGCTGGGATGTCAGCTTCCCAGTGAGGTGGTTGATTCCCCAAGCCTGTCAGTGCTCAAGAGGCATTTGGGTGATGCCCTCATTAATATGCTTTGGCTTTTGGTTAGCCCCGAAATGGTCAGGGAGCTGGACCAATGATCTTTGAAGGTCCCTTCCACTGAACTGTTCTGTTCCTGGATTGTCTTTAAAAAATCGTTATAGTTGCAGTTCCACTTTGCTGTAAGAGTTTAAATAATGAAGTCTTCAATGGGTGTATTGAAAGTATCATGCAATAAATGTGAGGAAACCCATAGCTGATTGTAATTAGAATTACCAAAAGTAAGATAATGAAGCTGAAGAGTTGTTTTTCATTACCTCATTCCATTTCTGTTATCTTCCTGAGGTTAGCCTTGTTATGCTTCCTATTAGTTGTAACTGTTTAAAATTAATAGGAGAATAACAAAAGCTCGGCTCTCCATCTGGGAGAAACCACCATTCACTTTTTAAAATACAATGTAGAGCACTTGTTATCGAGTGTAACAGTGCCTCTTGGAATTGCTTTCCGAAAGACTTCCTCCTTAACTGAATTAATATATTTCTGCCTCTGTTACTACTGCGATGTTGCATTAGATATTAAAATTACAGTTCATCCTCCTTTTGTTCCTTTAGCTATTACTAATTACTGATGATTACCCTAAGAACATTATAAACACAGCATGCAAGAAAGCTGCTTAAAATTTTGTGTCATGTCAAGTGTTCTTTACCAATTTCTATTTCCACGCTGTGCAGAGAGATGTGTGGAAGAATACCATTTTTGCTTGGCCTTTTCGGACTTTTCATGTGAGCATGGTTTGCAGTTTTCTTTTTGAAGCATGTGCAACATTACAGGATAGTTGAGGTCAGAAGGGACTTCTGAAGGTCATCTTGTCCAGCCCATTGCGCAGAGCAGGGCCACCTAGAGTTGCCCAGGACCACGTGTAGTCAGGTTATGAGTACCTCCAAGGATGGGAGATAACCTGAAAAAAGCTTACCTACATTTCAGCTTTCATTTCCACAAAGTCATTTCATACTCCTAAAGTTTTACAGAATGAATTTCACTGTACAAGGTAACTTTTTCCTTATTTTTGAAATAAAGGAGTGTTGTTTTGATATGTTAAGATACTCTTAATGTCCAGCAGTAACTTCAGTTTTAGTCAATCCATGTGTGGGTTGTGGGTTCTCTGATCCAGCAAAGGTCTAAACAAATAACATTTCTCAATTGTTTTTTCTCAGTTTAGTCATGTGTACAGGTAGGTGTGTGGAATTTTTTATTACAGCTGAGGGAAGGTGCGGACCAGAGGAATCCCAAACATTCATCTCTTTGGCCCTTTCATTTCAAAGTTACTGTTACCTTTTCAAAGTTTCTTTCCTCTTCCTTTTCACTCTTTGAAATGAACAAACTGATACTTCAGTGCTACCCACAAAGAACTGTCATGGCAAATTCACAGCTGTGAGGCAGCTCTGAGATGTCTCCAGGGTGATTACAAAATGAAATTATTTTAGAATAATTAAATAGTGATATTAAGTACATTTTATTAAAGATCTATTTCTATATATATATGATATCATCATTTTGCTGTCTTGGAATATAAATTTTTGTTTGCTGTGTAAATTTTAAATACTGGAGTGTAGGAAGTTGTTGACTTAGCACATGAACTTGGGAAAGCCAGCTCCTGGCAGTAGGTGCATAGAGAGTATTTCTAGGTTTGCTGTGTATTTCACAGGTACAGAAGAGAATTACGAGAAGTTTAAAAAGTTGAAGAGGATGATCTTCAATGTTCTGAAACATTTGGAAATGTGAACAGAAATTACTTTAGTTCACTGAATGCATCCTTTTTAAGATTAGATGGTCATCATTTAAAATTGTGATTTGAGTATCTTTTTTTTGTAATACGTGTATCACATTCAGACTTATTTTACACTTTAGGATACACTTAAGATTTCAATTTCTGTTGAAGGCCACTTTGCTTTAAGTTCAGCATTCATTGCAAATTACTGGATTTTGTGATAACCAACAAAAATGAATCATTCCCTTGTTAGGAAATATCAGATAATCAATAATATTATTATAAATGCTGTTTTCCTGTTACTGACTTAAATTGTGATTAAAATTGGCCACGTAAGCACTTTCCCTCAACAAAGCACATGAGAATTATAGACATTTAAACGGCCAACTGGCATCTCCAGTGACAGGCCAGAGTTCTTAACTAGCTAAGCTTTTTCATTAGCAGCACGCTATGAGTAACCATGTTGAGTTTTAGCATGGAACTAAGCTCACTTCCATACTTCATGCCTCCTGTTTGTGGCTTATAGGAAAAGTTGTACAATAGTAAGTTACCTTTCCATTTATTTTTCTAGGTTCACAGCAAAAAACAAGGAAAAAATCTGGGAAACTTGCCTCTGATATCCAGTTGGTATCGAAGAGTTCAAGAAGTACCTGGAATAAAGAAAGCTGCTGACAAATGCAGTATGCAGCTTCTCCAGCTTCCAGAGTTGATGCCTGCTCCAGAGGAACAGCTACAAGACTTCTCTTCAGTTCCTGATGAGTTAGAAGAGGAGCATGAAGACAGTCATTTTATAGGTGGTCCAAGGCCAACTATGACTAAGTTAATGGTAATTTAAGGCTTTTTAATTAGTTAATTTCATGGTAATATTCAGCTTCATTCAAAGTAGATGGTTGCAGAGGCTGTCTTTGACAGCCTTGAACAGGTTTAATGAATTTTGTCTGATATGCGTTGACTTGGAAGGGATTTTACTTTTTTTGTTCAGTTAACAATATTTGATTGTTCAGGAATCAAGCAAATATAGGGATGCTGGAAAGCTCTGTTAGTAATTCTCAGGAATCAAAGTAAGCTTTTGTTTAAATTGTGATATTATCTTCCTCTTTTAAAGGTATGTATAAAGAAAGATGACAAAAGATGTTGCTTTTATGTTTGGTTTAAGTATTCTATCATTTCTGCCTTTTTTTTTTCTTTGCTATTTCCTTTGAGCTTTGAACATCTGAGATCCATAATGAGTTTTGTTAAAGAAAAATCTCCATCATGTTCCATAACTCTCCATATTTCTTTGCACAGAGGCTGTCAGCCTCTTCTAAATAAAATGAACAGGGCTTTCCTGTGAAAATGAGAGGAAATACATAATTTGAATCCCAAATAATGTAGTCATCTGCCTATTAAGTTCCACCTAGGCTGAAAGTGATACAGTTTGATCTGATGTCTTTAAATTTGTTGGGAATTTTGCTACCAACTTCAGTAGATAAAGGATCAGAGCCTTATTTTTTTTTTTGTTCTCTTTCACATAGGAAAGCGGTATTGAGGCAAAATTTTCTCCTCATCCGTGCCCTAACTGGACTATAGACTGGAGCAATCTCCCATCAGCAGTCAGTCCTGGAGAAGGTAAGAGTTTTTAGGTATGCATGTGTTTAACAGTGCCTTTTTTTCTGGTGTAGCTACTTAACTGTTTCAGAGGAATGTATGTCACTTCTCATCAGTGTATTTCAAAGCTATGTAAAACAGGTAAGCAGTTTCGAATCTGTTTTAAAATGCAAGCTGTTTATAACACATGGTATGAGGACTTAGGTCATCAACAGATGACGACCAAACTGGGAATAAAAGCTTGACCTTGAATCCTCACTGCTTCACCCCTTTCCTGAACTTTTCTTTATATCTAGGGCAGTAAATTTTGGCTACACGATGTTAATATAATCAGCATGAATGTTATACATGGACTACATCTCCCAGAGCAGTAGCAGCTGATTTCATTATGATGAAAATAATCTTAATTAGAAAAATTTGGAAGATACATATCAGTCTTCCCTTTTGTGGCAGTGTTCCTTGCCCTGTAGGGGTTGTTTTCTTTGCTGAATTGCAGAGCAGTCTGCTGCCCAGTGGCTGTAGTTCTACAGAGAACAGAGGTTTACCACAGCATTTGTTGTTTTCATTGGTGTTGTGAATATTGAATACCTCTTCTACCACACAGTGGAGTTGCCTCTGAAAGGTCTTGTAGATACTGCCAGACCACAAGAACTTAGTGGACAGGAACTCCTTTCTACGAGGAACAAAAGGGTTTGTGTTCTTTAGCCGTAGAGACTTACACAAAATACTATTTATTTTTTTTATTTTACCACTGTGTGAGAACAAGTGAGTATTCCCATCCATGATACAGGGTTTATAAACGTAAAATCAAATGTGAAGTTGGTTTCTTCTGTTTTGTATCTGTGTGTTGTTCACAAAACCATGACAACCCTCACTTGTATCATGAGTAGGTTCACAGTTTTATACAGAACTTCTCATGTTCTTCTAAAATGATTCTTCTGCTAGTAAAACCTAATTATTATTGCATGAATCAAATTCTCAGTGTTTTATTACTAAATCCTGCCCAATATGCTAAGAAAATAGTCACTGAACCTGACAGGGTTTTAAACTGGATTTGAGTAATGCAGTTCAAGTTTTTCAAGCAGATGACCCCTATGATTGGGAAATAAATTACCTTTTATTGATGTTCATAGAAGTTGAGACAAAATAATGAATATTACAGTTAAAACTCGCATTGTTTTTTATCTACAGTAAGGTTGATTAGCTGGCAAATGATAATTTAGTACCATACATGACGCTATTTCTTTGTTCTATCTCAGATTAAATAGTCATAATTTGTGTTATATGTATGTGAAAGTTCTTGGATTGAATAGTTCGGCCTGTCTGTAAGACTAATTAGACCACCTTGCTGTCACACCTGTTCACTACAGAAAAGAATTACTGATGATTGTCATTCTACTGTAGTCACGTAAATAAATTTTTTTCATTCAGTATTTTTGGTAGGGATCATTTATTGTGGCAAAACAACAGATTATGGCATCATGATTTGCATTTCATTTACTTAGTCATATTTCTGAAGCAAAATAGAACTAAACCACTAGAACTAAGTGGTTTACCTGCTCCAGTTTTTAATAGTATTTGATTGATGACAATGCACTCGTGTTTACATTCTTTATATCCTCTAGCTTTCTAAATTGCTGCTATTATCTCAATTGCTTCTAAAATATTTGGCTTCAAAAATTGTGTGCATCAACCTTGAAACGTGTGAATCCATAGGCTTTTGTGAACACCTCGTTCTGTATTTATAATTTTGCAGATACCCCAAAATGCAGTATCTTGGTGTCCTCTGTAGCTGTTGATATCCAAGGATACTGTACTTGTTACAAACTTTTTTTTTTTCTGGATGGAATTTAACATAAAACATTTATTTTAAAATGTATTGTAAACACTGGTTCTGTTCTAGTTAACTGTATAAAAGCTTGCTACTTTTATTTTTATTTTTTCTAAGGTCATTTTCCAAATCTGTGATTAGATCAGAACTATGTTGATATTATCTACAGACAATATTACATACAGAAGCAAAAACCTCTCATCACTTTGTTGTTTCTTCCATATAGTGTATAAAGATATTTCTTCAAGATCCCAAACCAAGTCTGTCTGCCTAATTGCATGTCTCGATACTGAAAAAAATTCTGCAAAATCTTGAAAGAAAATGCAGTATTTCTAAGGTAGATAGAGGAATAGAGGAATACTGGATGCTTGCGTGCCATTAAAATACCTTGTGAAATAATTTGCAGTGTTTGCAATAATGGCTTCATTTGACAGGAGACATGAGTTATGGGTCCAAACCAAGCTTGTGTTGAGCTTTACAGAGACGTAAAGATTGTTATGGTTGGAAATGTGAACAAATAGAAGAGGGTGGCAGGTCTGAGTGTGAAAGTACAATGGCAGAGTGAAGGAAAATGATATATTTGCATCAGTAGTAATGAGGAATAATAATATGACGTGTGTCAGCGTAGCAAATGTTTTCTTTCTTTTCTTCCGTAACAAAGTGGTGGCTGAAATCCAGGGAGGAGGGGGCTATTGAAATGAGACTGCTGAATAGAAGTAATGTGCTACTGTTGATTAAGTGTGAGGTCTGGGAAAAAGGAGGTAGATTGTATGTGATGAGGTTTGTGACCAAGAAAGAAATAGAGCATCTTTCTGTGGTTTCATAGTTCTTACTAGGCAGCAGCAGAAACAATTTTCTCTCCTTTTTGGAACTTCAGTCAACACTGGAGTCTTTGTGTTGTTAGTTTGTGTTGCTGGTGCTGTCTATGTGTGGAACAGTGCCTTGTCTTCAGTTTAAGTTCTTATTATCTGCAGAGGCTTGGTGGATATCAAGATCAGTTTGCCTGGTTATGATTAGAGAAGATTCCTTTAGGTTCACCCGAAGCACATTAAGGGAAAGGGGAGAGTGTATGTGTGTGGGGGAGTGATGACCCTTGTCACTGCTTTATTATTCTGCTGATTTATGAGGATGTAAGTCTTTGGTCCTGTCATTTTTTTTTTCCACCGAGTAATGAGTTCACTGTCAAAGAGGAGAAAAATTATTTTTTTATAACAGAATCCTTTTTGAATCTTTTTTTTTCTTTAATCCATCTTTTTATTTATTTTGCTTTTTTACCCAACTGTGAAATTCAAAGTGAGGAATAACTGACCCACAGTCACAAACTCTTACTTGTTCTTTCGTGAGTTCAAATACTTGTAGAGCAGGAAGTATTTAAAAAAGAAAAATGCCTTATTTGTGAGATCTCATTGTGAAATTACCAGCTAGACTGAAAGTGTGCATGTAATAGGATTTGCTTACAAAGGTGGTAGTTAGCTGGGAGAAAATTCAGACTGTTCTTTCCTAAGTGTCAAAGCAATCACAGTATGAACATAGCATGTATTAAACTGTATTTGGTAGGATTGTCAGTAATGCTGTCTTTCTGATGAGCTTTTTCTTAAATGAAGGAATTTTAGGAGGTCAGAAAAGAGCTCCTTAGCTGAAATACAACTTGCTATATTAGGTGGATGTGAAGGGACACCTGATATCACTTTTAGTATACTAAAAACTTGGAGTGCATGCACAGCAGAAGATGGAGGGGGCAGTTACAGAACCTGGAAAGAGTTTGAGGTGGAGAATGTTAATTTAAAAAGTGTAGGCAAATTAATAAAGCTAAATCAAAATAAACATAATGCATTTTACAAGTGAAGCTTGCTCTTTCCAATTAATGGAAGACACATAGCCCTTTAATTGTCTAGTTGGTCCTACTCACAGGGACAATTTTTCTGAAACAAGTGCATTTTAATGGATTGTCTATAAACATGACACCCAGAGAAGCATGTTAATTATTGTATGTACTTCCTTGTTGCTTGCTAGGAGTTGATTGATTCCTAGTGTTGAATTGATTTGAATAAGTGTTTGACTTACAGAGTTGAAGTTCTCTGTGTATGAATTTAAAAAAGCCAATGCAGAAAAAGAAAAGGCCTTTCACATTTGCTGTGTCCAGCTCATAGCTGTAGGAGAGGCCATCAATCCATTGCAAGGCAATGCCTGCTGGCCTGGCTGAAGTGCAGTGACTCTCATCAAGTCTGTTGGTCTTATGCTTGATATGTGATCAGTGACAAGCTGATGGCCTAATGAGAATGGCTACATAAAACTTACTCACTTGGTACTTGCCCCTCCATTTGCATTCAAATCTTCAGACATATGAGGAAGTCACTAGAGTTTTAGAAAACCTACTGAGTTTGTAAAGAACAAATTTGGAAAGCACAACATCCAATATTCACGCTCTCCCTGACATGGTTACTGAGAACAGAGATACGTTACCTTGAAATATAAGCCACAGAATAATTTATAGTATGCTGTAAATGTTTCTCTTGGGGAGGGGGGAAAACCCAAACAAACCACAAAACAGAATTCAGGAAATACATGTATATAATATCTAAAAGGTTGCCTTTGTTGTCTTCTTTACCTTAATAATTTATGTCAGCCCAGAATCTGATCCTTAGTGTTTTTACTTTGAGGGGTCTGCTCTTATTAATAGTCATATTTTAATATTTGCGTGAATATAAATCTTACTAAAACTGCCAAATTCAGTTATTTATGTACATACAGAGTACAGAATGTTCACATTAGAAATAGAGTGCCTGTCTGAATTAGAAGAAAAAATAGTGACATGAGAAAGAAGCTGCTCTTACTGTGCCACCCTTCTTTGTTTGGTAGTGTAGTAACGATCATTTTTCCCCAGGAGGAAATGCTGCTCCATTTTTTTTTCCTTTTTTCTTTTTGAGGTATCATGTTTTCTATTTTTATGAAGCAAAAACGTAAATGAAACACTTCAAATATAATTTCTGATGACTGATTATCTCAAATCATTTGAGTATGATAAGAAATAATGAGTTTACCTCACATTGATTTGAGAATTGACATCACGATAGTTATGATCAGATGAAGAATATAACACTTCCTTAAAATTCTTTTAAAACAAACTCATAACGAATTAAGAACATGGAAACAGAGAAATGTCGGTTTTCTTTATATGTCTCTCTGAAAA